AGATTAGCAAGGAACACTTATGTTCGTTGTTAATTAGCGATAGATTTGCGACCTAATAGCATCCATCGCTAGTTCTAAACTCCTAAATCACAATTTTTTTTCCTTCTTTCTCCCTCCTTCTTCCTCCGTGCATCGTTGCCATTGCTATCAATCCCATTCGAAACCGCAACAAAGCTCAACTCCTCCACTCTCCAACAACCCCCATCCACTCCAAACTATTTTCTCTCTAAAAAGCCTTAAATTTTCTCCTTCCTCTCCATCTATTCCTAATTGTCCGAAGATAAGCTCTCTCTCTCTCTCTCTCTCTCTCTCTCTCTCTCTCTCTCTCTCTTGTTTCTTAAAAAATGTTGTTATTTTTCATAATTTTTAGGTTAATTATGATTAATTGATTGAATTTTATTTTTTTTATATTTAATTGTTAATTGGTTAGGTTAATTTCAAGTAGAGTTAAATTGGTTACGATAATTTGTTAATTAATTGATAATTAAATTAATTAGGTTAATTAGGTTGGGTTAATATACTTAGGATAATTTGAATTAGAGTTAAATGAATTAGATTAATTTGAATTAGAGTTAAATTGGTTAGGGTAATTTGTTAATTAATTAGTAATTAAATTAACTGGTGGGTTAGTTTGCTAATTAGGGTTAAATTAGTTAAGTTAATTATGTTTCAATTAGGGTAACATTTACCTAGGTTAATTTGAATTAGAATTAAATTAATTCGGTTAATTTGAATTAGAGTTAAATTGGTTAGCATAATTTATTAATTAATTGGTATTTAAATTAATTGGGTTAAATTAATTAGGTTACAACTACGGTTAATTTATTTAGATTAATTTAAAATTAATTAGTTTAATTTCAATTAGAGTTAAATTAATTAGGTTAATTTTTTAATTAATTGGTATTTAAATGTAATTAGGTTTGAATTAGAGCTAATTTACTCAGAGTTAATTTGAATTAGAAATAAATTAATTTGGTTAATTTTTATTAATTGGTTGGTTTTTAATTTTATTTATATTAGAAATTATTAATTATTTGTTATTTTAAATTTAATTATGCATGAATTAGATTAAATTAAGGTTATTTGATTTAGGTTTAAATTTAATTAGGTTTGAATTATATTTGATTAAGTTAATTTGATTTATATTTAAATTAATTAGGTTAATTTTGATTAATTTGTTTATTTCTAATCTTTTTATATCATAATTTGTTAATAATTTGTTATTTAACATTTAATTAGTTTTGAATTAGGGTTAATTTAATTATTTTATTGATAATTGTTGAAGTGTGTCGAGATATTTTGTAGCGTATCAAACCGGAAGGGTCGGAGACCCTTGGGAATTGAGAAGAAATAAGGTTAGTTCAATATTCCGTAATGAAGATGGGAGGACGAGTTTAAAATTGAATTTCAATGGAGTATCCAAGGCAAGTGCGAGTCTCGATGTACACAAATTGATTGTTTGTTGATTTAATTCCAATGTTTATGTGATCATTTGGATTATCTCGTTAATTGATAATTATGTAATTTACGGGGAAGATCTGCTAAAATTTTATTTTATTTTTATGAAAACAATTTATAATGTATTTTTAGTCAAATTGTTATTCATTTGCTATATTTATTAATCTATTTCAAGTGTTATTCTAGAGTTATACGAGTGTAAATTGGACAAATTTTGTCGAGGTGCAAGTGGCCATGACTCGAATGGCAACGAGTGTTTGTGATCGTGGCACTAATATTGACAATGTCCATGACCATTCCATTGATTGTGGCACCGTATGTGAACATAGCACGGTTAGTGCAAGCGTTCGAGCCATGAACTCGATAGTGATGTCAACACATCCGCATCCCCGTTAGTAATATGCTCGCCGATAGTGCCTCCAATTGCGGACGTCCTTGTGACAGCTTCCTCAACTCCAAGAAGCTTTGCTATATTCGATACTAAACGAACCATTCGAGTCGTGAATAACCGGTATGTAATATATTTTACATATAGTAATTAGTTTTATCTTTTCATTTATTATATTAGAATTATTAATTCACTTATTTATTATTTTTTTGTTTTATTCAACAACTTGGTTCCATCAAGTAAGTGCTCTATAAAACTCATTGTAATCTTCAAAAAGCAATTGGATGTTATTGGCTCCACATAGAAGTATGTCTCCTCGAAGATGAAAGACTTCTACTTTAATAAGTTTTGGATAACATATTAATTATTTGCTTATATTTCATTTAAAGTATTAATTTAACATGAAATGTACTAATATTTTTTTTATTCGAGTAGACGTATTTTTTTGTGAGATGCAACCGTCAATGCATCAATTAAGGATGCGTGAGAGTGTCTAACATAAAGGTAATGTGACAACATACCGAACAAGTTGAAGAACAAAAATGACAGACCCATATATATTAAACAAGTAGGTTTGGAAAGCATGGCATCGAAATTGGGCCACACCTAAGTCTTAGATCCAATCTCGGCAGGCATCCCGAAACAACATGTTCGGTGTTGGTGCTGGCCCATCCAAACATACGAGAGGAGTCCACTCTTTGATTGACACGTTGAACGTTTGGTAAATTCTATTATTCATTGTGTTATAAATTAATTTTTACATTTATTACATCTTATACTATTTTGTCTATTTTTTCGGTATCATAAATTAAAAGGAACTTTAGCGAGAATGAGGCTTTATTAAATAATATATCGTTTTTTAATAATGTATTATTTTTAGTTGTTTATTACTATCATTAACATTAAATGACTATTAATTTATATTTTTTGTAAACTCTTTTATTTAGTGAAGGATCTACAAGAAACTTTAGCGAGAACAATTTAGAGATGGAATTTCGGTCGCTAAATAACGAAAAAAATTTTGAATTAGCAAGGTTTTGCGACAAATAAGAGATCGAGAAGATGACTATTTACTACTCTTTAGTGATGGAAGCTATAATGGTCGCTAAATAGCAACGGATTTAGTGATGGATCCGCAAGGAACTTTAGCGAGAATATTTTAACGATAGAATTTCAGCGACCGAAATACCCAATTAGCGATGATTTTGTGACAAATACAAGATCGGGGAGATAATTGTTTACTATGCATTAACGACGAAATTTTTTTTCCGTTGCTAAGAAAATAGCGATAATGATGTCCGATACAAAAAATCTATTGTCCCAAATACGTCGCTAAATACAAATAGCAATGGATTTTTACTATATATTTCTGGTTTTTTTTTTTTGTTTTCTTGTAGTGAGTAACTTTTTATTTTCAGTTATAATTTTAAAATTATTTTTTATACATATCTCAAATAAAAATAAGTTAAGATATAAATATGTTTTCATAAAAAAATTGACTCAAAAATTTTTTTTTGAAGAATTTTAATACAGGTTACAATAATCTTAACTTTTCATTTTCTATAACTGCAAAATTTTGATTCAAATTTTGAATTTTTTTTTCAAACTAAAAATTATTTATTAGACAAACGTTTTTATATTTTTTTATAAAAAAAAATTCAAAATTGCGTAAATTAATTTGCCAAAATCATAATAAATGGAACCCAAGTTTATCCAACGATTTAATCGATAACTGATCATCTTTCATTAAAACTATAGATTCACAGAAACTACATTAGCTAGTAAAATTAAACTCATGTCATGTGCATGTCTGAATAACGATGAATTGGGATGATTTTTGACCATATAAATGATTATTCATTTGGTGTTATATATCTCCTAATAGCAGTATTGCAGTAGGTTTTGACGCTATGTATACATGTGGTTAAACGTTCTTGTACTTTCCATTTTGTCCTGCTCGGGCACGTAGTGATTAAACGAAGGACGTGGCTCTAATCCATATCTGTTGATGAATCACCCCATGATAATGAACCAAAAACATTGTCAAATTCTGCTTAAGAAATTAAGAGAGGGTTTGAGTACTCTTTACTGTGAAATATTTCAATATCATTAATTTGAATGACCCTTGTGTGTGTATATATATATAAAAGGAGTGGAAGTCTCTTTTCATTTTAAATTGAATGCTTTGTTACGTACCAAATCATTAAAAGTTGCGTCTTTTTGGGGGGCTGATCTTCGATCCAAGACGAAAGTGTACACTATGACGTTAAATGTGTAGATGTAGCATCTAGTCGAAGTCTAGTGGTGCATGATAATTTTTGTTGAAAGCGTTGATGATGTTACATGCGGGTTACCTCCTATCTGGACTACACACGTCTTTGTTTCATTTTATATCCAACCAACAACCACTTCTGTGCCTATATCTATCATGTCTTTTCTTTTTTGTATATTTACACACGATACAATGTTTATGGATCCTTACTGATTACAATAAGGAGCCCTTTTTCTCAGATTAGCCGGTTCAGGTCATGCTAGTTCTTGAATTATTAAGGCCCACCTTGACCTTTTAGAGGCTCCATACCTAATGATGCAACAGATTAGAAATCTTTACAAGTTATTCAACAATAAAATCGATTAAAAAAAAAACTTTTCAATAATAACACTTGTAAGAGGTTTAATAACTTGGGATGTTGACCCACAAGTCCTCAAACTTGGTACAAGAGTAATTTGGTACAATGATACCGAGAAATATCTACGTCCAAATATTTATTGCTTGGTAGAACGATGGATTAGACATCCAGTACCGATCACAACCAGAGTAGATTTTATAACGTAAATTCTGATTTGATCGCAATGACTATTCTATTTTCCTTTTCCTCCCTCTTACGGCTTTGTTTTGTTTGTTTTAGGACGGTACAATATTTAAAAGGACGAGTCTATTTTTCAAGTCCTAGATAGACTTCACAGGCATCCAGTCCAATTAGAGTATAATTATAATGATTCCGTCTGTCTCTTCTCAAAAATCCTAGAAATTTCTGAATCGGAAACGAAGGAAAATGACCAATTTGGTCCTACCTTCCTCTGTTATGACCCCCCATGAAGTCATGAACCCAATCCTTTGATGGGCCTCACAACCGTATGGCTTCTTAGAAAATCATTCCTTGGCATATTTTTGGAAGCCATGCGTCTTATAGCCATTGCACCCATGGTGAAGGAAACTGTGAGGATCACCCAGCAATAGCCTCTACATTAGTTTTAACAGTTAAAAATATGGATCACAATTATTATTGTTGTAAATCATTTAACAACTCGTGCTATTTTTTTAATAATACAAGTTAATTTGATAATTTTATTAAATAAACAAAATAATTGATTATATATATAATTCAATAATAATACTTGCACTATTAAAAATAAATGTTATTCATGGTTCATGACTAATACGAGCGTTAATAACAAATTAAATTTTAATTTAACCTAACTTTAAAATTATTATTCAAAAAATTGTTATAATAAAATAATAATTTAGTTATTGGTTGCTAGGATGAAAGAAAAATTCACTTATAATTTCATTGTACAAGAAAAAAAAACATTATCAAATATTTTAAATTGTATTAGAGTAAAAAAGATACAAAAATAATTCTAAAATTAGGTTCAATTGTCAGTTAAAAGCATAGAAAAAAACAGACATAAAAGTAATTGTATGAACAGGTTTATTTATTATATACTGAAGGTTGGCCCAAAATATATCGAGGTTTTAGTCAAAACTCATCGCAAATCTAAAACTTCTGCAGTCATCTCCCTCCCTACGTTCTTTTTTCCTACATGACATTTTTGTTTGGTTTTAGCAGCAGTTCGTTTTTTCTTCATTTCACGCCTCGTCTTTCCCTTTTCTACATTGAAAACTTCTTTTTATCTTCCTTCCTCTAAATCCAATTCTCCCTTCGACTTTTTTCTTTAGGTTTCAATTAAATTTGACAGAAAATTGATGCTTTCAAACACAAATCTAAATTTCAAAGAAATTGCAGATAATAACTTTATTTCTTACAAATAACAAATATAATGGCCATCACATTAACGGCTTAACAATCGTTATCCATGTGAAATGCCATCCCTTAACTTATAAGGCACACCAATTCCGTTATGAAATGGCCATCACATATCATAATGGGTGTTTTTCAAAACTATGGCCTCCATTGTAAGTACAGACAAATCTATGTTCATCAAAAACACGAATTCAGAACGGCAATCACTTGAAAGCAAAGTCATTTCAAAGCTATGCTTATTTTTTTAAGTGTTTCTTGGTTGTACTTATGAATCCCTAAAAGCAACAATTACAACGACCAAAAAAACAAATCTCCATTGATAAAATTCCAAAGAATGATAGATATTGAATCAATACAAGCAAGAATAAGTAATATGTACAACATAAAATGTTAATCACATGAGGTAACAGAAAGTGCTACACGAAGATCATTTGAGGTTCCACATATATACATACGATATGTCTCTATTTCTTGTTGAAGACCTCTTGGATTGTGGGCTGCATAATGATTATTGCTCAAGCTATCACGCACTGAAAATATTGTCTCCCTGACAATAGGTTCATGACCGTTTAGAAGATTACCCATACTTAACACTTTTCTCCATGACTGATTAGCAGTAGGTGGAGAGAACATATTTGATACACACTGCCTCTCACGCGTCATTACTTGATACTTGATATCAAACTCCTAGGTGAAGACAACAAATCCACATCATATCAGTCCAAGTTCAAATAAAACAACTAGGATACCTATACACTATAAAGGTCACAACCTGCTTATTACCAAGGTACTCAACCCCAATCAATAAATACGAGTCACTATGGACAATTCCACAGCAGTTCCATTTCAAGTCTATCAATTAGTGTCATCTACTTCAATGGTCAGTATGGAATATATAAAATTCCACAATTATTCCATTTAACACAGATAGCCCAGGCAAATACAAAAAATCATTTTGAAGATGCATTATCAATACAGCTAGATATTAAAATATCCTTTCATTTCAGTTTTAACTAATCTCATAATACAAATCCACATGCCAATGCAATCAGATCGATGCATCATAATAATAAGAAACAGTTTTCAATTCGCATGAAAGAAGTTTTACCTTTTCGTCAACATCTTGAGAGCCTGTTGACCCTGTTCCCATTCTTGGAAGATAAAAGTTGTAGTAGTCGGTGAAAATTGCTTCAGAAAGGCGTGGAGCCTGCATGAACTTCCGATGAAGAGAAGCTGCAAGAGTAAGCAACTTCTCAACATGTTCAAAGATAACACAAAGGCGTCTTAGGTCTTCGATGGTCTCACTGTTGCCAGATATATGATTTGCTGCCATACAGACAAGATTTAGAAACTTTTAAGAACTCGCTTACAAAGAAGTTTAATCGCAAGGCAAGATGAACAAGAAAAAGTAAGAGAGGATCTACTTTGCAATGGCTTCAATGTGGATGCCATAGTACGGTACAGTTGCTCCATTTTTGCTGTCATCTGCTTCAAGCCTCCAAAATTAGTCTGGTGTAATGTGTCAGCTGATGCTCTGAAGGTGGTACAAACCATCTGCTCAAGCAGTTGATGAGGCCGCAATGTCTCCAAGTAATGAAGGATCTATAGAATTCAAGTAACCTATAATTGGTCAAAACAATAAAGAAGACAATAGGGAAACTCCAAAGACACAGGAACACGTCCTGACCAAAACATATGATATCAATCGAGACATTGATCTTTTATTTATGTTATCCTGAAAGAGTCACAAGAGGCCTATGAATTTGCAATCTGCTGTTTCATTCACTCTTAAAAGTAATGATCTTACATGTAATCAGCTTCTTCATTTACTAACCAATCAGGTTATTGTTTGCAATTAGGGGAATTAGTGGAGTTGATTGTGGAGTTAATTAGCAAAGAATTCAAAATATCACAGGTATAAATCGACTGACCTAAGCACAAAATTAGAATTTAGTAAAATTTCAAATAGTTGGCTCTGAAGCTTCAGCCAAGAATGATGTGCACCGTTTTTTGTTCAAAAGTTGGGTCCCATGACCCCTTGCATAGTCTCAAAAGGTTTGAATGTAGGCATCACAGCTTCTGATTTTGTTTAGCTAAATAGCACCATGGTCTTATTACACTTGGGTTTCTAGAAGCTAAGAAATCATTTGAGATGTTTTTGGGAGTAACAGTAACAAGTTCATATCACAATCAGAATAGCAAGACACACCAAAGAGCTTGTAGTCCAGTGGCAGTGGTCTTTTACGATAAAGGTCACAGGTTCAAATCCTAACATACTAGTTCTGCTAGGAGTATTCGGTGTGTGAGTTAAAAAGAAAAAGAAAAAAAGACACAAACTTAAAGATGAATGCTTTTGGCAAACTGCACTCATCCTCCAAAAAACATTTACTGGTTGTTTAATTGACTAAAGGTTAACTTCCTTCATCTTTTCAGCAAAGAAATGATACATATGAGCACACAAACCAAACATAGCATAGCATGAAATAGAAGTTAGACTTGATGGTACAACGTACAAGCTGAACATAATGTTATGATTGCAATAAAAAATCATCTGACCTTCTCTCCTTCTCGAAAGGGGTCTAGTAGAGGTTTCTGCTCATACAATGGCAAAGCAGGAGCATCATTCCAAATCTTTCGCCACGAATTCCCTTGCTCAGACATCCGTTGTGAAAGTCGTCCACTAGGTGGCCAATCATCCTTCAAACCCTTTGTTGCTGGACTTTTAGATGATCCACTTTCCTCCTTTTCATCACTCTCCCAATCACCCGGTGAATGCCACCGAATAAAATCTTCAAAAACAGCATCTGGATTTGCTGCTTTGAATGCTGACATGTCTAATTGAAATTTTCAAAGATTGCAATAAAAAAAATCTTAGAAAAGTGGAAGAAAAAAGTGCTTGTAATTGAAAATGCACATTTGGTAACAAAAAAATACTTTTAACAGATGAATACAGACTCCACCCACATAAGGAAATGTATTGCATCATCATGCAACATAGAGGTGGTGAACAGTATAGGCTTCTCTTCTATTATAGTTTACACTGCCATTGTTTTCTATAATTTATTTATTTTTTTATAAAAACTGTTTTGTTTGTTATTCAAATCCCTCCCCTGATTTAAATTTTCTATGTTATTGAAAGAATATTTTGGATGTGGCTACAAAAAGACAACAATAATGAACCGCAAAACTAACCAACAATACGAAGGACTTAGAAAGGAAAAAATGGAAGCATATTCAATACCTGAGGATAAGATATCTTTCTCCAACTGGGCAGAGAAGTTCTGCAATGAAATTGCATGAAGCTTCCACAGTTAATAAATTTATAAGTTTCTTTCACTAAAAATGAAAAATTAAACCCTCTTGATTAATAAAGACAAAAGATTTTCAAAAAATAATTCTTGTCAAATGTTAGATCCAGAATCCAGACGATAAGATGATCTTTCAAGAGTAAGAAGCATACTTATTCCATAAATGCATATGGAGGTGTTTGAAATCTGTTTCACTTCTTGAGCCATATAACAACAAAAGTAATCATTTTTCACTAAACACAACTAAGGTTTAGCGTTTCTTTTTGTTTCTTCTTCTTCTTCTTCTTCTTCTTCTTTTTTTTCATGATGGCAAACTAAGGGTAGTCAGTACCTATGCTTTATTGAAAAGATGAATTCCAACTAAGATCAGTAGTGTTGCCTCTTCTGCTGTGATGAAAAATTTTAGTCGTATCAGGCACAGGACCACTATCAGACATTAAGACAAACTTCTGTAAAATTTTTGGGATTTAGCACCTAAAACAGCTTCCTCGTACCAACAAAATCCTTCCCACTCAATAACTAATTTAAAGTGTTTAGATTAGATCATAAATCATCTCATTCACAAGTCACAGCTCCTCACAATTGATGTGAAAAACAACATATGAATACAACCACGCTATAATGAAGTGACGAAGGAAAAAATATTGTGTATAAATAAATGATTGAGCTTACAAAAGAATTCCCAAATGCTTCAACAGCCTGCAGTCTTTCTTCATGCATGTCTTCTGTCATAAGTGGAGCAACCTATAACATTTAACAGACAAACATAAATATTTTTTATCCATTGAAGTTTGTTGATAACAATCATGTGATAAGAATGTCAAATGGTCCAGACTCTTAAAGAGATAGAAAAACCTGTGTGAAAGGGGCATGCATGCTCTGATACGACTTCAGAAGTTTCATAGACCCCACAACACCAGCTGAGCCCCTCCTTTTATGATCAGAAGATTTCAAATCAACAGACACGGTATCTCCATGCTTCATGCTAGGCCTTGAGGTCGTGCCACTCCCATGCAAACCATCCTGTATCAAAGGGCTGCCACATGCACAGCAAAGTTATGGGCCAGTAACATACATGGGATAACATGAATCGTTCTTGAAGCCAAAAGGCCAAAGGTCGTAATGTCCAATAATGTATTTCTTCATTCGAGGCAATGTAAATAAATTTCTAACAAAAAAGTCCTGCCCGATTCAAACTCGACATCCATCAGGAACAATTTCTATACTAACAACTTTTGGGCTCAAAAAAATTTACTTCGCAAACATTTTTAAGAATACTAGCAATATCTTCCAAAAAACAGAAGCAAAGAAACTTCAAAGTTTCTCCTTTTAGTGGAAAACTCAGCATCCAGACTCTGATCTACATAAACTCGAACATAACCACCAGCATAATGAGCCAACAACTATGTATTTGTAAGTTATTTAAAAGGCAAAAAGGCAGAATACAACAGACCAGATCATGGAAGGAAAAGAGATTGATGAAGAGGAATGCCAGCATCCTAATACACGAGTTATCTTTTATTCTAACTGAAATATATATTACTATATGTTCATTCACGAGATTCATAGAGCTGCTCTTTTTCTCACACACACACGTAAAAGAAAAAGAAAAAAAATGCAAACAACCTTAGCACAATAACTTTGATGCCCGTATTGGTTGTTAAATGGAGAAAAAGCATACTTTTATATTTTATTAAAGCTAAGGCATAATCCTACCATTTCAAGTTTTTACGAGAGATTCATGATTGTATCTCCATTGGAAGAATAACATAAATACCCAACTAGATGCGCTTTACCAAGAAAATGCTGATCAAATAGGAACTCCCAAAAGTCACGCAGAAATTAGTATTTTTTGGGGCAACCTCAGATTAGTCCCCCACCTATAAACCTGCTCTAATTGGGTCCCCAGAAAAAAATTATTTTTTAAGATACCTTAATGTTGCATGCCAAAATTTACAATGATTTTAGACAGGACTCAATAGAGGATTTTTGATGTGATAGAGACCATATCAGTTAAAAAAAATTGGCTGGGGACTCCCTTGAGAAACAGGGGATACGTTAGGGACTAAACTGACGTTAGCTCTTATTTTTTAAAAGTATAGAACCGAGTTGTTGGATGAAAAACATATATTCCTCAGGCCCAGCCAATTTTATGTAGAAAATAAAGGAGCTCTCACTTGCTAAGTTCACCTGTCTCGAATCCCATCAAACTCATCACCATGTATTTGTTTATTGGTTATCTTGTCCCCAACTGGACTGTCTTCCTGCAAAATCCATTGAAATGGCACTTAAAGCCCAAGACGAAAAAACAAACAGCAATCACCTAAGTTCAACTCAGTAAGGAGCAGAAACGCTAATAAAGAACTTAAAACAAAAACACCATGTCACCTCCATATGATCGTAAGAATGTTCATTGCTGCCTACACAATCTTGGAAGTCTTCATTCATTTCGCACTTCTTCTCAATGCATATAGCAAGCTGAACAGCAAAAAGCAAAATGAATGACCGACTACATATGTGCTATAAAATGAACACAGACAAGGTGCTTAGATGTTTTCAGTTCCCCGTCAAACCTTAAAGATTGATTCATTTGTAATGTGTTTCTCAGGACAGAATAGAGAACTATAAATGACAAATGAAAAACATGGATTGGATGATGAGTGTGTTGCTAGGTGGAGGCTGAAACCAGCATGTGAATTAGGATTTATAATTATGAATTTTGGTCGCTGTTTGGTTGTCGGAAATATCAAGGTTAGGTGAAGGATTTCTGAGGCAGCAAGCTAGTTTGCTGATTAAGATCTTTGTGCTAATTGGACTAGGGATTAGACTATGGCAAGATAGGTTGTTCGATAGTTTATATGATGAAAACACAGGCTGTTTGTAATGTTGACCAAGTTCCAGCAGGCAGTAGCAAATTTCAGATCTGAAAGAGAAGAAAATGATTAAAAAAAAAAAGACAGAGAGAGACAAATCGAAGGCATCCATTCCTAGGGCTTCCTAAGCAATTTTGGTATTCTGACAAAAAGTAATGCAGGGTTTTCTAATTATCAGATCTAAATCAAAGTAGAGTAGGCAAGGAATATCTCTTAATACAAAGTCCAACAAGTCTCAAAAACTTACACTTCATTGAAGAACAAAAACAAGAACCCATCCTAATTCCTCCAAGCCAGGTAAAATATTTCGTGATTTTTTAATTACCAGATCTATTCATGATGCCAAATTAGAATGCCATTTTTACATGACAAATGATGGGCTTTGAGCAAGAAAACATCAACCTGGATATTTTAAAAAGAAAAAGAAAATGCAGTGCACCAGGTTTTTCAAAATCTCAACTCACAAAAGCTACCACCAGGCAAACTCAGCTGATATGCTTTCTAATGTGGAACAGGTTATTACCATTTGCAATTTCTGGTTAATCAAACAAGTTGATAGGTCAATTGAGCCATTGGGCTGCATTTTAGGAAGAGGCTGTGACTCTTCCCAGCACCAACGAACTTCTCGAATAAACTCTATCCAGAGCACAGCAATAGCTAAAATACACAAGAATAAAAACCTATAGTTACATACAAGAAAAAACAGAGATTAAATATTTTTTAAGAAAATCTCAATAAATTCATGTGTTGTACAATTTGATAACTGTATTCTTAATCTATATTACACAAATAAAGCATATGCATTTTTTAACATACCACGTATATTGCAGGTCCCCACCCATAGAGCATGCAAGCAAAACAGTGCAAAAAGAGATCCAAATGGTGCGCCCTTAATAGCTCGAGAAATCTTATGCTCACCTTTAGCAAAAGCAATCACTTGAGACCCTGATGGAAGAAAGACAACAGTTAGAAACTTCAACAGAAATGGTTACTCAGCAGTTTCCAATTGCATCTAAATCCTGTGTATTTTCCTTCAACATATCCCCATTAATTTGACTTATAGCATTTCTTGAGGTTCAGACTTTTATTCTATGTTTTCTCATATTTCATTCCATCCAAAGTACTAGGCTAATTTCAGCTACACTCAGAGTTGGGTAATCTGTGCCTATGATATCCAAAATGGGTTCAGACAGAGCAGCGCTGACCATGCAACAATAACATGTTCATGACAGAGCAGTAATATTTCATTTTTTTAACATTGGCACAGTATTTTAAACACTAAAATGTGCCCACAGTTAAATCAAGTATGTTTTAAGCAGGTTACAAGCTTCATACAAGCAGTTTGACAATCTAGATAAACCAAGCACGAGAAATGAAGCTCGGACTTGTCTAGGAATGCTCTTATTGGAGTCATGACTGATGCTAAACAGCTACCGAGCATTTAAAGTATCAAAGAAGTGAAATATCATATAACTATGGTAAAATTATGATTCAAAGAGAATAGAACCAAGTAAAGCCCCACCCCCACCCCCAGTAAAACCAAACATGAAATGTGTACCCTCGTGAAAAAGATCTTTGAACACACGATCAAGAACAGTAGGTGGCGGTACAACCATTGAGGATTTGAGATTATTAGACCCGGAGTTTTCAACTGCTTCAAACCAAAACCAAGAATAAGAGAACGTGAAAAAATAACATGCAACTAAGTAGAAGGAAACCTATGAGTTAAACTGACAGGACAAGAATTAATGAATCATTTCGAACCTGACACAAAATCTTCAATAAATTGGGCATCAACTGACATATTTAGAGCATCAACCAAAAGGTGCAATTGAGAAGCATAGCCAATTCTGTTTCCTTCTGAACTATCACTTCAAGGAATAAGAGAGTAGAGAGTTTCAGACGTACAAAATTTTACCTAAGATTTTTTTTTTAAAAAAACAAAAAGCAATTGGAAAGCACCACATGTAAGAAAAGAATCTGCCAGGATATGTTAATCGTATTTGTCATATCAGAATCGCGAGAAAATGCAAAACTAATTTATTCTTATGACAATATATTTTGGTTCCTTCACTTTTATTTTGGCAACCCAAACCACAAAGCACTGTGGAGAATAGTGAATGGGAGAAATCTTTTGGTGGTAATTGGTAGAGCTCAGGATTAAGGTTGTGGAACTTGTACAAGGAATTTGAATTCTGATCTAAATTATTTGACAGGGAAAAGAAAATAGAAAAGAACAAAAATTTTCAGGCAAGCAGGTCAAGAAATCACTAATCACTGCTTCATAGAAAGCCTAACACTTTCCAAAGGGTAGAAAACATTACAGCATAAAATCTTATTAATTGCTTGCATTGTGTGTTGAAAAAGATACTAATAGAAGTTCATATAAGTTCATGATGACAACTCTAAGCAACTTTCGCTATTGACTAAAGAAATATTCCAGCAATGGACCCATGACATAGCAGAAGAATAAGATTTTTATGAATAGTAGTATCACAAAATGAACATAAATAATATTTTGAACGTAATAATTTTCTAATCATAATTGCATATTAAGTGATCTATTGAAAGAAATTTCTTACAGATTTGGGGACAGAATTGGAAGAATCATCCACTTCTCAGCTTCATGAGGCGAGGCATTTTCAAGTTCAGCCATTTCAAGAGAGCTTTCAACCATCTTCTCAGACCATGTGGCAGTCAATTCAAGTCCTGTGACATTTAATGCATCATCAAAAATAAGAAAGCAAGTCTTCAGAAAGAAAAGGTTTACGGTAAGGACAAACATAGATGTGTTTTAATTAGCTCAAGAACTTCAGGTATAGTCAGAAATAGAAAGTATTGCATAAGATAGCTGGAATGAAGTTTGTTTTGAATATTTAAGCATGCAAGGGACAAGCCTGGTCAAATGGTGTGCATGTGCTTTTAAACTAAAAATATTTCTACACAACATATTCCACTCTCTAAACTCTAATAGAATCAGCCATGGAACAAGGAAATAATCAGAACTAGGAAATATTATTAATGTATTCAATAGAAGTTTACCTTTTACTGGGTCTTCTGCAGAAAACCACTCGCTCCATGGGCAATCATCATCCCACTGAGATTTATTGTGGGTCTCACTACCATGATTCTCCCCATATTCTTCTTTTTCACTACCAAGACTTTGGAGATCATCATCATCGTGGTGAATGATTCTATAGGTTGATGTCATTATAAAATGAACTTTGTAAAGATGCATAGCAAAGTCCAGTGTAGAGTAGGCCTTCAAAATCAGACAAACACAATAACATTGAGATGGAAAAGAAACCACAAGTGACCATAAATGCCAAGCAAAACGGTAGCTCAAATGGGAACAAAATTAGGTGTAAGTAGGTTATTGAAGCAGATTCTGATCCAGAAATTAATTTGCTCTCTCAAGGCATTCGGCTAGAAATTAGATCTTTTGCTTTAACAACTTAAAAAAGAGGGATTAAACAACAAGTATATGCACGAAAGAAACAGCAGGCATATCAAGAGCACGAATTATCTGACTATTCTGCAAAAAAAATGAAAATGCAATAATTTCCTAGGTTGTTAAAACAGTAATGATCAAAGGATGTCCTATGTAGATCATGATAAAGCATCAGATCTAAAGGAGACTTACAAATTTAGAGACAAACAACTCATATAACCCTTCCAAATGCATGAGCTTTACAGGAACCTGACTACCAATACGATCAGCCTCAAATGTTCTAGTAAAAACAGTTCCCATATTTTGAATTCCAATATAAGCCTTCCTAGAAGGATCGTGAACTGGAACAAAAGCTGGCCACAAGCTGCATTTCCAAGTGCAAGACATTAGAAACCAATCTGATGTGCTCACACTCTAAATTCTAAAGCAACAGAAATTAGTTATTTTGCGTGCAAAAGCCTCATTGGAAAACCTATTGAAACTTCAATTCTGTTTTATTAAGAAAGGGAACAAGACTGGCATGACACCAGCCCAAACAACAAACATGCGGTTGTGCCTCATGAAATGTAGTACTATGTAAGCTTATAAACCACCATTTTGCACTAACATCTAGAATCTTTGATTCTAAAACTTACCTGGAGCAATTTGTCAAAGCAATTGCAACTGCACTTAAGAGCTTAGAAGCCTCGGGTGAATCAAGAACCACACCACTAACACTTTGAGGAGCAATAACCTAGTGATCCACAAACACATTAGTCATGGCCACAACAAAACATCGAAGAAACCTAAACAAACTGCAAAATAACGACTTTGCAAATACCACAAAATCCTTCACTCCAAAGCATAACTGTAAATCATGCAATGTACTATTCCCATCCACAATTTTGCCTGCATCAACCAGAACTTAAATAAACACATGACATTCCAGAAATCTCTGCTGCAGTAATTAAAACTATTTAGAACAAAATGCTTCCAGTACCTCCGCTGCTAGTTTCAAAATAATACTCGATGTTATAGCTTTTCAACGCGTATTTCAACTCGAATTTAACCTTATATAACTTCTGCGAAAAATCCAACTTAACCGCACCCTTTTCCTATAATCGAATGATCAAAAAAATCCGTAACGAAGCCTATTTTTCACATATCATTCATTCGCGGAAACTAATAACTAGTGAATTAATAAAACTTACCAGTAAATTTTTTGGACCATTGGCATGCCACTGCCTACAGACTGCCTCTATTTCAGAAATAAACCTATAAATTAAAGAACCAAACAAAAAAAAGGGAAAGAAAACGATAATCAGTCCTTTCATTTGCTTATGTGTCAAATAGATTAATAAGTTTGCTATTACAACAGTAATAATAAAATAAAAATGAAGACACCTTTCCCAAGAAGAGGCGAGCGTAAAATCATCAAACCTTTCGAGCTGAATCCAGTAAGTGAAACGCGATCAGTTCAAATTCCTTATCAATATGGTAACAATTAATATAAATAAGCAGAATTGATCGTATGAGTTTGAAAATTCGAAATGCCAACTAAACCTCCTCTTCGTCTTCTCCAGATAGGTCCACTTTGCTTGTAGATGCCATTAAAGATGAGGTTGATAGGGATCGCTAAGACGCTAATTTGAGATAGCTTGCATTGGTAATGGAACTGGTGGACTTGAATTGGTTGTTAATCGAGATCTGTTTTTGTTGACGAAAGGGCAGAAAAAAAAAACAAAAAACAAAAACAAAAAAATCAAAACAAAAGAGACGATGCTGAGAATTCTGCTTTACGTGTTGGTAGTACCTTGGATATTGGGACTTTCGGTCTTTCAATTTTCGTTCTTGTATTTCATTTTATTTTCACCACTCCCAAACAAGCTATTAAGTTCGCTTATACCACACGATCTGATCTAATAGGAGCCGAGCACCCTGATATTTTTGTTTTTATTATGTTTCTTTTCCTTGGTTATCAAAGCGCCCAAGGCCCAACAATAAAAAGAGAATCGAGCCCTTTACAAATCTGGACTCTTGCTCTTATATATATATATGTTTCCAGAGTCTCTCTGTTTATAACATCCGGAGGTTCTGATGAAGAAAAAGAAAAAACAGCGCGAATTGGGACATCTATCAGCTCGGCTTATCATGATATTGACGGCCCAATTCCTACACAAGTTATTTTTACTGTGTTAAATTTAATGAGTTAAGTCTTGTTTGGTGTGAATTTAGAAAAATTGATTTGAGTTGATTTTTAATGTTTAACTCAAAGAAGAATCATGAGTATATTTAGTTATAAAGAACTTTTTAACTTAAATAAGAAATTTGTTACAAAATTAAGTTAAAAAAATTATTTAATAAAAAATTGAAAGTTTTAAATTCTATAATTAATGGCTCGATATTTCTTTGTATAATAAGGTAATTTTCAATCTGCCATTGTTTCTCTTATTGAACCAATTTTATTCTTGAATATACCTTAACTATACAATATATCATTTTGATAAGATTTTAAGATTAAACTATCGAATTAATCATACTATTTACATATAAACATCTTTTATTTGAGTGGTTTGCAAATGTATTTTGAAATAAAAAAATAATCATAGACAAATCATGCGAATAATTATAATAGTTTGGCTTTAAAATCTTGATAAAAAAATATATTTGAATCTTACTATACATTTAATGATACAATTGACTCGATTATAAATGTAAGGATAGATAAAAGAATTATCTTATCATACAATGGTAGATTGAGTCTTAACTCTAACTTTTAACTTATGAATTCTGACTCGTAATATATTGATTTTTCAAAAAAAATAAAATTTCAATTATTTTTACCAAACATCATTCTAATTTAAAATCATCTTAATTTATTTTTATTTTAAATTATTTATAAACAATAACATTTAAATTATGATTCAGAGTCAAAAGTCACAATTCAAAAAAACATTTTGAGAACGAAGAAATGGAAGTAAAAAATTGTTGTAAATCAAACACATAAACCCTACTCCTAATAAATCATAAACAAATGTCGCAACTCCTTGTTTTTAGTGTGGTTTTTTTTTTTTACATATAAAAAAAATAACCAACATGTTCTTATAAAAAGCTTTCAATAAACTGATGATAGGAAAAATTAAGCCATTGAGACCAGCGTTTTATTCAAAACTTCAATAGTGGTTTTCGTACATCCATTTAATCTGACATGTTTATCAAGGAAAAATACAAGATACTTATCGTGTATACTTTTGATCGAAAAATACATATAAAAATTGAATAAAATCCTAAAATTAACTAGGAAACGATGCTTGAGAAAATTTAAGAAAATATATAAAAGTTCTAACAAAATATGAAAATTTGATTAAAAGTTCCTCGAATCTTCGCCCAGACTTAAAATAGAAAAAAAAATTGAATGAACTTTGGCTGGCTATTGACTAATGTATTATTGTTTTTCATTCGTATGATATTTCATTAAAAAATCTGAATATCCGAGGGAGAAGTTTTATTTTTTTGGTTTTACGAATAATTCTAAAATCAATTTTTATAAAATCCATGCTGCTATATCTTTTTTTTTTTTTTTTTGTAACCGATCATTGAGAGTTTTTTTTTTTTTTTTTTTATCTTTCTAATTTAAGTTTTTTCCGCCAGTGAGTCCGCCTTATGTCAAGACTTGATAATAGATCTACTATATTTAACCAATATTATTATATAAAGACTCAGCAGAACATAAGGTTCAATTAACTTCTTTTTTCCTTATTAGAACCTTCTCCTATTATATAAAGTCGTGTTGATCAATTTTCTCTTTTTTTCTTCCTTGTTAAATTTATAAATATCTTGTGAAATCTATTTCCAAAAAAAAATCCTGATATTTTGTTCGTGGACAGGGCCAAGCTAAAAAGGCCCAAACGCTTTGTTCAAGAGATTCTCTTCATGGAATGAGCTATTTGAAACCGGTAGCAAGGGGCCCAACAAGCAATGAATAACTTAGCTAAGTAGCATAGAATAAAACATCCCGTACAGACTTTCCACTTAGCGTGAGAATCACAACAATAACGATTCTCTACGTTTTAAAGATCCTAAAAAATGCAAAGATTAGTATGTGAGCCAGTGAGTCTTTCGAGCATGGTAAAATAGCCACCAGTATCACAATCATCGTAGTTGGTACGGTCCCAACAATTTGGTCAAGATAACCGGCTCGTACCACGTAAATCACCGTTCGCGTGATTATTGCTTTGTAGGGACCCTTTGCTGACCGTCAGATCAACACTGGACCCCACTAAACCCGTCTGATCAAACTCTCTTGGTTCCACACTTTCCTCTCTTATCATCAAACGCTCAGTCCTCTCCGAGATACAGTGATTCGTCAAAAGAGTATCCTATCACAATAGTTATAGAAACAGAAGTTGTTATTAAATACGTAGGGAAAAAAAAACTTTCAAGTTTTTCTAACTTTTGAGATTTTAGATATGAAATGTACATGAATCCTAAAGCTGTATTAGCTTTTGGCTAAAATATATATATTTTTTGATTGCCTTTTTTACCAAAAAATAAGAAATAAAAAAAAATGAGTCACGAGAGGTAGTAGGTTCGAACAAGTGTTATCTTCGTTTATTCTAACAAAAAGAGTTCACAAACACACATAGTCAAATCAATCAAGTTCAACTCAAACTCATAAGTAACAATAAAGAGCAATAACTAATTAGGCGGGTTCAAAGTCTTTAGAAAATAGCTTTCTTTATTGAGACAAGTCGTCTCTAAAAAAAAGCTTAAAAACTCTTTCATCCTAAGGCATCCCGAGTCGGGTAAGAAAGATCTCATTTTCCTTTATTATCGTCAAAAGAGACAAAGCATTTAATGAAAAATGCTCTCATACGAGATACCGATAAAATGACATTCATCATGAGAGCACTAACGTCATTTCATATCGGATGAATAATAACAAATCACCACTAGTTATTGGGTTAACCACTAATGTCGCAAGGAAAAGACAATTATGTTTTTTTATCTCGCAAGTTGTACTCATGATCGCCTATATAAAGGCCCAAATCACTAAGAATTTGAAGTTTTAATTTATGAATAATTTCCTCTCATTTGAAACCATTTTACTTATAGTGAAAATTTTTTGTTCAAAGAGTCTTTTCAAACCATTTTGTCATTTTTTTATTACTAACTTGATCATTAAGGGTCTTTCATTTAATCGAAAGACTTATTTTGTAGGTATCAAATATAAAAAAGTGCATGTGTTTCCTCTTGAATATCATATCCTCGTTTTACTTGTGTGAGCCACACACCTCTATCTTATTGGACGAGTCTTCCATGACTCATTAGTTGGAGTCTATGGGAAACCGAGTGAAAAGCCAATTTCCTCATAATTATTTATTCGTTCTTTAGATCATCTTCGACCTTACGTATAGAATAACAATTGAAAATTTCCAACCACACTACTCCTTTAGATTTTACTAGTCCCACTCGCTTAACTTCGATGTTTGTTTAGATATAGTAGTATGTTCAAAATAGTACAAAAGTATTTTTGGCACCTCAAACACAAATTAAAGGAATAAATTCCTCACCGTAAACACCTTCGTGTCCTTGAGCTTCGAATACTCCAATGTCATAACTCACGACATCTTATGCGGAATGAGCTTTCTCTTTTTCTACACCAACCAACGAGGTCGGCATTCACCTTTCGAAATGTAAAAAAGGCATGCTAATACAAGAAATAGAGGAAAAAAGTCCTTGTATTTGTTTAAAAATTCAAAGAAATCATGTATATTATTTAGGAAAACAACCCACGAGTTAGCGATATCATATGGAAGAAGAAAGAGAAAATGGCATGAACACCATCACAACACCAAAAAGGCACATAATGCCAACAAAAGACATCATCAAAGCTCCTTATAATCGGAACCGTCATCTATGAGCCAAGAGCCTAAGCATCATTATGTTTAAAGAAAACCCAACGTTTCCTCCTACTCTTGATTAGACCATCATAAACATAAGTTTTGTATTGCTTCTAACTCTTTGTATTTTCAATACCAAGCTCTTTAAATAATATATCTCTAAAAAGAAAACTTTAGATAGTGCAATAGCTTAATCGATCAAAAAGAATAGATATATAATGTAAGGAGGATCCTTAAATTAGTACTACAAGGGATGAATGCCATTTGTAAAGTGTTTTTCATAACTTTTCAAGATATCATAAGAAAACAATACAACATTTTGGCTCGTAGATTCATCTTGAGTTTTGATGACTTCATTTCCAAGTTAACTCATTTATCCACAAGCATCTCTACCAAAAGAAGCTTGGTTTACCTTTTTCAATCACATAATAAAAAAAGAGAGAGAGCACTCGAGCATATTTTTCTTGCTTCCATAAAAAAAAATGTTATAAGTGAATGCTTTGTTAGAGTTAATGACAATGAAAACTCTCATCGAAAGGGTTAGCGACAATCGGCTTATGAAAGAAGATATGCGTCATTTTTTCCATCAAAATTTATACCAAGTGAAAAAAGATAGTCGAAGCCATATTAGAGTGAAGAAAGTAGTAGTCGTTAGGAGAACGTATCCATAGTCTTGGAGGCCTACCTACAAATTAAAAAGGAAAAGTCATCATTTATCTATACGGGCTCGAAGAATAACCTAAAGTCCCCTTTCATAGTCATCTTGTATTCTCTAAGCTTCGGACTATTCTTGTAAATACAACTCGAACGTAAATGTGTATAGCCATTTATAAATAAGCATAAGTGGATCATCTATTATCGAGGAAAGGTGTTCCTCACCTATAAAATTAAAAGAAGTATTGTCATTATCACTAGGATTATAGACACAAAATTGAGGATTGTCACTTCTTGAATATGGGAATTGAAAGATTGATTGCTAGGGAATATCTTAAGAACTTCTTAAGATATGATCCTAATCATCATAATGTTGAACTTGAATGCCATTAAAATGACCCTTTGAAAATTATCGTTATTCTATAAGAAGAATCAAATCAAGATAGGTTCCATAAAAAAAAAGTTATGGAAAATGCAATCCTCGTCATAACCTAGTTGTGATACTATAACACGAGCCTATAGTTTTCTCTTCGAAGACTCGACTAGGGTAGCTCGACTCGACTTTAATGCTTTAGTCATTTATGTTATTATCCTTGAATATAAGGATCACCGTATCATGATAGATAATGGAAATGTAGTGAACATCTTGTCTAAATAAACTTTTAGATTGATAGGTTTAGAGACGTCCCAACTCCAATCAATTAGTTTACCACCGATGGGCATATAAAGGAAACAAATGCTTATGGAGAAGATTGTATAAATTCCCCATCGATTAAGCACAAATCCCTAAAAGATCATTATTTTAGCACTCATAATTGTGAATGTGCTTAATGTACAAAATCATCTTTGGGTTACCACTATTATATGAAATAGGTGCGATGACTTACATAATTTAAAGTTTTCCACTTCAAGGGAGATTGCCACTATTCGAGACAACTAGTTGAGTGGGACTACATTAAAAAAATAATAATAAAAACAACTACATGAAGAGAAACAAACTTCAAAATTAAGATTAACTTTTGTTATGGTCCTAGAGTTAGGGTCTTAATGAATACGCATAATCTATCGTGATGATGTAAAGTTTTTTTTTTTTTTTTTTTTTTTTTGCAATCAAACACATACCATGTTAATCAAAATATTCACCTATGTATATATTTTTAGAGACTATAATCGCATCCTATAATGGATGATAGGTCAAACTACCAATAATAAAAAAAAACTACAACTATATCCTTGAAGGGATGGATGGCCAAAACCTAGGAAAAGAGTCCACAACTATACCTTTTTCGGGAGGAATGACCAAACGCCCATAAAAAACTACAATCACATCTCTTAAGAGATAGACATCCAAATTCTATAGGAAAAGTTCATGACCACTATCCCTCGAGGGAAAAAAGTACAAATCTTGTTAGAACATAAAGAAATCAATTTCGCACAAAAGTTTTGTAACAAAAAAAAAGGAAAAAAAAAAGAAACGAGGAGTTACTAAAAAACAAAATTTCTATAATTTCATCAAGTTAACCAATATTACACAAAATACTCTATAGACTTAACGATAAAATAATTACAAAAAAAATATAATACGATCTTATCTTTGATATTGTATTCTCTACCAAACTCTTTTCAAACTTTTATGCTAAGATTGTCTTTCTTACAAGCAAAACAACCGAAGCGATATGAGTACTTTTCCTTGTAAAGAAGAAAGAAGAGTTAATCAAACAAACTTAAAAAACAAAGAAAGAACCAAGTGAAAAAACCTCTATGTCACAAAGAGCTCGTCCGTCAAAAAACAATGAGAGACTTGATCCATCCCAAACACAATAAGATGGCTAATGATAGACTCTAAATGATTCATCGTTTCCATTGCTTTTGGTTGGTTTACTCATTGGTAAGATAAAACTAAAAAAAAAAAAAAAAAACCAACTAAAGAAGCCCTTATGCCATAAAGAGCTTGTGTACTAGGAAAGAACGAGGGGTTTGATCCATTTTAGAAACAATAAGATGGTTGATGATAGACTCTAAATGTGTCATTCTCTCTAACGTAACATTCTTATTGAAAAAGATGAGTAGTGAAATTACCACCTCCAACCTCCGAGCCACCTCTAACTCTCGGGTCATAACTATCTCTTTTTTAGTAAAAGTCTGCATCATAGCCTTTTTTATATTCTCTAATCTCCTTTTTATTTTTATTTAAAAGGATTAAATCTTCTTGTTTTTTCTAGAAGAGCAATATGAAACCCTTAAAAGAGTCATACTGCCTTAAAAATCTTTTTATCTTTAGTCACACACATATAAAAGAGATGAGCTTGCACTTAAAAACACTAAGAATGAGTAACAAGTGAACATCACTCTAAGGATCTCCCATAATAAATAAAAGAATATACACACACATACACCTTTACAACAAGGCTGAACAACATGGTTTTTTCTTTCTCCCTGACCAAAGAACTATCAACCTGAAGCTCCACATCAGCCAAAAATAGAGAGATATCTCTAAAAAAACGAGATGGTATCCTCTTTCTCTTCTTTTAATGAAGCAACATCGCCAAACAAATCTTATAGTAGAAGAAATTTCTTAGTGAGGGCGGAGGGATACCCCTCGATATATGGCTTAGCTTGAAAGGTCTCATCGACCTTCTCAGGATGATGGAAAGAAGGGGTAGTTGTCGCACATGCAGGAAACCCATCAACTTCAATTGGGTTAAATTTTAAGAGAACTTCGATTCATTTAGTCTTTTATTACCAGAAACTAAGTATTTGATTCAGAATCCACGAGTTACATGGAGAATTTAATTGAAATTGTCCCTGTAGGTTGAGGACTTTTTGAGGTTTGCCCCAACCTCAATTACAAAAACACAAGAAAGTACGATCAAATCAAAGCCCATGCTAACAGACTGCGAACTGTTCCCATCACCCCCTACCGCTTTATCATTATTTATTACACTTCACCCTCCATGACAAACCAACCCCAGTAGCCCCACTCCTCTTCATTTTCCCCCTGTCAGTACTTCAACCAAAAAGCAACGACTAAACTCGGAATCTGAACCCAAACACAAAACAACTCTTTATTTTCTTGCTCAAACCTTAACCACTCTGCTCTTTCTTCAAGACCCGCCAACAAATACCCATGGCAGCAGCACTAGAGTGCTGGTCAAGCAGAGCTAGCACAGACGAGGACATGGTAGAACAAGTCCTCATGAGAACGCAAGATAGATCAGAAACCTCATCATCTTCAACAACAACAGCAGCAGCATCTTTACAACTATCTGATCAAAGCTCAAATCTTTCGCTAAAAGACACTATTTCCTCATCCTCTGCAATGCAAAAAAGGCTTCAAAGATTGAGTCGAAATGTGTCTGAAGCCATTGCTTCACTTAAGAACTCATTGAATCTTGATTCACCACGTGACTCACAAGTGCAGCTAACGAGTTCTCAACAGGGTAATTGTAATGGTAATAAGAGTGAGAGATGTAGAAAGGTTGTGTGGGCCAGCGTTGTAAGGAACCTCACTCAGCTGTATCCAGGGAGCCAGTTGCCCGAGAAGCTCGTGTCTAATATTAGGAAGCACTATGATTCCATGCCACTCAGGTTTGGTTTCTATTGGAGATCCTTGCTCTTGTTTATTTAATTTTTGCGTCTGGGTTTTGTTGGAGGAAAATTAGATAAAGATGTAATTTTTTTTTTTTTTTTTTTTTTTTTTTGGGAATAACACTGCCTCACCATTTTGCAAAGACAGTGCACCATTTGGATTTTTTATTTTTTTGCTATTTTTGGGGTCTACTAATAGAAAAAGATAGATGTTAGAATTCGAGATTTACTTCCAATATACCGAAAAAAAGCTAAAAGATTTTACAAGAAAATTACCTTTTTTTCTTCAGAGTTTCTGTTTTGTTTTTTTCTTGTGTTTTTTGGCATAATTGTTGTGTTTTTTTTTGACAGTTATGCTCAGGCAGGGTTTGATATGAAAGAAGTGTTTTTGCACATTAAGTTGATAGAGCAGGCATTAGTTGATGAGCAACCAGCAATAATGATACAAGAAGTATCTGATAATGAGGCACAGGGTAGTGTATACAAACTAACATTTGTTTGTAACTCTTCCATTTCGTGGCCCGCAATGTCTGGTGCATTAGATAGTGCTTCCATTTGCTGTAAGAAGATACAGATCTTTGAAAAGAAGGGATTTACTCTTGGGGTTGTTCTTCTTTTAGTGCAAGCTGGACAAGAGAAATCATTTAAAGCTCGGATTGAAAATGCTTTAAAATCTTCTGTAAAGAAGTCCAAATCCACCACAGTGAAGCTTCCATTTGGGCTTTGTGGGTGTCAAGAAGAGAACACTAAAGGAAACTTTGGTGAAATTGAAGAGGATCCTTGTGAACAGAATTGTAGGAATGGCATTGAGAATTCAAACGTGAAGATTCAGCTTGAGATGCCCTTACCCACTTCGTCAATTGTTGTATCGGTTGATGAGTGGCAAACAATTAATTCAGGTGGGGATGAGATAGGGAAGTGGCTTTTGAACTCTGATAATCTCGAGTTTATTGATCAGATTGGACCAAGTTCCTTTAAGGGAGTTTACAAGGGAAAAAGGGTGGGAATTGAGAAGCTTAAAGGGTGTGATAAAGGGAATTCTTATGAGCTTGAGCTCCATAAAGATCTGTTGGAATTAATGACTTGTGGGCATAAAAACATTCTTCAATTTTATGGCATTTGTGTTGATGAAAATCATGGATTGTGTGTGGTGACCAAATTGATGGAAGGTGGATCTGTTAATGAGCTAATGCTAAAGAATAAAAAGCTTCAAACTAAGGAGATAGTGAGAATTGCTACAGATGTAGCAGAAGGACTGAAGTTTATGAATGATCATGGTGTTGCATATAGAGACCTTAACACGCAACGGATTTCGTTGGACCGACATGGGAATGCTTGCTTAGGGGACATGGGCATAGTTACCGCTTGTAAGAGCATGGGTGAGGCGATGGAGTATGAAACAGATGGTTATCGTTGGCTAGCTCCAGAGGTTTGTTTTCTATCCATCTTCACTAGTTTCAAAATTGGTGTCTTTGAATTCTGGTCATAACTATCCATTTCATAAGCACTTGTCACAGCCATGAACCTAGCAATGACCAAAATGTATCTTGCGTACAGAGTGTTGCCATAGTTCCAAGGTCCCATTATGTGATTACTTATGTGGACAATGAAACCAGTTAATCTTGTTCTTTAGTATGCATTTGAAGTTGTTTTGGTTATCACAATTTTAAGTAAGTAAGAACGATTCCGTGTCCTGCACCAATGCCCTGTGGGTTGTCCGCTTGTTGTCTTGCTCTGAAGTTGGAATGGTTTAGTTTTTAAGGGATCATTGATGTATTTTGAGTTAGTTTGCATATAGATGCTGCATCTTTTATTGTGTATCTGGGTTCAAAGTTAATTATTTGGCTATGAAGACATATAAGCACTGTTAAAATATTTATGCTAATTTAATCTTTAATTGCCTACCCATTACAAGGTACCATAAATGTAACCGGGAGAGTACTTAGTAGGAGTATCTTTTCTTGTGAAAATCTATGCTATAAACGTGTTCAAGGACATTGCTTAGATTCAATGTATGCGGGTGCTTTCTGGTTCCCTCAAATATGCTGAAAGAGACTTTATACCACTCATCCCAACATAATTGTTTGAGCATGCGCGACATGCCTTCATAATTGTTCTTGCTTTACATCTCAATATAACCTTTGCCATTGCATAAGCACCCTTATATTCTCCATTAGAAAAATCATCTCAGCCACTACACTATTGTTTTGGTGCCACTTTTAGCAAAATGGTTTATTAGTGGAGCCCGCCCATTTGATCTTTTGAACTTTAGGCATGATTGATGATCCCTTTGAATACCTAATTTGTAAGCCAATATGTGGGCAAAAACTCTTTCCAAATCCATTTACCTATGGGAGCAATAGACATATGATGATAATATTCAACTCGATGTAATTCTTGAAACATGCTTCAACCAGTTAAGTTGCAGTTGTCCAAGTGCTACGGCCATTATGATACATAAATCTGCCTTCCTAAACAGGAACAGATAAACTGATAATCCTGTCCATTTCTGGTTGAAAACAGATTATTGCAGGTGATCCAGAGAATATTACTGAGACATGGATGAGTAATGCATATAGTTTCGGGATGGTGGTTTGGGAGATGGTGACTGGCGAGGCTGCTTATGCTGCATATTCACCTGTGCAGGCAGCAGTTGGTATTGCTGCTTGTGGCCTAAGACCTGAGATTCCGAAGGACTGCCCGCCAATCCTGAAATCTTTGATGACCAAGTGCTGGAACAATTCCCCATCAAAGCGCCCACAGTTCTCTGAAATTTTATCAATTTTGCTGCGACCTAGCAACAATATAAATAGATAAAAGTTCTTCAAGTCATGTGGAATGTGGTCGGATTATTACTGAATGTTCTGTAAAGAAAGTCCTGTGTCAAGTTAGCAGGTCCTATCATGCATAATTGTAGATTTGGGAAATTCCTATAGCAGTAAATGAAGGTATATTTCTTCTTGTACCTTATTGAATCAATCTCGCAAATCAGGGAAAAGAAGATGAAAAACGGGCGTCGATTGGCCGATTGCATTCGTTAGATTGTCTGCCCTAGTATATGTTTTTTCCATATCTCATCATGTTCGCAGCGCGAGTGATGGAAATATCAAATGTGTTTCTTTGTGTGTGTCGTCATGAATGACTAGGCATTCCACAATGGTTGCAAAAGGATTATTAGAGTAAGAGGAAAAGGTGGAAGAAAACAAAGGGAAACCAAGATTTTTTGTGGTCCTTTGGGCCTACAAATTTTGAGTGATACAAGGAATTTCGTGTATCCCAAGTTCTCTTTTTGTTTATGTGGTGGCCATCGAAGGGACCCAAAAGTTTCCCTCATCTTTTCCGTCGGAAGCAAAATGAGAATGGTAAAACATCCTCCCCAACCCCACCCCTCCACCACCCCCCCCCCTCCTTTTTTTTGAAAGACTAGAAAGGTGGCTTGAGGCATCGCGTTTGATTCTAATCCTAGACCTGCAATTCATTTTCCAGCTCTCTAGTCCGCTGGAGGTGGAAACACGTGGCTTGGACAAAAACTAAGAATGCGCCAATGTGTAAACGCTGTAGGTTGCTGGACTTTGAGGTGATATTATAGTAATCTAATTCCATCATTGGGACCTAATCATATGATTTGAAGGAGGCACATGCCTAGCATGTGCATCTGGCTATCCAGGTCAAAGCAAAACAACGTTTTGTAGGGTTTCAAGATCTGACTTCCTAACAACTCTCGCTGCAGGAATTAATCAAGTCCTTCACCGGTGAACATTGTTCTTTGTTCGTACATGTTGAGTCAGAGACTGTAATAAAAAACTAAAAAATGCTTAGCCACGCTAGGATGATAGATAATATTTCTAAAAATAAAAAATTTTTAAAAATAAACTTAAAAAGTAAAAAAATTAAATGATATAATATTTTCATTGAAAATTATCCATCTTTTTTTTTTTTAATTTGTATCCCTCAAAGAAAACATTATCTTTATAAAATTGTGATGATTTTTTTTTGACACCTCTAATATTATGTAGCACTACTCTAAAAATATACTTCACATGTATTAAGCCTACAACAACATCACTGTAAGCAAAGGAACATTGCGTTTTTTGGTCAGAAGAAGGATTAATCATTCATTAATGGGTTTCTAGTTGGCTGAATTGGTTGAAAAAAAAAAAAAACCCACATAGCACCGCATCAATTAAGGATAAAATTTGAGGGTTCGCTGTGATGGGATGAATCTGAATGAACCAAAACCAAAAGCGAAGCCTCTAACTTGTCTGGCTGAAACAAGAGTCTAACCTTGCATTTTTAACCGTGTGGATGCATCATTTATTTGGATTGCAGTTGTCCGTCCACTGTGCTTGGACCAAATCCAATGGATGACTAACAAAACATTTTTAAAAACTGAAGCAGCAAGTGAATAATGGGATTGCAGAAGTGGCATGATATCATTTTCATGCCACCATTGCGTGAAAGGAAATATGATTTGTTAGTGCGTATAATATTAATCAAAGGAAAATGAACATTTTTAGGCAAACAAACCTCCAATTAGTTTTGGATGATTAAAGTTTTTTCCCCACGTGGCTACCGGTGATTTGTTAGAAGTTATCGGTCTCCAAAATCAAGGTGCCTAACCATCCAGCACGCCATCCACTTGTTTGAGTGTTTTTTTTCAATTTAGATACTTTCAAATCTTATTTGTTAAAATATGTTTCTTTTAATCTTATTTATTAAAACAAGATTTTTTTTGTTATGTACAGTGTAGACCAAATCATCTGCACATATCTTTTATTTTTTTACTGCTGAATTCACTAATCAATTTGTTAATTTTTCTAAAAAAATTTATAAAATTATTGTAGAATAATTACTGGATTTAGCAGATAAAAAAACTGACATATTTAGCAAATAAAATTTAAAAATATTTTATTTGTGCAAAACACTCCACTTGTTTGTGCCTCCGGAAGCAGAGAAGCACAGTTTTCAATGCATCGTCATAATCTTTGTACAGATACTGTATACCTGATGTGCCCGCAGGTGCAATAATGGTACATTAACTACGTTCCTTTCTACTGCTAATTCTGATCGGTTTTTGCGTTCGAGCCTGTCGCTAGTCACTGCTAGCCCGTGACAAGCATGAATGCGCTAGGCTGTTTCCTTGTTCTGTTGTTTCATATCCGCAGGGAAATATGCCTAAAAGTTGTTTCAGGGCTACTTTGCTTTCTTTGATGCTTTTGTTCCAGAGTTTAATTATAAATTAGTCTTCGTACTTTAACAAAATTAATTAATTAGTCCATAAGGTTTTATAAACTACATATTTAGCCCCTATTTAATATGTTTATAAATTTGTCAATTTCATATTCTTTTCTAATTTATTTATATTTATATTTTTTCAGAAAAAAATAAAAAGGAAAAAATAAGTTGATGATATGGGAAAACTTGATACGAGAGAATGCATTTTTGGACTAAAAAAACACTACTAAATTGAGGATGGGCAACGCTAGTCAAGGACTATATGATTACTTTTTATGGTAAAAAGATTTCTTAATTAGTTTTTGATAAAATATAGGTACTAAGTTATGATTAACTTTTTTGATTAGTAAAAAAAATTCAATCATCACAAAAATAAAAACAAAATACAGAGTTCGAAGTTCAAAAAAAAAAAAAAAAGGCCGCTGAAGCCCAGCAGGACCCAATTAACAAGGCCGGGCAGAAAGTTGTTTCGTAAAAGCTTATTACTTTTAGTACTCAACAAGGCTTTAACATTTTTTTAACCCAATTTATGTGCCTCGTCTCATATTTCAGGCCCAAACGTTCGACACCATGAAATTCCATGAGGACCCATGCACAGCCCTTGAAAATGCTTTGGAATTGAAGCTAATTTAAATAATTCCGTCGGTGAAAAAACGGTGCAGTTCTACTTCAATATATGGAAAGTATGTCTCCACGTCACTTGTACTGTAAAAATGAACGTCTGAGTATCGCAATTGCTGGATGATATGTTGTGATAAAATGTGATGGTGTGCAATTAAATGCTCTTGAATTAACACTGTAGACAACACAGCAGAATAAACATTCTACCTGCTAGAATAAGAAATTAAAAAAAAAACATAAAGGTACAGACATGAAAAAGGGAGGAGATGCAGTCGAAAACAAAGAGAGGGAAAGTTCCCAGATTCGTGGTTTACCGATAAAAAAATTATTTTGATTTGGCAACTACCGATGTTTAAATTTCACTTTTCACATATAATTAATTATAATTATTTTTTTAATAGCATTAGATTTAGGTTGATTTGATTTAAAAAACAGTCTAATAATTAATAAAAAATACAAGTATGTTCTGTCGCTAGTTTAGTCTAATAAATAATAAATTTAATCGTGTCAAACTTGGTTCAAATATATATATATATAAGGAGGGAATGGGATGGGTATGTGCGAGGTCTAAGAAAAGAATGGTTCAAATGCAATAATTCCATTTGCAGGGAAGAAGCAACCCTCTATTATTTGTTGGGCCCTTTTTTTGGTTTATTTACTTTGTTTAAGATGACTATCTGGTCCCAGGCTAATGGGCCATTGTTGCAAAAGGAAATAAAGATGAAAAAGAGAGAATAGATTCGGTTTGAAACGGGTGTGAAGATAAAATTCCTTCTTCCAGCATTAAAATTCCAATTTAGGAACTTCTTACCGAAGAAGCAAACAATAAAAATAATCAACAGCAGCTGTCAACCTGTGGCTTGCAGGAAACTCCAAGAATATATTTACTGTATGTGTAACTTTTATTCGTAATTATTGATTATTGGTCTTCCTTGTTTCTACGTTCCAGTTTGAAAGAAATTCGTGGACTTGTATAACCTGACAGAATTGTCAGGCGGAATAGGCCTGGTCGTGTTTGCCTTTGCGTGGTGGCTGCGGTTGACAATATTTCACAGGGAACATTCTTTGTGGTTGATTGTTGCATTCATTACAGTTTTCTCAGGGTAAAAGGTGACAGAACTAATTACGAAGAGGTGCCGTGAGAAAATCTCTTTCGAAACAGATTTTCTAGAAACCAGCATTCAGCAATTTTCTAATTTAATAATCATTCCAAAACAATTAGTATTGCTTAGTATATTATATCTCTGCATTTCAATCTCAAATGATTAACATGGCACAATGTTCTTTGGATTTCTTTTATCACCAAAACCATTCTATAAATAACTAAGTTACAATGGGTTAAGAAAATCCTAAGGATTATGATGAATTGAACACCATTAAATATATTTATATATAATTTCAGAACTCTTATTTAAGAAATTAAAGGACGAAAATCGTCCTGAACAATATGAAAAACAGCTGAGGGAACTTCCTCCATGAAAACACAAAGCTCACCCCCATAGAATCAATTCAATAATCTAAACATTTGAATCCATCCAAAGTTGTTCATTTACTGCACTAACGCTATTCTTTTCGTCAAACACATGCAATTCCATTAAATATAATAAAATGAAATATGCTTAATGTAAAATGAACAAACCAAAAATCTGGACGGGTCCATTAGAATTGTGATAATTGTCCTTCCAAAAACAGCCCTGGTCCCGTCCCATACCAGCCCAAAACCCTTAGACCATGAACCAAATGCAAAACCATAAATACCCTCACCCCTTCTCCACTTCCATTTCTCAAAACCCAAACAAAAGTCTCTCCATTTTACTCCACAAGCTACCATAACCAAACCCCAATCTTCTCTTCCCCCTTCACCTTAGATTCCATCCTTCCCTTTCCCACAGTGCCAATCGGTACGTTTCCTGCTCCTCTAATCAATCCCTTGCTTAACATCTTAGCATTCGAATCTTATCAGGCCTTAGGGTTTATGGATTTATTATTAACACCGATCTTTACCTTTATTTTGTTAAAAACAGATTCTCTATTTTTATTCTTATTTTTTCATTTTGACGATTTTGATGGGTGTTTGTCGCTTGTTTGGCAGTTTGCTATACTTTATGCTTCCTAAAAAGCGACCTGTTGAAGCAGTGCTGGTTGAAGGAGAAGAAGCACCAGATAACAGCGTATCAGATTCATCTTCTTTCAAAAAGAACCGGATCGATTGTGCTTTGGAATCTACTGTGATTAGTAACAAAAACAGTTGTGTTACTGGTAATTGTAGCAACACCGACAGCGACAGTATCCACCACTGTACAGAGGAGGAGTTGATCATGGCACCTGGTGATTCAAACCGGATGGAGATTGATGAGGATCTTCACAGTCGGCAGCTTGCTGTTTATGGAAGGGAGACAATGCGAAGGCTTTTCGGTTCGAATGTTCTCGTTTCCGGGATGCAGGGTCTCGGTGTTGAGATTGGTATGAATTATGAGACATTTTTAAGTTAATTTTTTCTTAACGAATACTAGCGGGGTTTCCTTTTGTGGTTTGTTGGAATTTATTGTGAATAGATTGCAAAATCTGTTTTTATTTCCTGTAAACAAAATTGGATTCTGCGCAATCTAACCACAGACCTGAAAGATAGCAAAAAATGGTGCAGCCAATGAAATAGAGATGGTTGATGGTAATTCCTATGGATATGTGTAGTGGCTATAGCTATAATTTGATGTGCCCCTAAAATATAGATGGAGGCTTTGCCCTCACACTGAGTTTGGGTTCTGCATAATTTCTAACAGAAGAAAGAGGTGGGCTCTAAATTAAATATTGGTGGCTTTAAATCATTTGAGACTACTAGCATCAACAATATTTGATTTGTATATATCATGTATTGAGTAACAAAGGAAACAGAATCTGAGACTCGTGATTAGGAAAGGGAGCTTCTGCTAGCTATTTCTCTTCACATCTTTCCATTTTAGTCCTGTTTGGTTTTTTATCTCTGTTTTTCATAAAATCAATTGGAGTCATATCAGTTTGACATATTTTTATTACCATTGATTTGGGTAGTCTGTATGACTTTTTTTTTCTTTTGGGTATTTATCTAAAACTATGGAAGCCATTGCTCAGTTGAGATAGAGTTATTTAAGGAATGCTACGGACTTTAATCTGGATTGATTCTTGTTCTTGTTGGTGTCAAGCTTTTTGACTCGTTCTGTCTCTCTAATGTGTATCTATCTTCTGTAATTCTCTTACTACAGCAAAAAACCTCATTCTTGCTGGTGTCAAGTCTGTGACATTGCATGATGAAGGAATAGTGGAGCTGTGGGATTTATCCAGCAACTTTGTTTTTTCAAAGAATGATGTTGGTAAGAACAGGGCCCTAGCGTCTGTTCAGAAGTTGCAGGATCTCAACAATGCAGTCGGCATCTCTACCTTAACTACAGAATTGACAACAGAACAACTTTATAAGTTCCAGGTACTTCCATGTTTCTCCACATTGATATTATAAGAAATCTTGCCCAAATATATGCATTGTGCCATCTTGACCAATGGATAATCTCGATCAAAACCTACCAGTTGGGTAGCAGGTCCTTGTCAAGGTTATCAGTAAATCTTTCTTTCACAGTGAAAAATGTTATTGAAAACACATGTCAGAATATGCTACTTATTTTGATCTAATCTGTGAGCAAATCCTCTGTGAATGTGGGATTTTCTTTTGTAACAAGTCAGGTGGTCAATGCCAGTTAAGGTTTGCATTTTAATTCTTGCTATTTTAGGTGGGGCCTGTAGTTATTTTATGCCAAATGCATAAACCTACAAAAGTGAAAACATAGGAACGCCTTTTTCGTTTTGTGTTTGCATCATATTGTTGTTTGACCTCACATTACAAGAAATGCCAATTCTTTAGAATAAAATTGTTTGGTTCGGTGAGCTTCCAATATCTTCTGTCCACAAAGGTTTGCAGGTGTAATTTTCGCTTACCTCTACCAATAAAATGAAGCATAAAATTCATAGCACACTATATAAGATTGTCTCAACTCTCAAAAGCATTAAATGTTCAAAGAAACAATAGTTTAAGGCACGAACAAGAGGACACTGAGTGAAGGGGTGGTGTGCAGGAATTTTGTACACTTCTTGGTACAAAGGATTGCATTGCACCACCTTTCTGGTGCTTTAATAAAATTCCAAGACTATCTAAATGCTAAAGTGAAGGATTTAAATCTTGATTCAAATAGTGGGATAAAAACCATCCAAGGAGTTATATTTTCAGTGGCTCATCACTGTGTCCAGGGCCGGCGCCCCAAAATTTTTAAATTCGCTGCAATTCCTATGATTTAGTATGTTTTCATATTGGTCTTACAATTTTCTTATTTGGCCCCTCCTAAGAATATAGTTCTTTTTTCTTTGAAGTCTTATTGTGGCTAAGTTGCGCCCCTAAGAATCCTAGTCATCTCCTGCCATTGACTGTGTCAATGATGCTTCTTTCTCTGGTCTGCTTGAATGTGTCACTTGCCTTGTTTTGCAGAATACATATGTATTTGCTTACACTTTTTATGCCATATGTTAATTTCTGGTGCTGCAGGCTGTTGTATTCACAGATCTCAATCTTGACAAAGCCATTGAGTTTAACGACTACTGCCATAATCATAAGCCCCCTATCTCTTTCATTAAGGCTGAAGTTAGAGGTCTCTTTGGTTCTGTGTTTTGTGACTTTGGACCTGAATTCACAGTGTTTGATGTTGATGGAGAGGATCCGCACACTGGTATAATTGCATCTATCAGCAATGATAACCCTGCACTGGTGTCATGTGTTGATGATGAAAGGCTTGAGTTTCAAGATGGGGATTTTGTTGTTTTCTCTGAAGTGAAGGGAATGACAGAACTGAATGATGGAAAACCAAGAAAGATTAAAAATGCCAGACCATATTCATTTACTCTAGAGGAGGACACCACAGACTTTTCTACCTATGAGAAAGGCGGGATTGTCACACAGGTGAAACAGCCCAAGGTGTTGAATTTTAAGCCATTGAGAGAAGCAATTAAAGATCCTGGTGAATTTCTTTTGAGTGATTTCTCCAAGTTTGACCGTCCGCCTCTCTTACACTTGGCATTTCAAGCACTGGACAAGTTCGTGTCTGAGATGGGTCGCTTCCCTGTTGCTGGTTCAGAAGAAGATGCTCAGAAGCTTATATCTCTGGCAAGTCACATCAATGAAAACTCAGGAGATGCGAGAGTGGAGGACATTAATCCAAAACTTCTGCGGCATTTTGCTTTCGGTGCCAGGGCTGTACTGAATCCCATGGCAGCTATGTTTGGTGGTCTAGTGGGACAAGAGGTTGTCAAAGCATGTTCTGGAAAGTTTCATCCTCTTTTTCAGGTCGGTATCAATTTTAAATTTTTTGAATCTTCTTAAGCCTGCCTCTCTCTCAAACCAACTTAGGCATTCATTAAACCTCAGTTTTTGTTCCTCTAGCTTTTTACTCTGAAATAATTTATCTATATATTTGCGGTCTTTGGAAATAAACAAATAGGTACTTGTATATACACACTGTTAAAGAATTTTATCTGTATACCTGCTCACTTTTGGGCCTTTAAATTCAGTTTGTTCAGAAGAACTTTTAAATAATGTTAGAGGGTTTAATCTATTAACGTTGAGTAACTTATTACCATAACCTCCTGCCTTGATAAACTTGCCATGTTTAATTTAAATAGTTTTACTTGCGTCCAATGTGGCTGCTCCAAAGTTAAGCATCTACTTAATGATTCATCTTTATTGCTTGCTGTGGTTAGCTAACTTTACCTTTTCTGCTGTAACAGTTCTTTTATTTTGATTCTGTGGAATCACTTCCTACAGCTAATTTGGATCCCAGTGATTTTAAGCCACTAAATAGCCGTTATGATGCACAAATCTCTGTTTTTGGGTCCAAGCTTCAGAAGAAGCTAGAGGATGCTAATTTGTTTGTAGTAGGATCTGGTGCACTTGGCTGTGAATTCTTGAAGAATTTAGCACTGATGGGCGTTTCATGTGGTGAACAAGGGAAGCTGACAATAACTGATGATGATGTGATAGAGAAAAGTAACTTGAGCAGGCAGTTTCTCTTCCGTGATTGGAACATTGGACAGGCCAAATCCACTGTTGCTGCTTCTGCTGCTGCTTTAATAAATCCTCATCTCAAGATTGAAGCGCTGCAAAATCGTGTTGGCCCTGAAACCGAGAATGTATTTGATGATACCTTCTGGGAGAACTTAACTGCTGTTGTGAATGCTTTAGATAATGTCAATGCAAGACTTTATGTTGACCAGAGGTGCTTATACTTTCAAAAGCCTCTTCTCGAGTCTGGAACCTTAGGTGCCAAATGCAACACCCAGATGGTCATTCCTCACCTGACTGAAAATTATGGCGCTTCAAGGGACCCACCTGAGAAACAAGCACCTATGTGCACTGTGCATTCTTTCCCACATAACATTGATCATTGCCTGACATGGGCTCGATCTGAGTTTGAGGGTTTGGTTGAGAAAACTCCAGCAGATGTAAATGCCTATCTATCAAATCCAATTGAATATACTAATGCTATGACCAAAGCTGGTGATGCTCAGTCAAGGGACACCTTGGAACGTGTTCTTGAGTGCCTTGAGAAGGAAAAATGCGAGACATTCCAGGATTGCATTACATGGGCTCGTTTAAGGTACTCCTTTTGGTCTTCCTATTCTTTCTGTATGTTAGGACATACCTTGTTTCATTTTTTGACTTTATGCTCACTTTGTCTTCAGGTTCGAGGATTATTTTGCTGACCGGGTAAAGCAGTTGATTTTCACTTTCCCTGAAGATGCATCAACTAGTACTGGTGCTCCATTCTGGTCAGCACCAAAACGATTCCCTCATCCACTTCAGTTCTCAGCTGCAGATCCAAGTCACCTTCATTTTGTCATGGCAGCATCAGTATTGCGAGCAGAGACTTTTGGAATCTCAATTCCTGAGTGGGTGAAGCATCCTAAGATGCTGGCTGAGGCTGTGGAGAAGGTGATAGTGCCAGAATTTCAGCCAAGAGAAGATGTGAAAATTGAGACTGATGAGAAGGTTACTACTCTATCATCTGCATCTGTAGATGATGCTGCGGTAATCAATGAACTTATCAGGAAACTAGAGCAATGCAGGCAGAAGCTGCCACCTGGGTTCAAGATGATGCCAATTCAGTTTGAGAAGGTGGTCTCTCTCTTTCAATATATTTAGCATGCATTTGTTCAGGCCATCCTGCTGTTGAATAAAGCAAAGATGTTATCCAACACTTCTTTTATTATTATAGCTGATAATTTTGAAATATTTGCATGAATTGATCAAGAGTCATGTTTGCTTTTTGATGTAGATAGATATACTCAAAAAATGCAAATATGCAGCCAAAACTTAACGAGAATCACTTTTATCAGCCATTTTATATTCTTGTGCCAACCCAGATATAAGTTAATTTCCTTGATTGTGCAGGATGATGACACAAATTACCACATGGATCTGATTGCCGGTCTTGCCAATATGAGAGCAAGAAACTACAGCATTCCTGAGGTTGACAAGTTGAAAGCCAAGTTTATTGCTGGAAGGATCATCCCTGCTATAGCAACCTCCACTGCTATGGCCACTGGTCTTGTTTGCCTGGAGCTGTATAAGGTTCTGGACGGCGGACACAAAGTGGAGGATTACCGTAATACATTTGCCAACCTTGCACTCCCTCTATTCTCCATGGCTGAGCCTGTCCCACCCAAGGTTATCAAGCATCAGGATATGAGCTGGACAGTTTGGGACAGGTGGATCGTAAAAGACAATCCTACCTTGAGGGAACTTCTCCAGTGGCTCAAGGAAAAGGGGCTCGATGCCTATAGCATTTCACACGGTAGTTGCCTGCTTTACAATAGCATGTTCCCTCGGCACAGAGACAGAATGGACAGAAAGGTGGTTGATCTGGTTAGGGAAGTGGCCAAAGTAGAGTTGCCTCCATATCGTCGCCACTTTGATGTTGTTGTGGCTTGCGAAGATGATGAAGGAAATGACGTTGACATTCCTCCAGTATCTATTTACTTCTGTTAGGTGGGCTTGTCCATTTCCCCGATCAGTCGGTCAGTCTTGAGATTTTAGGACAAGGGCTGGAGCCCCTTTAAAAGTTAGATTTCATTTCAATGCTGCATCAGTGAGCACACAAGATGGATATTTTTCATACAACCGATTGACATTCCAGTGGTATAAACTAAATAGTAACTTCTATTTCCCGATGATGCATTTGTGTTTTCTAGATATAAGAATACCGAGTGTTGTTAATCCCAAGTTTTTCTCTGGCATTTGGCATGAGAAAGTTTTCTGCTGCTGCTCTCAGGTTATATCTGTTGCTATTCTCGACCCTACTAAATTTTCTTTGTTAGAGATTGACTTGGGGCATTTACGCCGTGGATGCAACTGGATCTGGCTGAGTTGAAAGAAAGTTTAGTGAGGGACAGCCAGACAGGTTTGTCCTAGACGGACGTGAGAATGCAATTTTACTTGTTTGTAGTGTTTGCTTCCTTGTATGCAAATAGGACACTTTCACCAGTGTTAAATGTGTTTATTTGAGGCAGAACTCATTCAAAATACAGTGTTAGATGCGTAACTTGTGTCGTAAGAATATATAATTTACTGCTTTGTAGTTGAACTCCTTCAATTTTCCATGTTTGTCGTGTTATCTTCCTTCCTTGTATGCTAGTAGGACACTAGTTTTTCACCAGCATTGAAAAGAACTGATGAAATCATTTTTAAAAAAAAGAATCATTCTAATTTGATGGGAAAAAATTCGTTCCAATTTGATGGTTTGCATAATAATGTGGGTCAATCAAAATATATGAAATGAAAAGTCAAAAAAAAAAAATCTAATTTTATAACTTTTTAATCAAAATTTTGTATTTAACTCAAAATTTATAAAGTTTTTTATATTTTTCTACAAAAAAAGTGATTTGTTTTTCTTTATTTATAAATTTTTAACTAAAAACTTGTAATAATCTAAAAATAAAATTTAATATAAAAAATGTCTTGGTATTTTTTCTTAGTAACATTTTATCGAAAAAATAAAATAACAATTGATATAAAAAGTTATGTAAAATAAATAAATGATGAATACATCATTTTTTATTGTTATTTAAAGTTAATGAGTAGTAGCTTTTAAAAGTACGTACATTTGGTTTTTATACATTTATTCGCAAAATAATCAATAACATTAAAATAAAAATTGTATTTAAATATTGATAGTTCTACCAAAACATAATTTTAATTATTTCATTTATAAAGAAATTGATTTAGAATATTCAAAATCAATAAATTAACAAATAGTTGGTGTTTTATGTAGCTATATAATTAATTTCTAATAAAATAACTATTTAATTTTTTTTTGTACATTATAATTTTACCGAGCGGATTTAGAATCACAATATAAAATAAAAATGTTAAAAAATATATAGTTAATTTATAAAAAATATATTAAATAAATTTAAAGTTAATAGATGAAAATAAAAACATTACAAAATTGATTTTAATAAAGTTTGATTATATAAAAAACAAGTAAGTGAAATACGTGAAATTGTTTTTTTGTTGCTAGGCTATATATAGTTAGTCCTTGTACACAAGCTTCAATTGTAAAGCAATTGCTTGTCTTTTTTTTTTAATTAATTTATTTATTTACATTTGACTTTTAATTATTAATTAACTATTTTGAATTTTTTAAATTATCTAAAATATACTATTAAGCTTTAGATCATATATATATCATGCTATTATTATTTAAAAATTTTAAGAATCCTTCATATAGATCATATCAATTTATTCTTAAAAAAATAACCATGTTCTAAAATTTTATTTTAAAATCCATATATAGAAAAAAATAAATCATATTTTTCAGTAAATTAAATTTTATAAAAAATAAAAATAAAAACTAAAAAAAGTATTAGGATGAGAATTTTATAAGAAATGACAAAATGAAAGAATAAATTTTAAATAATAAAAGTAATATAATCTGCAACATATGTTCATTTTAAAATATAAAAAATATAATATATAATTTTTTTCTCCTCAAGTTGCATGAAAGACTCAAAATACAATGATCAATCTTCCATAATTTTATGCCAAAAATCCATAATAATAAAAATAAATAAATAAATTATTCAAAAAAAAAAAAAAAAAACCCAAGCTAGGGTGCAAGCCTAAGCGTTTGGGTGTGAGAACCAGGCTTGCGCTCGAGGGCCTAAAGAAACAGGCTCATGAGCTTGGGCCTGGAGAACCAGACCCGTGCAATCCAGGATTTTTTTAAAAAAAGAAAGAAGACTGATGACACGTCGCTAGCTCTCTCCACAATAGACGACGTGTTTGTCGACTACAATTTTTGGCTAAATCAAGTTTGCCATAAAAGTTGTCGGAAATTAAGTTTTCAATTTTTGGCCTCTCCAATCCAAATTCAATGTCAGATTTGTCCAAAAACACCTCAAAATTATATGAATAATATCAATAAACTCGTTTAAAACCTCAAAACCTATTTTAATACACACAAAACACAAAAAAAATCCAAATCAAACTTAAAAACTCATACCTTGATATTTTGATTATTTCCTACAATAATTCCATGGCTTTTAACCACTATAAACACTCTCCTCTGGTTGAACAAATTGAACCAAAGTCAAAAGCTAAATTGGCTAGAATGAATCGCGTTAAGATTTTCTTTTTTCTATCTTTTTTACTATTGTTTCTCTCTCATCTGCATAACCAATTATCAAATCATAATATAAATGAAGTTTAGAATGGAAATAAAATTGATTAAAAAAGTTAGTGACTGAAGTGCAAAAACCGCCAAAACTTGCATATAAAATGCTTGAACATCACTAAAATACCGCTGCACTGTAAAATGTTCTTTCTACGTGATTGTATGTCCATAATTTTTTGAAAGGGTGTACGATAAAAATATACATGAAGAAATCCATCTCTTTTAGTTATACAGATAATGGGCATGTTGAAATGTGTTTATTTTAAGTACGTAGAACTCTTTCAAAATATAATGTTAGATGTGTAACTTGTGTCCTAAGAATTTAACTTGCTGCTTTGTAGCTGAACTAATCATCTCATAATTATATTAGTAACAACTAATGAGGTATAATTATTTATTCGGATTCGTGGGAATGCTCGTAGGCTTTGGACTATATAATGGGGAGTAATTTTTTTATTACATAATAATCAAATGAAGTAAAGTCATTGGAATTTAAACTAGATAATTGGTATCCAACTGTTAGATTATGTCTATTTGTGTAGTTATGTATAATCTCTTGTGTAATGAGATATAATCTTCTCTCTCTATACATATTAATTAATTCTATGGCTTTTTGATAATATTTACAGGGTGTTTTTTTTTTTGTATCGAAGTTAGATAATGTAGTGGCTTGTTAAATAAAATTAACTGCATAAGTATTGTTATTAAACACAAACTTTTATAACAAATCTAGAGTGATAAAAATATTATATAATACTAATCTAATCACTATACATACATTCAGTGCTCATATTTTCTCAATACTAGCTAGTTATTTTTAATTTTTCTTTATATTTTTTATTTTATGTTCAATTTAGTGTTTTTAATCCATTGTTTATTTTTCAAGTAAATAAAATCTATGTTTTTTTAGACCTTAAATTCATATTTTAGAATTTTTGTTACTTATAAGTTCGATTTTTTTTAGTTTTGGCATTGAAGATTTGTCTAGTTGTTACCCAAAAAGTAAGTTGTTATCTTAAAAAAGGAAAAACGAGTACTATTAATTTTGTAGTAAGCTATTGTAGTTATAGTCTACTCTGCTGTTATTCAAATATTTATGCCTGCGAGGGTGTCATGGTAAATTTAGTTTACTATTTTTCTTCTTTATTGCAATGGAAGAAATGGGTTAGGTTTGGGTCAAATGTTCATTGACTTGGAAGTTTCATGGAGAAATAGACTAGTGGAGTAGGTCCCTTGCGTCGGGTGGCAGAAGAGAAGAGTCCCAACTTTGATTCCCCGCGAGATTTTTTACCCACACCGTTACATGGATTGATAAAATATATAAAATTATTTAAAAAAATTATTTCAGTTTAATAATTTATTTTATGATAAAAAAAAATTATAATTTTTTAATCCAAAATTTTATATTTAATTATTTTATATTTATGTTTTTAAATTTTAGAAATAAATAATAAAAAATAAATTATTATTTTCTTTAAAATTTTAACACTCAATTAATTATTGGTTCTTTTAAAATTTTAACACTAAATATTATTAAGAAACATAAATTACAAAAAAATTCAATGTTTAGAAAAAAAGAAGAAAAAAAGGAGGGAAGTCGTTTACTTGTTTAAATGTACAATAAACGGAAAGGGGGAGGCCGACAGGTCTAGCAAAAAAACAATTAATGAAAATTAAAAAAAAAAAACAAAACACTGCAGCAATGAACAGTGATTAACACTGTTCATGCTATAGTGGAAAAGCGTTTTTTTTTAGTATATAGTACTAGATTTTTTACTCGCGCTATGCTTGCGGATTAGATAAAATATATAAAATCATATAGAAAAATTATTTTAGTTTAATAATTTGTTTTATGATAAAAAATAATTATAATTTTTAAATGAAAAAAATTTATATTTAACTATTTCTTATTTGTGTTTTTCAATTTTAGAAATAAATAATAAAGCAAATAAATTATTGATTTCTTTAAAATTTTAACACCCAATTAATTGTTGGTTCTTTTAAAATTTTAACACCTAATATTATTAAGAAATTAAAATTTTAAAAAAATTCAATGTTTAGGAAAAAAAAAAAAGAGGCCAGCTGTTACTTGTTCATGTGGAACGGTAAACGGATGGAAATTAAAAAAAAAAAAAGAAGGCAAGCCGTTTACCATTCAAATGAACAATAAACGGGTAAAAAAAAGGAGAGGGGAAAGGCCGGCGGTGCTGGCAAAAAAAAAAAAATTAAAAAACAAAAAAAGCCAAAGTAATATAGCAAAGAACAGTGATTAACAATATTCATTGCTATAGTGAAAAATATTTTTTCTTTAGTATATAGTATTAGATTTTTTACCTGCTCTATGTCACGGGTTGGATAAAATATATAAAATCGTTTAGAAAAATTATTTCAATTTAATAATCTGTTTTATGGTAAAAAATAATTATAATTTTTTAATAAAAAATTTTGTATTTAACTATTTCTTATTTTTTAAAAACTTTTAAAAATAAATAATAAAGGAAATAAATTGTTGGTTTCTTTAAAATTTTAACACCCAATTAATTGTTGGTTCTTTTAAAATTTTAACACCAAATACTATTAAGAAACAAAAATTTAAAAAAAAATTCAATGTTTAGAAAAAAAAAAAAAGGGTGTAAGCCGTTTACTGTTCATGTGAACAGTAAATGAGTGGAAATTTTTTTAAAAAATTAAATGTAAAAAAAAAGAAGGAGGGTAGGCGTTTACTGTTCAAATGAATAGTAAACGGATTGTTTGGGGAGGGGAGGAACGGGTCTAGCAAAAAAACATTAATAAAAATTAAAAAAAATACTGTAGCAATAAACAGTATTTTTATACTGTTTATTGTTGTAGTGAAAAATCATTTTACTTTAGTACAGAGGACAATAATATAATAGCGGTTAAGAATCTTGCGGTGTTGCATGCATGACTGCATTCTTCTCCATGTGAAAGCGTGGCAAAAATACAAAGGCAAATCCTGTCACACCCTTCCTAGTGCTTTTTAGTACTTTCTAGAAATAAGATTTCTTTTACCGCCGTAAAAATTAAGGAAAAAGAAAAGGAGAATAAATACTTTCCTCCCTCTCTCTCTCTCCGAAATGAGTTTATGACAAACTAGAGCTTTTTTTTGAAAGAGGATATTTTTAAATCTATATTTTTAAAATAAGATATTTTTAAATTTATTTATCAAAATAGGTATTTATTGACATGTAGACATATATATCATCAAATTGTATGATTTTATTTTTTCACATCTTGCTTCAAGCTTTTCAGGTAAAACTAAAACTCATCATTATCCTCCACTTCTCTTCTTCTCTTTTTGTGGTAAAACTATTATTTCCAATCCTAATTTTCTTTAAAGATGGCAACGTTGTCAAATCAAATATTGATCTTATCAATTTGTTCCCTTCCTGTGCAGTATAAGAAGCACAAAGAACACATTATAAATAAGCCTCCGGCACATTTTGTGGTCCACTATCATCATGATCTGAATCAATTTAGGTAATATGAGTATGTTGAGTTTTTTCAATACAAGGCAATGAGGAATTTCGAAAAAAAAAGAAAAAAAAAGACAATTCCAGGAAGCTGTCTATGGCCTGATGTAATTTTTTTCTGCCTTTTCTCCCTTGTGGAACTATCTTTGTTTGTCTAACAAAAAGAAAAAGGAAAAAAAATGTATTTGGCTCGTACTCCTCTCAATCCTGCAAAGTTTACAGCGGCGATGCCATGATTGCAGAGGTAGCTTTCAATACAATCTCGACAATGTTCTTCTCCGAAAAAAACGATATGCTCCACCACTATATAGGAAAGCAGCGGGAGAGATCTCTAGGGAGCAATCATTGAAACTGTCAAAATAGCAATGTGAGAATTGGGGGCAAAGTTGCTACTGTCGTTGCTCTTATTAAAGTTGCCTTTGCCAAAGAGGAGGGGCAAATCATGCTTAACATCAGAGAACAAGACAAATTAATTACAATAAAGAAAAAAGGATGTGGATAGAAATATCTTATATGACAAAAAAATTATCTAGATTAAGAATTAAGTTCAAAACTATCTTATTTAAAGAATAAAGATTTAAAAATATCTTAATTTAGTAAAAAACTCTGATAAACTGATTGCAAAACAATAAAAAATGTTATTTCTTCCATGCTCAATATAACTAGATGAAATTCGATTAAAGTTTGGAGTATCTATGAAAGGAATAATTGAGTACGGACACACCATTCAATCAAGGACCTAGCAGCAAAACTAAAATATATTTCAAACTAAATAAATTTTATAAACCGTTGTTATGAAATAATGAATATCTATATGAATATTTATATGTGTTTCATATTTTCATTGCTTACAATTCTTAATATGACTTAATTTATCATTTAATATGAGAAAATAAAATGATGATGCAATTGATTCCACAATTTATGTACTTTTAATTATTCATAGTCCATTCCAGTTTTCTTCTCAATTTTAAAATTTATAAATAGACTTGATTGTTTATTAATTTTTGGATAAGTATTTTGGAGAGATTGAGAGAATAATTTAAACTTCTTATCACTTGTATTCACTTTATTTTATAATGAATTCATTTTATTATCATCTTTCTTTTCAATTTTTCTATTGCTTTTATTTCTTTTACAACACGTTATCGACACAATTTATTTTCTTATCAATTTTTTCTTCAATTTTCTTATTGCTTTTATTTCTTTTACAACAACCATTAGATTTTTTGTTTTTTTATTTTGGTTTTAAGGTTACTACATCTTGGTTTCAATTAGGAATGGCAATGACCATTCTCGCCTTTGCCCCACCTCTAAAAAACTCTACTCCATCCCCACCCGGAGGCGGGGGATGGGGATCTCCATGGGGCATCAAGGATCCTCGTATGGCATCGGGGATCTCCGATGCCCTGTTTAATTTTTTACACTTGTTCCGCTCAATTCCAATTTATATTATCTTGTACAAAATTTTAAACTATAGAAAAAAAGATAATAATCCACATAAAAAATATAATTAAGAAAAATAATCATTTAACATCGTATTTAATTATAAATTTACAGCACAACTCATAATATATTAAATTATTTTCAATCGAAAAAATAACATACTTAATTAAGTTGATAAAGTATCACAAATTTAATTAAAAAATACAAATTTTTGTATATCTTTATTGCTTAGAGGTTATCAAAACTCACTCATTATATTATAGACTAATTTATTATCTCAGAATTTATATATATTAGGTATAATTATAATTTTTAAAGAAAAAAGGTGAGCTAGGATGAGGATGGCAACCTCAAAATTTATATGTATGTTGGATGTAATTATAATTTTCAAAAGAAAAGATGGAACGAAACGAGTAAATACCATCTTTGTTAAAATTCATTATGTGGCAGGGTGCCCCGTAAATTCATTATGAGGTAGGGCATCTAGCCTGATTTTCCAATCAACTCACAGAATCCCAATATTTACCAGAGTGGGAGTGCCGTACCTGTTGAGATAGGGCAAATTGCCCTTCCTTATTTCCGGTTAATGCATATAAAAGTTTAAGTTCTTGACCGGGAGTTCTATCTCATACGACGCAGCACATGAAAACAACCCTAAAACGACATCATCACCCGAACAAAACGGCAACGACCTAACCTCTGCCCAAATCACACGATTCAAATCATTTACCCCTCACCAGTCATCTCCCTCACACGCGCGCACACACACGCCCCAACCTTTCTCTCACCTGGACTTATCTTCCTCTCCTCTCCCTTTACAACGAAACACCCCCCTCTCTCTCTTCTCCAGGTAGAGAGAGAAAATCATGACAGTGCCACGCACACAGAGTCCTTGCCAAAGCCAAACAGCCCTTGACCCTTCCTGCCCCTAAACCCTAAACCACACAAATCCATAAATACCCCTCGTCTCTCTCTCTCTCTCTCTCTCTCTCTCTCCATTTCTAAAAATCCAATAAAAAATCACTCAGTATTCCTCAACAAGAAAGCAAAACAAAATAAAATTCTCTGACTCTCTCGATTCTTCTCCATTTCTCTCTCTCTTTTAGATTCCATCCTTTCCTTCTTCAAGTCCTAATCGGTACGTGTCTCTTTTTCTCTCTTTTTTTGCTTCATTTCTTTAGCTTGCATCATGTTGAAGCTAAGGTTGGGATTAGGGTTTATGATTTTGGTACCGATCTTTGTTGCGATTATAATCGCTACCAACAGCTTATTTTTTATTTGGACTCTGATGATTTGTATGGGGATTTGTGGCTTGTTTGGCAGTCTGTACTTTATGCTTCCTAAAAGGCGACCAGTTGAAGCTGTGTTGGTAGAAGGAGAAGGAAGTGAAAAAAACATAGGAAAAGATTCTTCATCGGTTATTAAGAAGCATCGGATCGATTGTTATTTTGAATCGACTGCCGCCAATACTAACAAGAATACTAGTAGTGTTATAGGTAACTATAGTGGTATTAGCAGAGAGAGTGGTGGCGTCGAAGAGACGGTGAGTATGGCGCTTGGTGGTTCAAATCCGGCGGAGATTGATGAAGATCTTCATAGTCGGCAGCTTGCTGTTTACGGTAGGGAGACGATGCGGAGGCTCTTTGCATCTAATGTTCTTGTTTCTGGAATACGAGGACTTGGTGTTGAGATTGGTATGGTTCTTTATTTTTTTTCAGTTTGTTGTAATTTTTTTAAAATCTTTTTCCTTTTTTAGTTTCTGGTTTCATTTTTTGTGACTTGCTGGATCTTATCTTGAATTTTATTTTTTATTCTTTATAATTTTAATTTTTTGTTCACGATGAATGTTTTGGGATGCAATTGATTAGATTTGTTGCTTTGAGTATTAGATTTCTGTTACTTTAAATAGAGACTTGGTTAGTGTTGGTTTAATTAGCGAGCTCTTTAAGAGCATGAGATCAGGGAGCTTCTAGGCTAATTTGGTATTCTTGTTGCTGTTTATGGATTTATTGTATTGTTTTTGTTGAAGAAACGTTGGAAATCGAATGTTGAATTTATGCTTAGGAAAGAGAGGCTATCTGCAAGCTATTTGTCTTCACTTCATTTCTTCTTCTTCTTTGTTTCTTAAGTTTGCCTCTCAATATGAGCTGTATCAGTTGAATGGAACCTGCTTATTAATCTTCTTTTGGCAGTTTGTTGGATTTGGGTTTCTTTTTGGATTTATTGTTTGCTTCTGCTTTTTTTGAGCATTCTTGGCATGTGTGTGTGTCTTTGGGTGCATGTGTTTAAGTAATGCAATGTTTTTTTATTTTTTTTAAATCTTGTTGTTGGTGTCAAGTTTCTGGAAATGTTTATCTTTCTAATGTGTGTGTGTGTGTGTGTGTGCGTTTTTTTTTTTTTTTTCCTTTCTGCAGCTAAAAACCTTGTTCTTGCTGGTGTCAAGTCGGTTACATTGCATGATGAAGGGGTAGTGGAGCTTTGGGATTTGTCAAGCAACTTTGTTTTCTCAGAAAATGATGTTGGCAAGAATAGAGCCCTTGCTTCCATTCAAAAGTTGCAGGACCTCAACAATGCAGTGGTCATTTCTACTTTAACTACAGAGTTGACAAAAGAACATCTTTCCAAGTTCCAGGTACTTCTTTCCTTGTGGATCTCTCCTGATTAGTTCATTTTAGGGCCACTTGTCCAATGAGTGATAACATTTTGAGCTGTATATTCTTGATTAGACTCATTATTTGTATGGTTGGTATCTTATCATGGTCACAAGCTTTATATGAGAAGAAAAACAAATGCCAAAGTTACTATAGAACCTTGTAGGGATATGTTGCTGAATACTCCTGTTTAATTTTTCTGGGCAAAATTTTGAGCAAATCCATTGTGAGCGACTTGTCTAATTTAGTTACAAATATGGTTGTTAAAGCTAGTTCGAATTTGCAGTCTTGAGGTACATGATTCTTTGGTAGAGCCTGTAGTGATTTTGTATTACTTTCACATATGTATTTTTTGGGGCAGATGTGGAGCTGGGGGAGCTAAAATGGATTTTAGGAATGCTTCTTTCAGAATATAAAGTGCTATTTCTTAGAACTGGGTTGTACAGGATTTGGGGGAAAGAATCTGGTCTTTTGTAGGGCCATGTTAAACACTGACAGAAACTGTGATATGCTACTACATCCTAAGCTTCATCTCATTCTCATCGTGAACTGTATGGTGGGCTGACTTTTGAAATTGTATTATTGCTGAAAATCACACATAAAGGTCCATAAGAGTCTAAAAATCTGAACATTAGTGGCTGAAGAGAAAAGTGGAGAAAGTAAAGAGACAATGGCTACAGTAGGCAAGTGATTCTTCAGTATCACTCATTATGTAGATGAAACTCCAAAGCTGTTAAATTTAAGAAGAATATGAAGGGTGAATAGAAGAACACAGAAGTGATTATTTTCTCTATGTTCACCTCATTTATCTTGTGCATTGCTAGAAATGCCATCTTAGAATACAATTTCAATTTATTGAAATTTCAACAAGTTTGCATCCTTGAAGGGCTTGCTAAGAGTTGTGTGCTTTGCTTCCTCTACTTATGATTGGGAACCCATATTCCATCTTCTATAATTGCATGAAATGTCTGGAGAAAATTACATGAAAGTGTGAAGCAAAGGATGGGAGAAAGCAGCACAATTCAGGAATCTCTTATACTTATTTGTGCTAGGATCATGTTCCTTTCAGCATTTTCTGCTGGAACTCTTGTTTTATTGAAAAAATGGTTAAGGAAGATATTGTGATTTCGGTGTTTTCTTTCTTTTTAAATGAGCCTGAGTTGCAGTAAAATCATGGAAGTCATATGGAAGGAAATAATCATGGAAAACAAAGGCTATCTTTTTAGCTTGTTGAGCATTTCATTGTTGTTTCTCTCACCTTTGTGGTCATGAACACGTTACCTTTTTTATATATGTTTTTGTTCTATTAACCTTTTTTTTTTCCTGGTGGTGCAGGCTGTTGTGTTTACAGATGTCACTCTTGAGAAAGCCATTGAGTTCAATGACTATTGCCATGATCATAAGCCTCCTATCTCTTTCATCAAAGCTGAAGTAAGAGGCCTTTTTGGTTCCATTTTTTGTGACTTCGGGCCTGAATTCACTGTCTTTGATGTTGACGGAGAGGAACCACACACTGGTATTATTGCATCCATCAGCAACGACAACCCTGCGCTAGTGTCATGCGTTGATGATGAAAGGCTTGAGTTTCAAGATGGGGATCTTGTTGTTTTCTCTGAAGTTAAGGGAATGACAGAACTAAACGATGGAAAACCCAGAAAGATTAAAAATGCGAGAGCATATTCATTTACTGTCGAGGAGGACACCTCCAACTTTGGTATCTATGAGAAAGGTGGAATTGTTACACAGGTGAAAGCGCCTAAGGTGTTGAACTTTAAGACATTGAGGGAAGCAATTAAAGATCCTGGCGATTTTCTTTTGAGTGATTTCTCGAAGTTTGATCGTCCACCTCTCCTACACTTGGCATTTCAAGCACTGGACAAGTTTGTGTCTGAGCTGGGTCGCTTCCCTGTTGCTGGTTTGGAAGAGGATGCTCAGAAGCTTGTATCTCTAGTCAGTCTCATCAATGAAAACTCAGGAGATGCGAGAGTGGAGGACATTAATCCAAAACTTCTGCGGCACTTTGCCTTTGGTGCCAGGGCTGTACTGAATCCTATGGCTGCCATGTTTGGTGGTATAGTGGGGCAAGAGGTTGTCAAAGCATGCTCTGGAAAGTTTCATCCCCTGTTTCAGGTGGTTACCAGTTTTTGATTTTGTTGAGTATTGGTATACCTTGATAGCCTTCATAAGCCTCTCTATCGCTCTCTCTATCTCTCTCTCTCACACACACACAACTGTGCATGTTGGTTACTGCAAAACTTTATTTGGATGATAGAGCCTTTTTTTTTCTGTTGACACTAGATAGGTTTATCCATTAACATGCTTGTCTGGACATAAACAAACAATGGGATGTTAGGGCCTGAAATTTCAGCTGTGCATAAGAGCCTTTTACTGTTGAGTTTCTTTATTAATCAGAACAATCTATTTAACATAACCTCCTGGTTCAATTATAGCTCTGTTCGCTCCTTTAATCTCTTTTGTACAACTGGGTCTTGCACTGTACTGTTATCAGTCCAATTAGATTTCTTGTTGTGTAAGCTAACCCAATTTTTTTTCCTTTTTTCATCACAGTTCTTCTATTTTGACTCTGTGGAATCACTACCTACTACTACTTTGGATCCCAGTGAATTCATGCCATTAAACAGCCGTTATGATGCACAAATTTCAGTTTTTGGATCCAAGCTTCAGAAGAAACTGGAGGATGCCAATTTGTTTGTAGTAGGATCTGGTGCACTAGGCTGTGAATTCTTAAAGAATTTAGCGCTGATGGGTGTTTCATGTGGTGAACAAGGAAAGCTTACAATAACTGACGATGATGTGATAGAAAAGAGTAACTTGAGTAGGCAGTTTCTCTTCCGCGATTGGAACATTGGACAGGCCAAATCCACTGTCGCTGCTTCTGCTGCTTTGTTAATAAATCCCCGTCTTAATATTGAAGCGCTGCAAAATCGTGTCGGTCCTGAAACAGAAAATGTGTTTGATGATACCTTCTGGGAAAACTTAAATGTTGTTATAAATGCTTTAGACAATGTTAATGCTAGACTTTATGTTGATCAGAGGTGCTTGTACTTCCAAAAGCCACTTCTTGAGTCAGGAACTTTAGGTGCCAAATGCAACACTCAGATGGTCATTCCTCACCTAACTGAAAACTACGGTGCTTCTAGGGACCCACCCGAGAAACAAGCTCCGATGTGCACTGTGCACTCCTTCCCACACAACATTGACCATTGCTTGACATGGGCTCGATCTGAGTTTGAGGGTCTGGTTGAGAAAACTCCAGCTGAAGTGAATGCCTATCTATCAAACCCTGCTGAATATACTAATGCTATGATTAAAGCTGGTGATGCTCAGTCAAGGGATATATTGGAACGTATTCTTGAGTGCCTTGAGAAGGAAAAATGCGAGACATTCCAGGATTGTGTTACATGGGCTCGTTTAAAGTACTTCTTGTTATAAGAGCTCCTATTATTTTTTTTAATGGGCTTGTCCTTTACAATTTCTGACTGTATACTTATTTTGAATTCAGGTTTGAAGATTATTTTGCTGACCGTGTGAAGCAGTTGATTTACACATTCCCCGAAGATGCTTCAACTAGTACCGGGGCTCCATTCTGGTCAGCCCCAAAGCGCTTCCCGCATCCACTCCAGTTCTCAAATAAGGACCCTAGCCATCTCCAATTTGTTATGGCAGCATCAGTACTACGAGCAGAAACTTTTGGGATCCCAGTTCCTGACTGGGTCAGGAATCCTAAGATGTTAGCTGAAGCTGTTGACAAGGTGATTGTGCCAGACTTTCAGCCAAGGGAAGGAGTGAAGATTGAGACAGATGAGAAGGCTACTAATCTGTCTAATGCATCTGTGGATGATGCAGCAGTAATCAATGAACTAATCAGGAAATTAGAGCAGTGTAGGGAGAATCTGCCGGCAGGGTTCAGGATGAAGCCAATTCAGTTTGAGAAGGTTCTCTTTCATCTACTACCTTTTAGTAATATTTTTATCACGCATTTCTTTGGGCCACCCTACTGTTGAATTAAATTAGATTGATAATATACTTGCTCCGTCATTATAGCTGAAGATCTTGGAACTTGTATATAAATCTGCCAGTCTATTTTTTTCCTTTTATAGGTGGTGATACTTAGAATGATGACTTGAATGTGGGCCAAATATTGGGCATTTATGCTATTTTCTGTTTGATATACTTGAGGGCTGAGGCTATCCATGTTTGAACCCATCTACCCAACACCACCCAACAATGTAGACCAACCTACGCCACCCAACATTTCCCTAACCTCCTCTAGTAGCTCAGTCACTTCTAAGGCATTTTGATCGATATACCTATTAGCTATTATTCTTCTATTCATCAACATTTCATAACTGAATTTGTGCTCCTCATTTTTAAATTTAATAGCTGGGTGAACGGGTGTATTACCGGAATGAGAGGAATCTCCTACACGATGTGCTCTCATCTGCTGGTTGCCCTTCCTTCCTTGGATAACTTTCTTCTTTGCTTTGTCTCTTGATGAAGACATGGCTGTTCTTTGGGTGAGAGAAAGGAATGGGGAAGATAATGTCTTTTTATAACTTATGTTTCTGTATATGTGCAGGATGATGATACGAACTACCATATGGATTTGATAGCTGGGCTTGCCAACATGAGAGCTAGAAACTACAGTATTCCTGAGGTTGACAAGCTGAAAGCCAAGTTTATTGCTGGAAGGATCATCCCTGCTATTGCTACCTCCACTGCTATGGCCACTGGTCTTGTTTGCCTGGAGCTGTACAAGGTTCTTGATGGGGGACACAAACTGGAGGATTACCGCAATACATTTGCCAACCTTGCACTGCCTTTATTCTCCATGGCTGAGCCAGTCCCACCCAAGGTTATCAAGCATCAAGACATGAGCTGGACTGTTTGGGACAGGTGGACCCTAAAAAACAATCCTACCTTGAGGGAACTTCTGCAGTGGTTCACAGACAAGGGGTTAAATGCTTACAGCATCTCATTTGGTAGCTGCCTGCTCTACAATAGCATGTTCCCTCGTCACAGGGAGAGGATGGAGAGGAAGGTTGTTGATCTTGTGAGAGAAGTGGCCAAAGTGGAATTGCCTCCTTACCGCCACCACTTTGATATTGTCGTGGCATGCGACGATGATGAGGGCAATGATGTTGACATTCCTACAGTATCCATTTACTTCCGTTAGATTTTGCTCCTAAATTTGCGTTGGCCATGTGATTTTAGGATGAGAACTCTCTCATAGTTACCTTTCATTCCAATGTTATATGTGTGATTACACAAGATGAATATTTAGAAAAATGAGTATACTTTCAAAATTCCATGTATGAAATGAAAGGTGGACTGTCATTGTGATCGAGTTTTCGTTGATTGATTGCTTTTCTTGTTACCATTCCACGATTGCATTTTTCTATTTTCTTTTATTCAATTTTATGGTAAGCAATAGAAATTGGGAAAGCGTGCCACAAAATGGGGACAATGGCTTGGTGCATTACACCCCAAATCCACAGCATGAACTCTTTTTTCTTTTTGGGATTTCGTTGTTGGCTGTTAGGCGCACACACGTTTGTCACAGGTAGGGGTGAGCTCTCTTTCGTTTTTTGATTAACCAAAATCCACAAAAATCAAAACCCGAGTCAAATTAAAATATTTTTTGGTTTTTGGTTTTTCACCGAAAAACTAAATCATTTTTGAAGAACCACCACATTTTTCTGAGAGAAATTTCAAGATCATATTCTTTAAGAAACGAATGGCCAAATTATGAGCCATAGGTACAGTGCACGAACACATTACTCGAGGAATGGACGACCAAATTGCCTGCAGGAGAAGAATCCAGGGCCATATTTCTAAGGAAACAACTAAAGCTTTCCAGAGATCTAGTCCTCCCAGGAACCAACTACCTCATGCTAGGATAAACCTATCTACACGCTCTCCATTTTTTCAAGAAGGATAGATTCCTTCCGAGAAACAACACTACATTCGCAGTTGTCGACACCCTAAGGGACTTCGGATCCTCACTACAAGTTGAAGATAACAGTGACAAAAAGCAAGATGAACAAAAAAATTACGAAAGCGTTAAATAACCTCCCTTTAATGACAATAGTTAATAAATAACCGAAGATGCATGTTAAAGACAAGAAATTCTCTAAGATCAAGGTGACTTTATAGGTCTTCAAGAATCAAGATGTTTTAACGCATGCTTAAACCTCTCTCGAATGTCAGAACCACCATCTCTGGGGGCTTTAGCAGGCTCAGTCGCGAAAGGAGACCGTGTTTGAGGAGGCTCGCTAGGAGTAGGAGGAGTAACTTTTACGGATTTAGGCTTTACAACCAGGCATCTCCCTTCTTCAGTTGCCGCAAATCGCCCAACATACAACTGGTCAAAGTCGAGGATCTCGCCTCCCTTAAACACCTAGGAGAATTCTATGATAATGTCCTTAGACTGGTTGAGAAAAAGGGCATCAACCAGGCATGTCCACAATGAAGTCTTTTAAAACTTTCTCTAAGCCAATGGTCCCTTAAAACTATTAACAAATGCATCCAGATGGTCTCTAATTTCTCTAAGTTACCTATACTCGAGACTCTTTCTACTCCTTACTCTTTGTGGCCAACATACACTATAGTTTCCCCATCTTCTTTTTTCCAAGCTTAAAGCCCGTTAAAAATCCCTACTAGCAATAATAGCAGCTTTCTTTGTCTCTACATCGACATGTTTGCCCTTCAAAGCCTTATTGAATAAGGCTTCAGAGTCCTTCATCTTTGCCTCCACCTACGACCAGAGGGAACCCATCTCCGTTGAGCGCTTGTCTAAACTCCTATGTAGTTTACCCACAAGGTCACGAAATCTCCAACTCGCGTCTCTTAGCTTGCCACCTCGCAAAGTTATGGGTTTACAATTGAAGCATATGAGAAATGGAGTGCTCGATTAATAGAAAATAGGGAAACAATAATGCAAGGTAAAATGTAAAAATAGTTAATTTGGTAGCAAGCATAACAGTATTCTTCAGCGGGCTAGTAATGGACAAGCTCTCCCATTCACCCATCTCGCCTGGAGCCAGGGTCAGGAATCTTAAAAGCCCGCATGACCTTACCTTTTTAGAACTCAGGAAGGTAGGGTCGTCACCAAATAAATTAGCATGTACTTTCCTTTTCTTTTGGGTACGAGGAATTAATGAGAATACCAGGAAAAAAGCCAACGTAAGAGAGAGTACAATCAGACTCCTCATCTGGATATTGAGGAGAGGGAGCCTCTCTACGTGAAGGAACAAACAATCTTCTTCCCCACAAACCTCCTTATTTGGAAGGAGGAGGGACAGTTGGATCCTCTCCCTTAGAACACGGAGACTCCCTAATCCCCAGTAGTGTTTTAAGTAACGAGCATTACGCTTGAATTATGGAACACTCCCTTATCATTATTTGCTGTTATGGGGATCCTGTTTTCTTTTCATATAAATAACGACTAATAACAGCATTATCGTTATATAATGCATTATTATTTAGCCTTTGCAAGTTCGCAGAATGCAACCTTTGAAGTTTTTGTCCCTATTTTTCAGCTTTGTTTTTGTTCCTATTTTTCAGCCTTTGCAGGCTTGCATAATGCAGTCTTTGAATTTGGTTGCGTGTAATGAAATGTCTGAAAGATAAAAATGGTTGCTTCTTTCAACAAAGTGATGCTGCACTCTGCCATCAGATAATCAGTAAATGCACTCTTCATTTTAGAGTTTGAATATCATGCATGTCATTTTCAAAATTAGCTTCATGTCTTCATCAGCCTTCTCAAGTGTAGGTCAGTAGGTTTCAACAAATAATTTCAGTGCATCCAATTTATTCCCAACTTTATTTTCTTACCAAATCACATAATTAAAAAGTTTTAAATATTTGCTTGGAAAGTGAAGAATTCATAGAGGTAATTTCAACTCAAACTAATTTTACTACTTTTTTTTTTTTTAATTTTCAAAATTAGTTACTATCATTAATTTTATAGTTAATGCATTATGATTTATATTAAATTGATCTTGAATTTTTATTATTAACTCTTGTATTAGACATGGACTTTGTTATTTTTAAGTTAATTTAATCAAATTTTTTTTTCAGATTAAATTTTTTTATTGGTTTATTTTTATTTAAATGTTTTGGCTATATTTTGATTTTCAAATTTAGTTCTTTCCTTTTTCAATATACCTATTGAATATTATAGATGAATTAATATTAATTAACATAACTATTGATTATTTTCAACTTCATTTTCTTGCCAAACCACATAAAAAGTTTTAAATATTTGTTTGAGAAGTGGAGAATTCATAGAGGGAATTTTCAACTAAAACTAATTTTACTATTTTTTTTTTGTTAATTTTTCAAATTAATTACTATTATTAATTCTATAGGTAATGCATTACGATTTACATAAAAATTGAGTTTGAATTATTTTTCTAAGTCTTGTATTTGACATGCAATTTGTTATTTTAAAGTTAATTTCATCAATATTTTTTTTTCGGATTAAATTTTGTTATTAGTTTTCATTAAAAAGTTTTGTCTATATTTTAGTTTTCAATTTTTTTTCAATATATCTACTGAATATTATAGATGACGTAGTATTAATTAATATTGTGAATACATTTTTTTTGTGCAATTTAATATCATGAATACTTATGTTGTTACCCGATATTTATGAGACTTTCAAAAAACTATGAGTATCATTGTTTGTTTTTTTTATTTATTTATTAGGAGTGTGAGTTAAATCATGTTTTAGAGTTCCCATCTAGTATTAAAGAAACCGGAAAACCTAAAAAAGTCATAGGTTTAGACATTTTAGGACAAGAAGTTAGTTATGTTTTGAGGAAGATATCAATCACCAAAAGGTATCCTTTCGAGGAAAGGCAACATATCCAGTTTAGTCATAAAAGTTTACCTTTCAAAAAATTCATTTTTGAAAAATTATTTCTAAGTTGAATCCAAAGTTTATTATCTAAGCCAAATTAATTAATTTTTTTTTATGGCATCATATTGGATTGATTGTCCAGGAGTCTCCTCAAGTCTACATCGGATACAGTTTAAATCTCGACATAACCGATATGTCCGAGAATGACCTAATTACTAAAGTGATGAATTTGAATTAATATTAGCCCGTATTAGATAGGAGACTTGTTAATTTTCATCAAACATTTCTCTATATTTTTTTTTCTTTTTTTATATATAACTTTTTTATTTTTATTTTTATTTTTTATTATTTTTTAAGATCAATGAAAAATCGTCGTTAGTATCTAAAAATTAGGAGACTTGATGATCCACCCACCTATTAATTGCCTAATTAAACTAGCAATTATTTAAACAATATTCAAAATTAAATAAATCTAAAATTAAAATACCAAAAATTTAAAAGATTAAAGCCCAAAGCACTTATATGAGTCTAAAATTATCCACCACAATTCTAGATTTAATTAATATTAAATAATAGACTAAACTAAAATTTAAACACTTAGAGAAATTAATTACTAGACTTGAAATTAACTAAACCAAAATAAATAGGCAAAAGAGACTTCAAAATTATAAACAAATTACTATATATCTAAAAGACACGAGGTTGTAACTATTCACAACCTTATTCACCTCTTTTTTTATTATTAAACCTAAACTAAAAATGAGCACATGAAGCATGCATAAAAAAAAATTTAGGTCTAATTTTCCTAGGGGAATGGCTAAAAATAAAAATTAGGGAAAATTTGAGGTTATTAGGATTTTGGGCCTAATGGGCTTTCTAGCAAGTCCATCCCTTTTTTTCCTTCTCTTGGGCTGGGCTGAACCCCAGCCCAATTCTTTTCTTTCTTTTTACTTTTGTAGCTGGGCTAACCCTAACCTATTTTTACTTTCCTTCTCTCCCAGCCTGTTTTCTTTCTTCTTTTTTTCCTTTCTTTTTCTTTCTTGTCTCTGTCTTTTCTTTTCTTCCTCTTTCTCTCTTTCTTTCTCTGGTCACTCTCCTTCTCCGCTCCTCGAATTTTGCCTTATTCACCCAGAAACCTCTATTAATAGAACCAACATCTCCGATTTAATAGCCAAACAAAACTTCCTCCTTACTCCATTGTCAACATCCTAAGGGGCTTGAACATCAAAGGTTCACCATGGCAGTGACAGTGTCACTGCCATTTCCCTCCCTTTGCAACTTTTGAAATTTAAGAAATGAAATACTGGAAATAAACTAAATGAATGAAAATAACATGGAGTTTGGGTTTCCTGAATGGAACCAAAGGATTGAAAACAAAGAGATTTGGATGGTTGTGTTGTTATTATTCCTCGGCTTGTAGGTGCTTGAAGACAGTGGCAAAATCTGGGTTTGTTACTGATCTTATGATTCAAGAATGATTTTGAACGATGCCCAGAACGATTTGTGGATCAAAGCAGGTTTGTAAACCCAGAAAAAAACTGGTATTTTTGCCCAGAAATTCAAGCTATCTTCCTCACAAAACCCAAAAAAACTAAAAACCCAAAATCGATCCTCTATCCCCAAAACTCTCTCACTCTCCCAATCTGCCTCTCTCCCCTTAAAGCCTGCAATGAGGCTCAATTTATAGCCTCATTTCCCTAGATTTCCACCTCAGGATCGTTTTCAATTGATCTAAACCCTTGCTTGCCAAAAATCAAAGAGCATACTTCTAGTGTTCTTGGTCTCTTTTGAATAGAGCAAAAATTTAAATTAAAAATGTAGTGTGTGTGTGTGCGCTAGTGTGGTGCAGAAGCGGGTGTAAATGTGATGCAGGTGTGGTACAACGCGATTCTTAGCTAGAACAATTGCCAGCCAATGATCATTTGTCTTCTAGATCATTTGTTCCGGTTCAAAACGATGAACAGAATGGGGGAGAGGGAAATTGATTTTGGGTCGCAGCGAACGACAGGTCGTTCAGACAATTTCGATCCGGTTGTTCGCTCCCTAATTTTAATTTAGTCTACGGGTGTTTTAATGTTTTACAATCACACCCCTAATTTTCATTCTAATCGTGCCCCTATTGGCTTTCAATTTCAGCTTTGATTTCATTCAATTTCATCCCTGATTGACATTCAATTTCAAATCTGGTTGTTTTCAATTTCAGTCCTTATTCTCTTCGATTATACCTCTAATTAACCTTGTAATGCAAATTTTTTTTTATATTTATTTCCCCTTTTCTTTGAAAAGTTGATTATGCAAACTCTTTATATATATATATAAAAGATGATTCCTACTATTAAACATAAAGCTACTAATGGTAGATAGATCCAAATAGATATGACAATAAAGCAAAATAAAAATAAAAATAAAAATAAATAACTAAATGAAATAAAAAATACTAAAAAAAATAATTCAGATTTTGGGTTATCACAACTTATATTAAACTTACACAATTAACATAATTTTTAAGTTAATTACTTACATTATTTGTTTTATTTTCCTAACATACTAGGTATTTAAAAAATATCGTAGACGAGAGAAGAAAGAGTAGAAAAACAATTACCTTCAAGTGAAGACATTTGATGTAAATTTATCATTTCATTGGATGGTAGTACAAATAAATTATAATGCATTGGAGGAAGATAATTAAAGGAGAAATCCCTCACATTAAAGAGCATATAGCTCATAACAAAGGAAATGTTGTTGGTTGTTTAAGTGTTTTTAATGATGTTAAAAGAGATCTAATGAAAGTCTTAAGTGACTATAAAGCTAAAAAAACAAGATAAAGTTATAAGGAAAAGTCAATTTGAAGATAAGATTATGAATTCTCTTATTTGCTTATTCAAGAACAAAACATGATAATGATAATACAAATAAAAAGCTCATGACTTACGTGAGATAAGAGAGTATAATACACGAGATGGACACTTGTAACGTAAGTAGAGAAAATTTATATAAATAGAATTATGGTTCTAATTCTAAAGTAAACAATACTAACAAGTTCCTATCATGCGTCGCTTATAAAGTTTGCATGAAAGTGCGTTCAAGGCAATGACATAATGATGCTCCACCAATTCTATCACAATTAACACCAAAGGAACCATTGGAAAAGTTACAAGATGATGAAGTAGTTTTGCAGAAGGAAAAAGATAAAAGTCAGTAGGTTCTTTACACAAAATTGGAAAAGCAACATTAAGAAGGATGGTTGAACATTTTTTGGTTCAAGAGAGAATCTCATTGAATGTTGTAGAATCCCCTTAGTTTTTAACAATGCTTCAAACTGACGCTGGAATTGGTTTCAAAATTTCCTTACAAAATCGGAAAAGCAACATTAACAAGGGTGTTTATGATCTTTCATAGGTGCATTTGAAAAGAGATGACAAATATGAAGAAATACATCAAAGATTTCGTCAAACAAGTATTGTGATTTCTCAAATTATTATTGTAAAGAAATCAATCAATTTCTCCATGATTAATTTATTTCCATCACATCTCTCTCCTACGTCTACAAGATTATTGTAGGGCACTATATAATGGTCTATTAATTTCAATAAATTCTTCTTATGTATTGATTAAGGTCCAAAAAAATTACTAGAAAAATTAATTTAAATTATATTTTTGAAAACTCTTCAAGGCTTAGCTTAATTGTTTAGGTGATAAAGTATACGTTTACCAAGTTATCATTCACGAAAGGTTCGAATCCTCAGAACATTTTTAAGAAGAGCATTTCTTGTAAATATATTATGATATCGTTAAGAAGAGACCACTGCCAGATTGGTTTGGTTCATCTTAATTGAGACAGATGATTGGGTAACAAACTGAAGTCGCTGCGAGTCAATGCAACAAAAAAATCACTTTTTTTTTTAAAGTGATGCAAACAATTCAAAGAAACTAGCATTAATTCAAGACACGCTAATCCTACATTGCTTTTGGAAGAAAGAATACAATCATCAACCTCTTTTGCCTATTTACTAAAAAGTATAATCAATAGCAAATTTCTTGATTCTATAAACAAGCCTTCTCACTCCAGCAATTTGCCACCACTTCAAATGTAATCCGAGGCTGTAACATCAAAGTTTATCAGCACCTTCATCAAATTCAGCAGAGCCCACAACTCGAAAATCCAGTTGCTTCTGATGTTTTGAACGACGGCGGTCATCAAAATCTTGCCATCCTTCAAGCTGTCAAGTATAAATATTATGTCATCAAATAACAATTGGCAGGGATGCGAAAGGACACAGGAAGTAGGAGGGTAAACCTGACGAAGAACATCCATTGTGATTTCTGTGTTATGGAGATCTAAAGTTGAAAGTTGCAGGCACATCTTGAATATTGTAGAAGGGAGGGATTTTAAACCATTGTTGCTTAGATGCAAAGCCTGCACAAACGACAGAGAAACTAGTAACTATGGGATCATGCGGTAAAGCATGAATGGTTTTCCTTGCTTGCCTGCCTCTTGAAAGACGAAGCATAAATACATGGGCAGAATACTCAGGAAGTTGCCGTCAACCTCATGCATGGCAGTATCACAAAATTGAGAAAACAGGGAATAACATAATGAAAACATGAACAAAGCAAGGACCTTCAAATTAAGCAAATGACCAAATGTATCAGGCAACTGTGTCAGAAGATTTGATGAAAGATCAACCTGCAGCACATAGAAACTTTGGTCAAGCACATAAGAAAACCACACTGAACAAATAAGGAATTATCCAACCCAGATTCAGTTTGTTGAGCAACAGTTAAATTATTTACGTCCCACCACAGAGAATCAGAGATTAGGAGGAAACACCAAAAATATTACCTCAGCAAGAGAAGTACAGTCCCCTATACACACAGGAATGTTGCTTATCCTGTGCAAGAGAAATACGTAAATCAGGATGTCAAATAATTCATACCAACCAGAAAAGAATAACCAACAAAGGCCATGCCTTTCACCTTTGAATTCTAAACTTAATGTCCCAAAAGCACCAAAGAAACAAAGAAAGATAAAAAGGTGAATAAAAGAGGGGTGGGTGGTGGTGTGTGTGGATGAGGGGGGACTGTATCGTTAAAATGTAAAATGGCTTATATAAACAGTACCTGTTATTGTTGGCTTTCAAAACCTCAAGATTGATGAGAAGTCCAATTTCCGTTGGTAGGCTATTCAACTTATTGTTTGAAACATGCAGTTGTCTCAGTGAACACAGAGCACCCAATTCAGAAGGTAAAATGGTTAAACTGCATCAAACGTGCAATTTGCCATGTTATAAATCCACATGTTTGAAAATAAACCAGTTAATGAGATATGGCTTACTTTTGTGGCTACATCAAAAAACTGAAATTAATGTATGAGAAATTCCTAAAGTCTCAGCACGTAATACCTTTTACATAATAAAATAAATGAGTCAAGGTAAATAACTTGCCCCAAATCACATGTAGCAAAGAATATGCCTTTAACAAACCAAGACAAACAAACTATATAAGAAATGCATAATTTTGTGCAGAGTCAAGCCAAAAAGCAACAGATAATGATTGTCTTCAATGATAAATTATTTAGGGTTAGTTAACTGATACATCTCACTTAGCATAAGCTCGCAATGTGTACAACAGATTCAAGATATGCAGATTGATTTGGCTCTTCTCAATGAGGTTTCTCTATGATTATAGCTTTCCTCTTCCTCATACTATAATACTAGTTCTTGCAAGAATGTTGAGAATGAGAAACTTATTACATAAAGGGTCCTGCTACGGATTTCCACTTTTTAACAATTACCAAGAGAGAACTAGCTAAACCACCGAACAATGTCAACAAACTTTGAGCAAGACACCAACATAGGCAAATTCATTAAGTTTAAGCCACAAAAGTACATTTAGTCACAAGCATTTCAATTTTATCTGCAAATCAAATGATACGTGACCAAAATCATTACACAATTGATGGAATACTCACTGGTTATGGCTGACAGACAAAACTGTTAGATGCTTCAAAGATGTTAGTCCTTTCCAGTTAATATATTCATCCAGTATACCATTTCCATTGAGCAAAAATTTCTGCAAAAATTTAAAATTAAACCCTGAGATCCATGAAACTTTTAACAAAAGAGTTCGCTCAGGTAGTCCAAACAAACAAGTAAAAAGGAAAAGAGTACTGTTCACCTGCATGGAACTTAAACAACCAATTTGGGCTGGTACGTCTTGAATGGAGTTGTTGCTGATATCAAGAACTCTTGTAGAAGGTCCACAGGTCCACACTTCATCAGGTATTGCCTTTTGAATTCCAATAAACAAGAAAAATGGTAAGAGACCGAATATTGAAAACATAATATTAATGGCCCTTATTCAGGAAAAATAAAAAGTAGGCTTTCCCTCGTCATTTTTATATTTCCGTAGTTAAATCTCAGTTCAACATCATAGCAATGTTAATCCTCAAAAAAAATCATAAAAAATCACAACCCAAATGGACATGACATCACAAATAGTACATCTAGCGTCTGCAATCAAGAAAATCTGAAAGATCGTTTCTTCTTTTTCTCTTTTACTGTTTCATTCGAAAACTAAGTTTGAAAAAATGTACTTGATACATAACAAAGAAATTCAAAATTTATACCTTTAAGTGGCATTCAGCCAATCCAATAACTCCAGTAACCTTCCACCGTTCTAACCTGTTCTTATCAAGCAAAGCTCCAAACTTTTCGTTCACCGTTTTGTTACTGCCAGCATTAGCCCTTGAAATAGGTCGAGTCTTGGCATCTTTTAGAATTGGACCATCCTGTTCAAACAAACCCAAAATTTAAAACCAGCAAAACATGATTGTCAAAGTTCATCTCAAACACAAACACACATTTTTTCAATCAACTTCAACCATAATCAAAGCTAAAAAGCTTACAACTTTAAGCTATCATTTAATAAGGATTCCACTAAAACTAAACATGGGAATTTTGAATTCTCCTTTTTTCAGTTAAATGCTTATAATAACTAAAGCGAAAATCTTTAATCTGACTTTCATAAAAAGATGCCATTAAGGGTTCTAACTTAACCAAAAAAAATAAATTGACAAAGATACCCCTTGGTGCAAGCCCTGAGAGGCCATAAGCATGAGCTTCGCCCCATTCGTGACCTCTGATTCCCTCAAAGACATAACATCCACCAACAACTTCCCTGCAAAAGAAATCATAAAAAAATGACATGTCGCTTTCAGGGTTTTTCACATTCCTTCTCAATTTCAAAGAAAAAATAAGGCTCTAAAGGGGGAAAAAAGAGAGAGAGAGAGAAATTTCGGGTACCCTTAAAGATGAGTTTTTGGCCACGAGGAAGAACGTTGGTGAGAGGTTGAAGGAGGGATTTCAGGTCTTTGATTTTGGAGTCTAAAGAGACAGAAATTGGTATTGATCTTCCACTGAACTTCACCGTTATGTTTACTGTTGTATCTCGACCTTCCACCTCCATTTTCTTCTGTTTCTTTTCAGTTTTTGATTACGATACTTCCGATTCTTTTTCTTTGTCTTCAGGAATTTGGAAAGGTTGATAGAAAGAGAGAGGGACAGATTGCAAAGAAGACCGATGGTACTCTTGTTTTTAATGTTTTTTTTTCCCCTTTTCTGAAAGAAGTGAATGAAATGACTTAAATTGCTCTACTTTTATGAGTTGGCGTGACTAGACAGTAGAGGTGCCGCTGGACACCGTATCCCTCCTCCAGGGAATTCCTGTTGACAAACGCTTGTCGTTTCATTTATGCCAAGTCAGTTCGCCCTTGGGCTCGTGCACGAGTTGTCATCCAACCAGGACTTTATTAGTTTGGGAATAAATAGCTAGGCTGAGAAAATTGCCAGGCTAGGCTGAGTTCGGTTCAGGGTTAAAAATTGAAGGTTAAATAGCAAGGGTTTAAAGGTTAAGAGATGAAAGTTTTAAGGATATAAGAAAGGGATTGAAACAGGGGTGGAACTAGAAATTTAGGATTGGAGGGACCAATAAGAAATTTTTTTAGGCGCCAAACATGTAAAATTAAAGAGTGTAATTAAAAATTTTCAAGATTATAGGACTAAAGGTGAAATATTTCAAAATCTGCCCCCTGGTATGCGCATAGTTCCACTCCTAGGTTGAAAGGTAAAGTTTTAGGAATGTTTGGTATATGTGTAAAAAATTATCTGTAATGTTGAGATCCAAATCATTTTAAATCAATATTGAAATTAAATAATTCTAATATATATATCGTGGGACTCGTTTGTTTAGAATGCGAGAAAGGATGAATTATTCAATTTCTTCTTCTATTTTTTTTTTTTTTTTTTTTGGCAAAAACATAAAATCCATACATTGGCAAGCTACATATAAGACAGGAGCAATTGCCCCTTTCAAAAATTTCGTGGAAGTCCTTAATAGTTTAAGGATTTTGAATTTGCCCTCTTTTTATCCACATTTGCTTCTTGTAGTTTTTTAAACTTTCTCATTACTTCGTGAAATATATACTAAATAGTTATATGTTTAGAAAAAAGAATATGAGATTATCATTGAAACAAATTATTTTGGGTTTTATAATTCAATTTTGTTATGATAATTTTGTTTAAATCTAACATTTCATAATAACTTATTTACTCTATTATATAATAGTACCTATTGAATTTATATTTTCACCTTTGTTCCTCGTAACTAAGGATTCTAGCTCCACTTATGGACTTGTGAATTATTTTTATTGTGAAGTTCATATTTATTTTTAGGGTCAACTAGCATATATCTCGTGCGTTGGAGCGGAGTGAATTATACAATATTTTTTTGTGTTCATTCATATAAAATATAAAATTTTAAAATAATTATTTAAAAGGATCATATAAAAAAAATTAAAAATCAAAACCTATATCTCATATTTTGTTGTATGATTAGCTAAATGAAAACTCTTGAAAATTAAGTAATATAATGTTGCTAATTAGATATTATTTGATATAAACATGTATTTTATTAGAAATATATATAATAACCGATAATTAAAATAATGAATTAATTATTATCATTTATTCTTCAATTATAATTTATTAATGAGATAAAGAGACCACCCAAAACAAAAAGACAAAAAAAGCTTTATCAAATCAAGAATTTGGCAAAAAAATAAAATAAAATTACACATCATAAAAATTAAAAGATAAAAAAAAAAGTAAAGATCATAAAAAAAGGATCAAAATAAATATAAAAAAAATTTCACTCAAAGAAAAAAAAACTTATAAATAATAAGACTAAAAAAAATTCATTATACATAAGGCAAGAACAAAGGTAAAACATAATAAAATTTTAATGACCAAAATTAAAAAAAAAAAAACAATTCATAAAATAAAAACCAAAATAGAAAATGTTTTTTACTAAAAGCCAAAAAAAAAAAATAGTGAAACTGTATTTAATTCAAGTGTAGAATAACAATCAAATATAATAAAAATTTAATTATCAAAATAAAAGAAAGATCACAAAATAAAAATTAAAACGTAATAAAAAGTTTTACTAAAATTAAAAAATAGTTCCTTGTAGGGAAAAAAATCAAATATAATAAAAATTTAATGATCAAAATAAAAAACAATTACAAAATATGGACTAAAATAAAAATAAAATTCTACTAAATTCAAAGGCTAAAACAAAGAAAAAAAAATCACAAAATAGGGATTATAATAGAAAGAAAAGTTTAACTAAAAGCAAAAAAAAAAAAAAAAGGCTTAGGATAATGAAACTTTATTTAGTTTTAGTATAATAAGGATAAAAACCAAAAATGATAAAACTTTAATGACTAAAATAAAAATATATTACAAAATTAGAACTAAAAAAGAACATAAATTTTTACTAAATGCCTAGAAAAAAATATTTATTATAGGAAAAAAATCAAATATAATAAAATTTTAATATTTATTATAGGGATGAAAATCAAATATAATAAAACGTTAATGATCGAAATATAAAAATATTATAAACCAGAGACTAAAATAAAAATAAAAGCCAAAAGAGGGGCTTAAAACACGCAGCAAGGGGACAAAAAAGGGAGAAAAAAAATTGTAAACGAGTTAATCTACGGTAAAAGTGCTACGAGTACTTTTAAATTTTCTTTTAGTATATCTTGTAATATCCTCACATGTAGTTATATAATAGATCAATTTTTTTAATCTATCCCTATATTTTAAAATGCTTCTAATCTGTCTTTATTACTTTAGTTGGTTTTTAACATGTCTTTTCGATTAATTTTTTCAATCAAACCATACGAAAATATCACATAATTTCCATATAACTTTTACTTTGACAAAAAAAAAAAAAAGTCCCTTGCATCTTAACATGTCAAGTTTCGTTATTATATAATGATTTGAGTTTTCAATATATCCTTAATACTAAAAAGTTCATTATATTGTTATTATTAATTTTTCTAATAACGTGTTGCTAATTTCATATCAAATAAAAAAATATAAAAATAATTATTACAAGTTATTATGTAACTATTTAATAAATTATTATCTAAAATATTTTTAATACTAAAAATTCTATTATATTATAATAATTCTCTTATGTATAATATTGAACAAGTTGATATAATACGTATCAATATGTGAATCGCGTGCGAAAAACCAATAATTATGTAATTTTTTTAATTACATGTTTAAGAGACTAATTAAAAATTACTTAAATATAAATTTTTTTTAATTCCTTGAACATTTACATACTAACTTGTAGTGATTATTTTTATATATTTTTAATCAACAAAAAATTCACTATAGCGCAACAAATTATTAAGAAAGCTATTAATAATAATATAATGAACTTCTTAGCATTAAGGATGGATTGAAAACTCAACTAATTATATAAGGACAGATTAGAAACTTAACATGTTAAACTAAAAATGGCATTTTCCTTAAAGAAAAAAAAATCATGTATAGGTCAAGTGATATTTTCGAGTGATTTGACAAGAAGGAAAAATTAGAAATCAGCTCAAATAATAAAGACAGATCTGGGGACGTTTTAAAATTTAGGAATAGATTGAAAAATTAATCTATTATATAAGGATAAATGAGGATATTAACCCTTATTTTTATATTGGATCCCATATTTTTGTTAAAAAAAAAAAAAAGAATATAGTTCTAGGTATATTGTGAGAGGAAGGAGATGGAAGAGATATGTTAAAATTGTACTCTTCTTTTTCGAGAAAAAAAGATCCATAAATTATTAAATATGTTGAGAATTACAAAACATTATTTCACACAAATATGATGAAAATAGAGAATATAAAAGTTGGATTTTTTTTATAAAAAAGAAAGAAAAAAGAAAAAAGAAAGAAAGAATAGAAAACACACACATACATGATTTTCAAAGTTTTTCCCCTTTATAAGTTTTCCCTCCTCCCCTCGAAAATTACCAAAGATGGTCCAAGGGAATTAAATGTTAAAGGGTTATCATCTAAGCCCTCTAACCTAATAAATATAAAAAAAACACAAGTTAGGATCCCGAAATTTTAACCCTAAGGTATTATTTGATTATTAGAGATTAAGTGGTGAGAATGAAAATGAAAGTTTGATTCTCACTTTGTAGGTGTTTGGTTGAAATGAATGAAGTGCGAATAAGAATGAAGAGTGAAAATTGATATGAAAATTAAACATAATTTTATTTCCATACGGAAGATGAAAATAAGAACAAAGAATGAAAATGATTTTTTTATTTAAAATAATTATATATTATTTTTATTTGTTGTCTATCAACTACTTCTACCACTCGCTACAACCACCACTATCACTACCATCACTAACATAATTGCCACCACCTTGGTTGGCAATGATGATAGAAAAAAATTATTATTATTATTCCATGACTACCATTACAACGATCGCAACCACCACCTCTATGACGTTGGTGATAAAAAAATATAAAATATATTATATTTATTATTATTGTTATTATTGTTTTGTCATCATTTCTCTTCAACCATTACTACAATGACTACGGCGATAAAAAAGAAATATTATCATTCTTATTCAATCACCACTCGTCATCAATTATTATCATTATTTTTATTACATCACCATCACCACCACCACCATCATCATCATAAAAAAAATTATTATTATTATTATCATTCGTCGTCACTTTTTCTCCATCACTATTACTTTTATTATACTACTACCATTTAACTCACACACTCAACATTCTACTATGATTTTAACCTATGACCTTTTGTTGTAAGAGATTACTACCATTGACCTACAAGCTATTTGATTCTTTTACTTGTCACTTTTTATGGTGACAATATCAATTTTTAAAAATATATTGTTATTGTTACTAAATTGTTATTACCATTACTTTCTCCTCATCTTACTTCTCCACCACTACCACCATCACCACTACAATCATTTTTATCATTTTTAGTATCATCATAGTTGATAACATTATTTTTTTTAATTATTATTCTCATTCATATTAAAAATCAGATATTAAAAAATTTAAAATTTATTTTGATTATTTGTTATTATTTCAAACACGGTATATGAATGTAAATGTTGTTTTCATTTCTTAATTTTTATAATTATATGAGAAATTTTATAATATTCAAGGAGTAACTAATGCAAGTTACTCTATAGAGAGACAAGACACAAAAGAAAAGAAAGATAGGAGAGAGAAAATAAAATAATGGAGCTAACGTATAAATTTTTTTATCACTTTTAGTAGGTTTAAATATCATTTTTTTTTATCATTTTTAGTGAATCAGGATGTCATTTTTTTAATGTCTATTTCTTTCCTCAAAAGTTAACTAATAAAGTAATTACTCGTATATGTATATTTATTACTGTTGTTGGTGGATGAGATTGTACATGTATATTAATTACTGCTGGTGGTGGATGAGAACTGCTTAGGAATTCCTGTTTTTGACAACTTATATTGTTTCTGTCCCAGGCTATACCAAAATGGTAATATGTTAATTTCAAGTACTAATATAAAATGAAGCATGTGTCTTTAGAAGCTCTAAGTGAGTTTGTTCTTCACCTTATTATCTTATTCAGAATTTGATTTAAAAAAAAGACACCAAAATAAAAGAAATTTCTATAAATGCATCAATTTATACTTAATTCCTGATTACAAAAGATATTTAATCTCGGTACATCAAAGTCCAACTACTGAATACTTTATTTTAAAAACCAAAAATAAAATGAAGCAAGCTGAACATGTTGAGTTACACTATCAAATAATGATCAATTTTACATTAATTGCACAATTCGTTATTTATTCTTGTTCTCATTTTGTTAACATGACTCTTTTATTTATTATGTTTCTCTATTTTCTTTTTTTTTTTTTTTTTAACGCAATCTTTCCAATAACCAAATGTAAAATGTGATAAAAAAAAAATAATGTCTGTCATAACATGTCAGATTAAATTACCATGTAATAAAAAAAACAAAATAAATAAAAAAATTTAGTTGAAAATGAAAAAAAAATCCCCAAACACCCCCCCCCAAAAAAAGAAAAAAGGAAAGAAACAGTGAATGAACATACATAATCTTATATCAAAATCTTAATTAAGTCTGTCTTGGAACAATCAAGAAATCAGAAACCTTCAAATCAAAATTCATTCAGTGGCACCATAACAAACATTAAATATGAAGAAAATCAAAACCCATCGAAGAAAAACACAAGCAGAACATAAAGAAAGAAAGAAAGAAAGAAAGCAACACTCAAAAAGTGAAGGAACCATGCCTGACTTGTAAAACACAGATAGCCCCAAATCAGTAGCCTTAAGATCTCTATGAATGCACCAAGCGAATGACAAGCCTCAACACACGACAACCCATAGACACCAAGTGAATGACAAACCTCAACAGACAACAACCCCAACAATAGTCACGATCGACTTAACATCCTGTCTTTCACAGTAACGTCCTTTCTTAACAGTCCCTAAGCTGTAACGTCTTTTATTAACAATCCCTAAGCTGTAATGGTCTCTTTAAGTTTTGTATGGAAGCACCCATTTAGATTTAATGGTGATAGTGGTGCACTAGTTGATGAAGGTTTTGGTTCATCATCCATGGCTAGAAACTGCCTAAAGCGGGTTAGAAAGTACTCAATTAAAAAAAATAAAAAAATTAACTCGCTCGAGTCACAAACCATCTACAATCGACTTCATTATTGTAAACATAACTCTCGAATTACTTTCCCTAGCTACTTTCCAAAACTTTGCTTTCCACGTCGACCTCCTTGGATGTAAAAGATTTCTCTATATATTTTCGGGAAAATTTTGGGAATTTTTTTTCTTTTCATTTTCAGTTAATTCTTTTTCGATTTATTTATTTATTTTTTTTGCCACATGGCAATTTAATCTAATATGTCTTTACAAATGTTAAATTTTTTTCCATATGTCACATTTATTTGGAAAATTGGCCGAAAAACTACAAGAGAAACCACATTAAAAAAATTTAAGAAATAGAGGAATGCCATAAAAAAAAAAATATATATATATATATATATTAATCCCGACAAACTATTCCAAATTATGATGTGATAGATGTATAGAATGCGGGCACTTATCATCAGGACTCTATACATCTCTAACAGCAATTGAACATATATTCAAAGCTAGAACAAAGCCTATCGAGATCAATTTCCATTTTGCAAGAGAATAGATTGCACAAAGAAAGCTAAAAAATCAGTTTCGGTCCAGCTCAGATATGTTTACAAAGTCCCTAACCAGATTACTTGATCTCAGAAGCAAGCTTCATGTGACAACAAGACACCATAAGCTTGAGAGGAGGGGAGGGGGTGTTAGATACGCTTAGGATTTTGACACTTAGTTGTTGACAGTGTCTAGGACTGTTAGTGCTAGCTTTACTTAACAGATATTCAACCTCAAATACCTTATTATACTATCGTGTAATGTAGGAGATAGGACAGTCTCTATTTGTTTTTCGAACTCAATATGTTATCTGAATAAATATTCACTGAACAGTTGATGAAAAGATGAATTTTGTTCCTCCAGTCACCCTTTTCTAATTTTCAATAATTCCGCAAAAGGACAGAGAACCCATAATTGAATGAACCAGAATGAGGACAGAATATGCGAGACAAATCCAACAATTTCCGAAGTAAAGTGAAATTTCTAATCTCCAAGAAAAATTAAAAGATTGAGTCAACATCAAACTTATAGCTCAAACCAAAAGGAAATGGACAAGACCTAACCACTTCCATCAGCCATCAAACGCCATGCCTAAATTCAACAATCTCCTTGACATCAACACATGATCGGAGTCATTGCACTTCCAATAATAAAACTCTAATCTCAAAAATCAACAAAAATGAAAAAAAAAAAAAAGGAAGAAGAAGAAGTAATCTCATTCATATTCATATCTTTCCTATAACTTAAATTTTGATACACATTACTCGTACATATTATTGTAAAGTAACCTTAACTTGTAATGCTAACATACCCTTAGCTTCCTAACTTTTAACGTGTCACGTACTTTAAAGTTATTACATTACAAGATAGCAAAAACGTATCTCATAATACCAAAAAACGAAGGAAATAAAACCTATAAAACTAAAATTAGCCCAAGAAAAATAATAACAAACCTTCTAACTTGCCAAAAAAAAAAAAAATTAGACAGCACAAGAAGGGCACCTGATTAAACCATTCACATTACATGCCGTGCAAGATTTAAACCCAGCTTTCTCTATATACAACTTATGACTCCCACTACATTGACCACATAAAATAAACCTATAACCACCACACACGTCACAAACACCAGAATCCACTACAGGCAACCCTTCTATAAATTTCTTGAGCTCACCTGTTTCGTTAAGCTGTCTGATTTCTTCGGCCCCACCCACGTATCTCCCTCCGATAAAAACACGTGGCAACGTCAGCTTCAGACCACAATCACCACCGTTCGAAAAGATCTGATTTAACTCGTGTAAAAAACTCCCGTCTATTGAGAGATCTCGTTCGTCGATTAAAACGCGAAATCCACGCAGGATAGATTGGACGGTCTTGCAGTCTTCGAATGTTGAACGGACCACACGTAGGCTTGTGAAGTAGACGACAACTCGTTTGTCTGCACCCGGGATTGTAATAGAAGGTTGTTCTTGGATCGGTGGTGTTGCCGTTTTGTCATGAGTCGGAGAGACATCGTGTTCTGGTTCGGGTAAGGATAATGAGAGGGAGCGGAGGAAGGTGTTGGCGACCCGGACCCGGTGGAAAATGGAGGAGGATTTTTTTATGGGACTGGAGGGATGATCCTCTGTGCAAAGGTTTTGAATATCCTTGAAAGTGGAGAAAGAGAAAGGAGAAGACGAGGTGTCGTGAATCTTAACCGTTGATTTAGCCCACGGCCGCCACATTGAGCGGTGGAGATCCAGACGGTAATCTCTTCTTCTCTCTGGTCTGATAGATTTGAGAAAAATAGAAACAAATAGAATGTGATTTCTGGTTTTTGTTTAGTTTTTTTTTTTTTTTTCCCTTCTTCTTGGTTTTGCTTAAAGAGAAGGTTTTTTTTTGGGGATTGGAAGAGTTGCAGAGGCGGGCGATGAAGGTTAGAGAGAGGGGGAGGAGGGGCTAGGGGTAAGAAAAGGAAAAGGAGAATAGAGAGAGAGTTAGGCGGTAGTTAGGGTTGTTGAGGAGCGTAAATAAAATTTTTGTGCTGTATTTTGGCTTCGCTCCTTTAATGGAGGGTTTTATTAGGAGGGTACGGGAATGATGATAAGCGGTGTAGGTTAGGAGATGGAATGCTTTAGCCTAATTATAGATGAAAGGTCTTCGTTTGTAGATATAGATAGGATACTTTTTTCGATTTTAGGTTAATACTGTAATAATTAAAAGATTGTGAGACAGATTTTCTTTTCTCTTTCTGTTTTCGTCTGGGCTTTGTTAAAACCAATTAAAAATGGACTTTTTGTGGGTAAAAATTATATGATGTCCATTATAAATATAATTAGAAATCCCATGTTTTTTTAGGAGAAATTAGGATAAAGAAATATAGGTTTTGATATAATGAATAATTCTCCTATGGGACATTTTGCTGCTCGCCTTTTGTCTTGACATTTTTGTAACTTGTAAGAAACGTTTGTGCCAATAACATCAACGTGACACTTATTTTCCGTCTTAAATTGTAATGAAGTGGTAATAGTAAATTAGAACTGCCAGTAAAGGGATGGTTTAGAGGCAAGATCGTCTATTCCATGGTGCATATCAGTCACATTGTGCATCAGATGAAGTTGATCATAATTAGACTCCAGCATCGCCTAATCAAAAGTGCTAAAGCTAGTTTTGTCGGTACATCAGCTTCCTTGAAGTATCTTAACTTCGTTTTAAATGGCGTGGGTGACTATTGACCGACTAACAGTTTCAACACATTCCATTGATGATCCCATTATTAGCATCCATGATCTATATATATCTGCATCATGTAAACACTTAATACTTGCCAGAGACCGAGGGAGGGATATTAAGATCCAACATGGGTGAAATGGGGGACCATAAAAAATTACTGTTGTGGAGACCAGGCGTGTTTGGAAATGCTGAAGAGCCTGGTTACCAAAAGCTAAAGGTTCAAGATAAAAAGCCTAGCAAGTGGGTGTTGGTGGATTCTGAAAAGTTTCACATGGTGGCAGAGAAGAAAGTGAAGTGATGGATGGATGGAGGTAGTAACTAAGACTATACCCACATGCAGTGATTGACAAAACATAGAATGACCTTGAGTGGTGTGGATGCTTCTTGTTGGTCTTTATATCGATTGTGATTTGTGATTGCTTGGTCTAGGAGAAGTGGAGAACTGCTAGGTTGCCCCATTATGGTATGTAGCACTTCAGAGCTGTCAAATGGCTTGGCTATGGATCCTAGATCTTGTTGACTTCAATAATACTACATAGCAAATACAGTGATGCATTTAGAATTTATCTAGACATCAATCATTCAGTTAGTTATTATGAGCATAGGTGGAAGAGAGAGTGATTAAATGCGAGGAGCGTGGAGTGAACTTCCATGGACTAAATTTGAGCTCAATCTTTTTGACAAGTATTTACGAGTCAAAACCAGCTCATTGGCATATGATCAGCACAAAGCCATATTTATTTGACTATATACATATCTGATCACATGATGGGAAATGGACTCTGTGCTTAATTGGTATCGACAAAAACAGGACCGGTGGCTTGCACTGTCAAATATAGATCACATCTTTATTGTTATAGGCTAGTTGGATCGCGAGTTTTTGATTAAGCTATGTTGAAATTACAATGGCATGTCATCTGATCTCAATAAGAAATTAGAGTGGCATATTTTATTTTCCCATCGAAAATGGCTTGTTTGATTAGCAAAATTGACTGTCCAATTTATAGATACACATTGTGATATTGAAACACAATTATGCCACTTCATGAGACATGAAACATATCGTCATATTGAAACACATCTTTTCGAATTTTATTTATAATAGACAACGAAACACATCAATGTCCAGACAGGCCACTACATGAGACGTGTCGTCTTGTTAATTGGAATTTCGCTTGGGCCTATTAATTAAGCTGAGCCCGAGTTCAACCGGCCCATCTAGTTTAGATTGGGCTATTATGGTCGGAGATGACTGCATGAACATGGATTGGCTCACAAAACACATAAGTGGCCCAAAAAGAAAAATCACGGTTGACTAAATCTAAGCCTTTAAAGACAAGAAAACAAATAAATGGATTTTAAGTTAGAAAGAGTGCTACAATTGTGCTATTTGCATTAAAACTTTCTTTTAATGAATACACACACAGTAATATTATGTTAGAAATACTTAAATTTTTACTGCATGATGTGATGGTTTATGATCAGTTTTTCTATTACTTATTTATATCATAATTGTGATTATCTCCTTCAATATGGTAAGATTAATATTGCATAAATTGAAAAAAAAGGTTTTTTCTATCATAAATGTCATATAATTAAGTAATAAAATCTACCATTACTAAAAAAAGAAGAAGAAGGTATACCATTACCCGTAATTAATTAAACATTTCCCTTTCTCACTCTCCATAAAAGTTTTTTTGTTAATGTTTTCCCGTCCAGTTGCTTCCTTGGTGTTTTATCAATATAGTCACCAGCCCGTTGGTTTGTTAAAACCAAAAGTGTTCAAGATTACTTCTTTTTTTTGATATATATATATATATATATATATATATATATATATATCTTCTTAATTTTCCTTTTGAGAGGCAGGCAAATTTGAGCATTTTTTTTTAAAATTTAAAATCTAATACCAATCTCAACCGTTCATATTTTTTTACCCGATTATAATGTTTTTTTTTTCACTTTTTTGGAACACGGGATGATTAATCCACATTTATAATTTCTGACGTTTATGTGAGTGCTAATTAATTCGCAAAATCACCTGGTATTGTTTCGAATCGAAATTCCTAACTTTTCCAAAATTTTAATCCCAGACACTACCCATCCTATGCAGACTTGTGTTGTACATGGTGTGGCATGCAGACAAGAAGCACCCAGTTGGTTAAGCCTTTTTTTTTTTTTTTTAACCCTCAGAATGAATTTAATAACCTGATATTGAAGATCAAAAAAAAAAAAAAGCCGATATTAAATTTAAATTAAAATATAAGGAAAGGTCAAGTCATACAAGATGGGGTGGTGGCGCAGTTGGCTAGCGCGTAGGTCTCATAGCTAAAAGAGTGATCCTGAGGTCGAGAGTTCGAGCCTCTCTCACCCCATCAACTTATTTTTGGTTTTTGTTTTTTTTTTTCTTTCCAAAAAAAAAGAGAGAGAGGAATGCTATTGATTGATATAGCCCAGCAGGCAGCAGTATCTTCCTGTAACGTGGCACTACAGACGTAACATTATCAAGGACGAAATTTTATTTAATGGAAATGATTATTTAATCACGCAGGCCTTCTACAATTACCAGCTCTATTCCCAATTATCGGCTCCTTGTTTCGAAGAAGAATGCTCCTGCATTGAATTGACATGCAAGTGGATGGATTGTGACGATATGGCCATTTTCGTTGCGTTAATTTAGCATTCTCTATATAGAAAACATTCTCTTATCTGATAGACATCACATCATATATCCTATTCAGACCTCTCATTTGTATGATTGCGACCAGCTAAAGTTTAATTTTTTCTTCAACAAAACCTTTTGGATTCTTATTGTCACCAATAGTACTCTTATTTTTAGATTGATGTTGCAGAATATAAGTCAAACTATATATTTGCAGATACACAGAAATAGAAGAGAACAAAAATTAATTCTATGTTAACAGAGGTAATTTAAAGGGAAGAAAAACGGGAAATCAAGAAATTTAAGAACTCAAGTTTTAAGTGATGTAAGAATCTATTTGCAATGTAATTAAGTTATTGAACAGTTTGTCTAAATTCCTTCTCCTTGTAAAAATCTTTAAGGTAGAGCTGATCTATAGCAAATTTCGCATTATCATCAACAGGCATGAAGCGTTCAGTAAAAGTTTTTAAAAAGGTGAAAAGATAAAACCTTTTCTGAATTTTATTTCATTTAAAAATCAGTTCTTGAATTTTTTTTTTTTTGATTTTTTTTTAAAATTTAGTTAATTTTATGATTTTCAGCTATCACCAATTTCTCTCTTTTTAGAAATTTAATTTTTGGTATTTTGATATAAAGTTTTGCACACGTTGGAGAAAAGACAAATTCATTTTCTCAAAAAATTCAAAAATTTTTCAAAATCACAAATTATATTTGTTTATTTTTTGAATATTAAAAAAAAACTCATAATGATATCAAATATTTTTAGAAACTTCATATAAATTTTATTGAATAATTTTTATCTTAGAGCTATCTATGTAATTATTATTTTTTAGAATAAATGATAGAAAACTAAAGAAAATACTAAATATAAAAAAATTCATGGAAGTCAAACCACAAATTAAAAATTTAAAGAATAATTTTTAAATATAATAAATTTCAAGAAGATTTTATACTTTTAATCTCCTAAAAATATTTGGAACAGTATTTTGAAACGCATGCTGGAACGAATATATTACTGTTATTTTAACCAGTTTCTTTTGTTTTAAACCATTCTAGGACTTCAGGTACGTTGACAAAGAACCATGTCATACGAATAGTATTTGGAAAGCGAGTTTGATGTGAAAGGCCAAAATTGTTATAATATACTTCTCTCTAAAGTGTCTAGCTGGATTAAAGTATGCCATTACAGTGGAATATTTTGGAGTTGGATCATTCTGAAGTCCTTTTCTTCTAGGAGAATATTTTAACGCAGACTTGAATGATTATTATTATTATTATCAACTGGTAATCAGACAAAAGTGGTTTAGAGAAGCTTACTAATTTGCCCAAGGAAGAAGCTGATTGAAATGGGAACTATTGTGAACTAGAAGTGTGGAGAAAGAGGCTACGTGTGACAATGATGCCTGAAATCTAAATGTCCTTTTCAATCACTTTTCTACTCCTCCGACCACGTACCATCTCTACATTTTCCAGGGTGTGCACATAAATATTACAAGACCTTTGCTTGAGTTAATTCTTTAAAAAAATGCTAGTTAATCTTCCTTGTTATTATCGAGGCTATAAATATCTTCCTTGTTATAAATATTACAAGCCTTTTGCCTGAAATCTAAATATCGTTCGAATCCTTTTTTTGCTCCTCCCATTACGTACCCTCTCTACATTTTCCTGGTTTTGCATTATCAAGGCTATAAACATTACAAGCCCTTTGCTTGAGTTAATTCCTTAAAAAAATGCTAGTTGATCTTCCTTGTTATTCATGGCAAAGTTACAATCCCATAGAAGAAGCAGGGCTACTTTTGGGAAACACAGATGACCAATTAGGCAGCTGTCCTAATTACTCTTCTTCATGTATATCTATTGAAGATTTCTCTGATGTTTCCTCTTCTATCCCATTTTCCCCAGCTATGATTTTTTATGAGTCTCTAGGTTTTCCTACTCGTGTTGATGATTTGCCTGTCACCACGTTCTGGCCAGAGGAACCGAATTCTTCCCTAAATTGTGAGTCTAATACTACTTTCGTGGACTCTTTGATGGTGAATGAAATTGAGGATATCAGTGACTGGTTGGCGAGTGAGGGCAGTCTACCTGCGCTACAAAAATTTCCTGGAAATGATGCAGGGAGCCTGTTTGTATCTCCATCACTGAGGGAAGCATCTATAGACACACTGACGAATCAATCATCCTTTATTCTGCCCGGCATTGGCATGGAAGTTGATAACCATTTAATGATTCTCCATCTGCTTAAGGCTTATGGAGAGGCTGCAGAGATGGAGATGAAAGAGTTAGCTGAAAACATTTTGAGGCGATTAAAAGAGAAGGCATGCCCTATTGGTTCAACTCTGGAGCGACTTGCTTATTATTTGATTCAAGCACTGGAAGGAGAAGTGGACTTTCTATGCCAAGAAGCAAGCAAGAATTATGAGATTGTTTTTAAAGCATTCTATCAGATATTTCCCTACGGGAGGTTCGCTCACTTTACTGCCAATTCTGCAATATTAGAAGCCATTCCTGAAGATGCTGACATAGTGCACATAGTTGATTTTGACATTGGTCAAGGTGTGCAATGGCCTCCGATGATTGAAGCGCTTGCCAGGCGAGGCGAAACAAAGGTGAGATTGACTGCAGTAAAATGGGAGGAGGAAGAGGATTGTAGTGGTGTTAGTTCCACGAAGAGGTTTGAGGAGACGAAAATGCGCCTATATGAACACGCACATATATTCGGTTTGAGATTGAAAATGGAGGAGATGGATATGGATGCTTTAGTTAGTGAGATGAAGAAGACAAAGAAAAGAGGTGGGAGAAGTGAATGGTTAGCCTTCAATTGCATGGTGGGTCTCCCTCACATGGGGAAAGGGAGGACTGCTAGGAGTCTTGTGGAGTTTCTAAGGTTAGCTAAAGATTCAATAAGCCTCAATAATGATAGTGGTAGTGGTACTAGGGGAACTATAACTATTGGAGATGGAATTGGTTGGGGCAAGAGAACGGAGGAGCAGACAGGATATGGGTCTATTTTTGAAGGGCAGTTGGTTCAGTTCCTGGCCTTGATAGAATCAATTGACTCTCATTTCCCTTACCATCTAAGAGAAGCAAGAATAGCCATGGAATGTGTGTTTTTGATACCTTATTTTGCTTCTTCTATTGGCTTGCAAATATGGGATGATATCGCCAGAGAAAGTAAGGCACTCTCAGGGGTAGGATTGGTGGCTTGGAGGATGAGGAAAGACAATCTTATGGAGGCCAAAGAACTGATCAGAGAAACAGAAAGCTTCTACTGTGCGAGCATAGAAGGAGTAAAGGAGAACCAGATGGTACTGAGCTATATGGGAATTCCACTGGTGAAGGTTTCAAGTTGGACATAATTGAAGGATACGTACAGAAGCACTTACTCAGACGTCATAGGAAACATTAAATATTCATTATTTCTTTACAGAATTTCATAATTCTATTCACTATGTATAAAAGAAAATTGATATAAATCGACTTTTTAATCGTTTATTTCAATAGTGATGGATCAACTGGTACTTTCTGAAGGGAAAAAAAAAAGAAAAAGAAGAAGAAGACAACGGCACAAAGCCTGATGTTAATCAGTGATAATCGAGCAGTTATCTTTTGGTTAGCCAAAATAAAAAAACAAAGTTTGGGCATGAGATTGCTTTAGGAAAATTTGTGGTGAAATTTCTTGGTGCTATTTATCGGTTGCAAGCAACATTGCAATGTAATCGTACAGAACTTTACGAGGCACATAGATTATAGATAGATAGCAATAGCATAGTTATCTTTTGTTTTATTTGCTGGGACATTTGTTGCATCACTAGTAATGTGAAAGGAAAAGATACGAGTAATAACTACTTAAACTGGATGCTGGAACCTACCTCCAATCCCCAAATACCAGAAACAATCATATTTTATACGTATACACCTCAAGCACTGTTTACTTGTAGTCCTCAAATACTGTCTCTCAAGTTTGTTTGGTCGAATCATTAAAAGAGTAAAAATAATCAAGCAATTGCGCGATTGTATTTGGCCTGATTCTAAAGCTCATATTCTAATAGCTCTTGTGGAAATTCTTTGACAATGACTGATTACAAGGAGAGGAAACATCCAATGCAGATATCAACAGTTTTGAGAAGCCGCCAGCTGTCAAGCAAAAGAAGAAGATTCCAATAGAAACATGGAAAGTAAAATAATGGAAAGCAATCGCCAACATCTGTGGCTGTCCTGTATGAGTGTCCCATTCCCGTCGCCCGTCATCGACTCTTACAAAACGATGATCAAATTTGATGCTTTGGGGACCTTATTGTAGGGCACTTTTGCATTTGGGAGGTATTACAACAACACAGGCTCACGACACCAACAAACGTCCCAAAGCCTAGGCCACTGATTCATTCGGGCCTCAAACTTAAGAAGCATAAGGAAAGAACCCACAACTCCAAAGTGGATTTATCTGGATTGCTCTCATGTTCCTGGGCTATGATGATCTTTAGTCCATTGTTCTTAGCAAAAGATGGCCGATTTTTTATGGGCCCTTTTCCTTTCCTACTGTTTAAACTTTACACCACGATTAGATTAGGCCTCCTTTTGTTAAGAAACAAATAGCCCCGACGCCATCTTGTGTTATTTTCCTTTTTCCGTATCAAATTGTCAATAAATCCTTTTTTTTTCCTTCTTTCAACTAGATTTTTGGCAAGTGCTCTCTTCAGGTGTGTTATTCGATTGTTTTATAGTATTTTTATCATCTCTTGTGGGTTATTTACAATCATTTATACGTAAATATACCATCAAATTATTCGGGTGTTATCAATTTTATATCCAAACAAATTTTTGTATCAATTTTACCACTAAATTGTTCTGATTTCTCAATTAAAGATTTCTATTAGAATCACTTAACAGAAAACGTTAAATCCCTACGAAATAATATCGTTTCTTAAAAACAAAAAAAGAAGTACAATTTGAATGAAAATACAAATATAAAACTTTAAAAATGATGAAAATTCCTAATTGAATTTATGAAAGTTCAAGAGTAAAATTGATATAAAAAATTGTTCGGTGGTAAAGTTTGATGGTATTTTAAAAATTTTTCCTAAAATTAAAACATTATTTTAGTATTTCATTATAAAATTTAAGTTTTATTACCGTTGGTGTTTTTTGGACTTCTTTTTAAGCATTTGAAGTATTTTTAGAGTTTTTACAGGTAAAATAAATGATAAATATATTAATATTAATCTATTTTTATATAATACTCAAAACCTCACATATGTTCCTATGCTTTTAATTGCATTATATATATTTCTAAAAATTTTCAAATGTTCAATCCATTATTTCGATCAATGTTTTCGACTATAGATAATTTTTTTTTTTTTACTAAAATGCTCTAATTGAAATGCAAAATAATAATAATAAATTAAAGACTTAAAAAATAAAAAATGTAAGTCATGTAACTTTAACCCTTTTTTTTTTTTTTTTTAAGTAAGTAGCATTTAGGTAAAAAGAAAATTTATCTATTGTCGAAAAATTTGATCGAAATAACAGATTGGTTATTTCAAAAAAATTTAAGAACATATAAAATGCAATTAAAAATTTATGAACACATAAAAAACTTTAAGTATTATATAAAAAAGGATTGATATATTTACATTAAAATAAATTGCTAATATTATATTTTATGAGTTAGAAGTGATTGATGAAACTTATTTTATTTTTATATAAGATTTATGTTGTTAATGAATATGAAAATAATGAAAAACAAACTGATCTTTTTTTTTTTTTTTTTTAAGGTTTTAGTAATTTCTTTCTTAAATTTTTATACTTTATATATATGACTAACTTCTTTACCCGTGAACTTTCGTGTGCAACGCTTGTGTTAATTAAAATTGTGCGACTATACATCATCCAGCACATACTCCCTCTCTATGATCTTTGCGTGTTACGTGTTATAGCTTCATCTCAACAAGGGATAGACAGCTAGGGTCAACATTGCTGGATTTGGTTGCTATGAACTTCGACTCACGATGACTTTCTTAATCTGATTAATGTATGTACACTGGGTTTTTGACAACGGATCAGTGTTCTCCCATCTATTGGACATTTTGATTCCAAACTAGGTGAGAGGCCAATTCCACATTGCTTGCTAGAAATTTAATTAAGACCAAAAAGGTATGTTTCTTTTTTAAAAAATAGAAATGCTAAAAAGTAAAAAAGATTCAATGTCAATGCCTGAAGAGGTCGTACGGCATTGTCTTATCTCTCCAAGAGGTTACGTTGTCAATTTAGATGGGGAAACCAAATGTCCCCCAATCTCATGAGTCTGACTTTACCCGTAAACAACACCCATAAAATTTCAGGAGCAAGTAATCGTACGTGGTCCAGCTCTCAGCAGCATTGTGTCCTAGTGGTGGTCCGATCATGGGTCTAGCCTCTAAACCCCCATGTGTAATAGCTAACTGGTTTGAACACGAAGCCACATGATGCACGTTTTTACTGATTGCCATTTGTCATTATGATTATAATCCAAGAGGATAGGTAGATAAACAAATTTAAGACTTCGTTTTTTTTTTTTTTTTTTTTTATTTTTAAAGTAGTTGGATTATCAATTCTTGTCACATCTATTGCTGTGTAGTACTTTTTACAGGGCCACCTCCTTCACCAAATGGCTTATTATCATATACCCAGTTTATAGCTCTACTTTGCTAATTTCAGCAAACAGAATGCTTTAAAATGATAAAAACTCATATTCAAAAACCAGTACGAGTGGATCGCTCTCTCGCATACAATGATGGAAAGATCCCAAATTCTTAATCCTGTCTCGATCTCTCACCCACCACACTAATTAATACCTTGAGTATTGACAGGCTAGTTGCAACTTTGGTTAATTTGATCTTCTTAAGGGGTCTCTATCTTCTTAATTAAAACATTTTGAAATGGATTATTTATAGAATCCAGAAACTTAAGTTTTTGCAACGCATTAGTAGGGTCACTGTACGATTGCTGGTCGTGATTAGTATCCTCGCCATAAGGCGAAAACAATTTTTTTAAAAATAAATTATCAGAATTTGTCAGGTCTCATTAATATTCAAGAACCTGCAAAAAGAAAAGGAAGGTTTCCATACAATGGCTCGGCACCTTAAAATAAATCATACTCGATGAAGATTATATATCATTTTCAACCAGTTCGAAGAATTATAATCTCCCGGCCCAACTTCAATGCTTATCTTCGAAGCCATGATTCCCCATGCTATGCTAACTTTTGATATGGAGTCTCATCACTTAGATCATGCTTTATGTAGCATATAATATAGGTGAACGTATCTTATAATTCACTCTCTCTTCACCTTTTCTTTTCTTTATTTTTGGTTTCCTTGGTGGTTATACTTGTACTGCTGCAAACGTCAGTAATCAAACTGAAGCTGGTCCACTTGGCAAGCATGTAAAAATACTATGTACTTCATTTGTCATCATACAATTATCATTATCTCTACTCAACAGGTATGGCTGAATGATTGAAGAGGGTGAAACTATTATAGATACAGCTGGATGTATGTACAGTTGTAGGGTAGATGAATAACCATGTGATGGTTATGATCATTGTTTTTACGAGGTGATGATCCTCATATTATTTAATAGCTTGATTTTATGAGGTGATTTTCAGTTTTGATCGAATAGTGGTTCTTTATATTTTCATTGTTGACGAGGTGGTTTTCGATCTTAAACTGTTCATGGTTTTTAGGAATGATAATTTAGTTTTTCGGTTTGATTTTTAATAATTTTGGTTTGGTTTTTTTGGTTAACCAAACCCAAACTAAATTACTATTGGGTTTTTTGTTTTCAAAATCGAAATTTCTGTTTATTTATTTATTTATTTTTTTAATTTCTAAATAATATAAATATATCCATAACACCATCAATCCATCATATATATTAATTTTTTTATTTATTTGCATTACTTAAAAAATAGAAAAAAATTGGTTTTTGATTTAAAACGAACCAAAATTTCAAACACCAAATTGAACTAAAAAACTACAAAAAAAAAATTGCTTTATTTATTTTAAAAAAACAAATTGAGTTAAAAATTGAACTGGAATTGATATTTTGATTTGATTTTTTGCATTAAACTGAATAGTACTCGTTCCTAGTGGCTTCAACTCAATAGATGTTGATTCGATGACGAGTATCGACAAAACAAGTCCTCTTTTGATGGTTAGAGGACTCTTCAATGGCTAAATGAGTTTAAAGAGAGGTTTTTATCCTAAATGAGATGTAAAGAGATTAGCTCTTGTGTGTAGGTGATAGTTGATAATATAACTATCTTGAACTTATAAGGCGAAATTTGTAATATTTAGCTTCTTAGCCTTTATATAAAAAAGATGTGATCACCTTGCATGAGATGAAGGGTAGAATGGTCTCTTTTTTATGCTCAACAGTTTCGACATCCATTTCAAGGGTTTGAGCCTTCTTTAGGCAATGGTCATTATCCGATGGTCCGTGTGCAGTTATAATTAGTAATGATGTGACAAGAACATCTTTAAAAGCCATATTTTCATTAAATGAATATTTTTTTTTGTTTAACAAATGGGTGAAGAGGCATTTTTTTTATTCATACCATCTATTTATACCGATTCTACTAGTTTTGCTTGGTGATGGTGACCGTTGGAGGTCGGTCGAGATCACTTTAATTGAGGTAAAACTCTTGTCCGAGTGGTCATTAAGTGTAGCAAGAAGACAAGTGTCATGACTATGATTAGATAGGTATATCAATAGCCCCATTAAGTTTGTGGTAAGTATGCTTGGTGAAGACTTGATTACCATTCAAGCTTCTCGAAGAGACACTTGGCAATGTTTGTGACAATTAATAATTTTTTACTTATCTTTTTAGATTTGACCTTAGTGGACATATGAAAGACTTATTTAATGCTTGTAACTTTTAAAAAATTATAGCCGTATGAAAAAAATCAAACACTCATGTATGAGAGCATTTGAGAGAATTAAAGAGATTGAGCCATTTGAAATCTCCCACGTTCATCAAATAACATCTACTTTGGTTGTTCAGTGGGACTAATGCTGATTTGTGATTAGTCCATATTGGATTAGGCATGTAAACTAGACTTAGGCTCTCAAGTATTCAACGTGTAGGTTTCGTACTCTTTTATCTATAAATAGGCTATGACATCCTTATCTTCTAACTTTTACTATTTTTAATTTTTTTTTTTACTCTAATGTGTCTTTAGAGAGATGTGGAGATTACTAGTGGGTTGGTGGTTTCCTTGAGATTCTTAGAGAGATTGTTGTTGTAAAATATTTCTAGGCGAATCTTGCTTTCCAAACGTGAGAAATCTTGATGGACTAATGTTATAGAAGATAATCTAGTTTGTTATGGAGTTTTTTTTTTGTTGACAAATTATTATAGCTCTAATAAGTATATCCTTTCTCTTTTTATTTGTTTTAGTGTCCGGTTGAGAAAATGATAGATTTAGAAAATATTAGAGATGTGTTTGGAGATTTTTCTAGTAGTGAAAGATCAAACCCTAATGTGGCATGACGAGTTCCTTCTAGGGGTGCACAAGGTTTTGTTTCATCTTTTTCGGAGGGAAAATCTAGTGGCATTTTAGAAAAAAAAGTAGTTTCGTTTTTATTTCATTTGAGAGGGGATTATCTTGCGATTATCTTTAACCAAAAAGATAGAATAGAGAGACTTGTAACTAGAGCCATATACGAAACATAAAGATGATTATTCTTACTTACATGATAGATTACAACTATAAAATTTCTCTATTCTAGTTTGTGACAAAAGCTTTTTAGTATTTTTAATATAAGTGTTAACTAATTTTATCCAAATAGATGGACAATTCGTGCTCGCTTTCAAAAATTTCTACAATCGATTTTAGATTACTCTATATTTGAACCTTTTTTTATTTTTATTTCTTGATAGAAAGGATTAGAAAATAGAGTGAGAGGCTTCATGTATACACTTTCTTATCCAAAAAGATAGGTTCATTGAAAGTTATGTATGGGAAAAAAGGTCATTGGCTCTGATTGACGATTAGAGAAATGAGTGGTTTATTGTTAGGTATAAAGAACATGCACTCATATGCGAGAGGTTGGTCGATTTAGAGATGTACCCCTATTTAAAAAAGGCCTGAGAAGACTGCAATGTTATCTCGACTCAATCTAGTACTAACTTGGCTTTTTGAGACTCGGGTGGGTGAGAAGTATATAGATGGCAAGTATCGAATCAATCTTTTTGTTAGTAATTTATCATTAACCCATAACCTCGTAGGGTAGTTGTACTAGCCTCAATTGTTTTTTCTATCTTGCTTCGAATTTTGGTTGTTGATGTGCCTTTTACTTTTTTACGAAAGAGTCTAACCAAGGCAAATACAAAATGGAGCTTAGGGAATCTAATGAGAAGGTGATCCTATATTGGTAGTGTTGGGTTCTTTCTTCTTCTTTCAGGATCCATAAAAATGAGGAGAACAAGTCTCGATATGGCCTAAACCCACATGAGGATGAGAATGAGGATCGATTCCTTTTTTTAGTTTTAATGCTTTATTAGTATAAAGTTTGAGGCCTTTAACCACCCATAAACCCGTAGCCCAAAGCCACTTCTCCCTCTCGTGAGGGCGATTACTCCTCTCTTAATGGCTCTTTAGCATCTTAACTACGTTTTTCTCCACCTAAAAGGGGTTGTTTAGCCTTAAAGAGCCGAGTCGAGAGGTTATTATGGGTCCTGTTCTTACTATGGATCTATCTAGTGTTATAGGTCTATTGTTTGCTCTTTTTTTTTTTTACTAAAAGAGTTATGCTTGAGGATAGATTTTTTTGAGGATATTTCCACTTTGTGTGATAGGAAATGAGAGAAAATAGTTCATTTACTCAAGTAATTTTCTTTGTTTCTTAGAGATATATTAAATTTTAAGAGCTTTTTTTGGCCGATAATATGATAAGAGATAATACACTTGGTTGTAAGTATTTTTTTTCTTTTGTTTTGAATTTTAACTCTATAGTGTTGACATGCATACATGCCTTATAATTACAAGCTTATAGACTTTATAGGTGGGAGGTCCAACGGGGAGATGTTCGTAGTTTTTGACCTAGTATATGGATATAAAACTATCATCTATACATAATAAATAAAGATATTATCCCTTTGTCTAGAGATGAAATGCAAATTAAAGAAATTGAATGAGTCACTAGCCAAGACATTTATTTATAAAAGGCTACTCGTTGTGTAAGAGTTAGAGAAGGAAAAAAATAAAAAATAAAAGAGAGAATGAGGGCATTGCCTCTAAAATAAAGGAGATGAGAGTTAAGTTAGCAGCTATGACCTAAAAGGGAGACATTACTTTGGACATGGCAACCCTTTGAGGGGAGACCAGAATTGCCTTAAAGAGTTTTGCTAGAAATTTAAGAAAACTCATAAATTTGTCTAAACTTATGCTCGAATAACTATTGGAGAACCTTGAAGATGTTTATTTCCCTAACAAAGCTAGAAATATAGATGTTGATCTTTCTAATTTTTTTTTTTTTATGGTGAACTAGCCCTTAATTTTAAAGATCAATATCCCTTTAGAATGGTCGTTGTTAGGGAGGTAAGACATGTCCGTGATGATCATTCTTCGATGACTCTTTCTTCTACGAGATATGTGGCAATGCTTGAAGAGTCGGACTCATTTTTTACTCTTAGTTGGGATAAGCCATCCGGAGCTAAAGCTTTTTTTAATATTTCCTTCCTTATTTTCTTTTTAGAGAGACTAGAACGTAAGTCGGCCTTGTTTCTTCTCCTTTTTTTCTCTCCTCAAAAGATTCTTGAAGATGCTACCGAAGTTTCAAAGGAAAATATTATTGACTTGGTTAAGATAGACTCGGGTTTTATAAACCCGATAACGATTGATTGTAGATTTTTAGAAGTTCAAATTTCTAACCATAAACTATAGTTTTATGACCCTATCTTTTTTTTTTTTTTTGGATAAATTGTATTTTTAGATTAAGGAATTTTAATTATAGAGAAGATTATGTTTCCTTTATACATGACAACATATGTCTTTATATCTAGATAAGGTAAAAACTATAATATGTTATAATTCTAAATTCTAACAAGTAATTTGTTTTTATTCTTGATAGAGTGTGAGTCGTTTTCTTTTATGAGTTGATCAGAATGCCTCTATACCTAGGTAAGTGAACACTTTGAACTTTTAAAAACCTCATATACCTTTCTAAATGAGGATTACGGACTTTTTTTTTTTTTTTAGGAAAAGACAAAATCTTTGATCTCTAATAAATATTCACAATGCCTTTATAACTAGGAAATGTGTGCCTTTATGCTTAAGCAAGCTAAAAATCATGAATTTTTTAGTCTTATATTTTCATAGATTGTTGACTATATTTTGAAAAAAAAAATCACATTTTTTTAAATGATTAAGGTGCCTTTATACTTAAGCAAAGTTGGCCTTTATATCTAGATAAGATAAAAAAAAAACCCTAATTTTGAAGAGTGGATAAAGTTTTTAGTTTTTAAAATGGTGTGTGGTGCTTTTAGACCTGGATAAGATATGCCTTAATACTTGGACAAGATAATAATCACGATTTGTTGAAACCTTAAGAATTTATTTATTTATAGTTATGTTTTGTGAGGGAAATGAATGGCCGAGGTGATTTATACTTAAGTAGAGTATGTTTTTATATCTAAGTATGGTAGAACTCCCCGTCACTACTATCTAAGATCTTTGTGAGGTGTAACATTTTCAATAAGAAAATAATTGCATGTTCTTGGAAGGAAAGTAATGGTCATAACTACGAGTTTTTTGAAAAAAAATATATTTTTTTACGGGAATGTGTTTTTATCTTTAGACATAATGATTGTCAAAATTTCATTTAAAAACTCCTTTTTTAATTATGTATTTATGTATATATAAATCTTTTGTGCAAAAGACTTGCCATTAAAGTGTATTGGCTCGCTTAGAAGATTTAGATGGGTGTCCGGTCTTTTTTTCATATCTTTTAGTCTTTTGTATCCCTTGCCCGATCTTCTTCTCGTTCCACGTCTTGTTTCCTCTTTTCTTTCTTGATGCTAAAGGAAGAGCACCTCCGAGATGTCACTTGACTTCTCTTTATTGTAGTAGCTCTTTTGGATGTAGAGAATTTGAAAGACAAGTAGTGAGTGTTGATATTGATGTTTATTTTATAAAGAAGTGGTCTTCCGAATATGGTATTGTATGTCAAGCTCATTTATATAACCCTAAACGTAAAATGTATGTTTATGCTTTTTAAAGAGATGTATATAATCATTGGAAATTAGATTTTTCTCTCAACTAGTACTTGTCCTCCTTTTATTCTACTTAAAAGAGTTTCTAAGGGTTAGAGTTTTGAGGGATCCATCTTCATTAAGTTAGATATCTCATTTGACAAAATGTCGATGATGTTGTTGGGATTTATGAGAATACAATTGCCTTTGTGATTGAAGATGGATCATGAGATAATTATGAGGTGATAGGCATATGCTTAGGGTATGAAGTATCATGAGATGGTGAGGATTGGGAGAGCTTTTTTTTTTTATTAAGTCTTTTTTTTATGGGTAGCCCTCCTAAAATCATGTTGATCTAGGAGTGATCTTCTTGATGAGGGTCTTGTCTAGCGTTAACCTTGTTGGGATTTAGCCCTTCTACTTTAATGAATTCTTTAAGATACCTCTTGATGATTAGTCTTTTATTATTATTAATTTTTTTAAGAAATAGCAATTTTTAGTATTGTGGCAAATGTTCGATAATAGAGGTAATATCTTTTCGAATTATGAAGGTGTAAGAGGCCTCTCATTGAAGTTAAGAGGTTAACATGTACTTTTACTTGTATGGGGGTAAATACCTTTGTTCGATTGACATTCGGGAGAGTTGTTTGGAGTTCAAAAAAATCGGATGGCTATAGACGAGCCCTCCGAGATTTCTTTTTGGATTGGAGCGGACTCGCGGAGCTCTTTCTTTTTTTACCTTTTTTATTGGTTTTTGAATACATAAGTGTGCTTATCGGGTGGCTATTACTTCTTCTACTAGGATATGATTTTGCTAACATTTTCTTTACTTAATAAAAATTCCTATTAGATAGAGCATAAGTGTTTTTCCATAAGTTGGTGTTATTAACCTTTGATACAAGGGCTTTGATTTCTACGAGTTCTAACAAGTCATCGACTATTGGCATCTTTTCATGAAGCGAGAGAAGTAAGCTCATGTACTCTCTCCTTCTCCTAGGAATACTATGGAAAAGTCTCTAGAGTTTTTTTTTTAGTAAGGATGCTAGTGGAGAAATAGATGGTTAGCTTAGAGCATAAATATTCAAAATTAAAGATCGACTCGGGGTCTAAATTTTTATACCGCTTTTTTCACCACCGTTTAAAAAGTGGTGGAAAACACCTTGTACATGGTGTTTAAGTTTTGTGTGACTAACTTAAGGTTTTTTTAGACATTCTATATATGTTTCGTAGATTTTTCATACCATCATACACATCCGGGTTCATCTTCTCGGTTGAGAACTTTTTAGAAGCATGTCATTTAAAATATAAAAAGTAAGTAAAAAAGTTTAGATCTTATTACCGTAACGGTATGATTTAGGTTGATTGGTGGCAATGTGTCTCTTATCTACTCGACTAGCATTTAGGTTATTGGCTTACTAATGAAGTTTAAAAGGAGCAAGGATTATTCCTATATTGTTTATTGTGTTGTATTTTACGGAGGTTATGCCAACTTTGAGCAATGTGGCAATACTCTATTCTTTTATCTCTCTCCCTATCTTTATGAGAGCCTTAACCTATTAGAATTTTTATCATGATAGTAAGAGTAAATTATTTATGGTTCTAGAAAATGACGATGTTTCTTTTTTTTAGCCTCTCTCTCATTATATCTAGTCATTTGTTCTTTACAATGCTAGGTTAGTCTATTTTAGTGAGAGGGGTCTATATATGACATAACTCATGACGGTGTGAAGGCCTTTACGGATGGTGAACGTAGGGGTGTTTGTTGTTTTAGAAGTGTTAGTAATGATGTAGTTAGAAACCTTATTTGTTCTTACGTCATTATGTATGCCTCTATTAAGATTTTGAGGTGTCACTATAGTTGGAGAACGTCTACTAAGGAAATACTCGTGATTGACGGAATTGAAAAGAATAGAATGAGTTGAAGTTTCATAATTGTCGGCTATGGATGGAAAATTGATGGTGGAGAAATAAAATAATCGGTTATTGACTTTTTGCTCTTTTTTCATATATGACACCACTAACAAGACGATGATCCTTAGATTATAATTATTGATGATGTGGCTTTCGATCCTAGGATGATCATGTGGCGATTGTAATTAGATAGGTGTTGATTCAATAGCGAGTACCCATAAAATAAATCCTCATTTGATGGTTAAATAACCTTTCGAGGGCTAATCGGCTTATAGATAGGTTTAGCCTAAATGGGCTATAAAGAGATTAACTTGTATATGTAGGTGATAATTGACAATATAACTATTTTGAGCTTATACAACACAATTTGTAACTTTTGGCTCATTAGTTTTCATATAAAAAAAATGTGATCAACTTGCATGAAATGGAGGATAAAATTATCTCTCGCTCTTGTATTTAATAATTCTTGACATCCACTTTAAGTGTTTGGGCCTCATTTAAGTGATGATTGTTGTTTAACGGGATATGTATATTTGTAGTTGCGATGATGTGATAGGAACATCCCAAGAAGCCTTACCTTTATTAAATGAATGGCTTTTTTTCCCTACCAAATAGGTAGAAAAACATCTATTTTACTCGAGCTATCCGTCCGTACTAATTATACATGCTTTGTCCGGTTATAGTGTCGTTGGTAGCTAGTTAGAATCACTTTAATCGAAAGGTGAATTCTTACTCCGATGATCTTTAAGTGGAGTATGACAACAAATACTATAATCATATAGGTATATTAGTTTTATTTTATTTTTCGAGAAGTCGCCTTGTGTAGGCCAAAATTTACGTTGTAAATAAAATTACAAGTGCCACAAAAAATAGAGCTTTATACTTGGCCATTCAATAAAGGGTCACTAAAGGTGAAAGTAATCGTATAATATCAAACCTTAAATAATATAGATTAGAATATTAACAACAACAAGAGTTGTCAAATAATCATTTTAATCTAAAAATTTAAGTTGTTAGAGCATGACAATACATGTCATAACCACAATCATATAGGTATACTAGTTTTATTTTATTTTTCGAGGAGCTATCTTATGCAAGCCAAAATTGAACTATTTGAGAATTTAAGAGGACTCGCTCAATTTATAATATAGATAAAATTAAAAGTGCCACAAAATACAAAGCTTTAGATTTGACCATTTAATAAAGGGTCAATAAAAAAGGAAGTAACATTACAATATCAAAACCTTAAATAATATAGATTAGAATATTAAAAGCAATAAGAATTCTCAAATAATCATTTTAATCTAAAAATTTAAGTTACTTGATGAGGTCTTAAAAATAATTTATATTATTTTTAATACATATTTTCAAGTGAAAGTTTTTTGAATTTGAAATTTGCACAAGCCCACCATCGCTACAATGCCATATCTAAAAACTATTTTAACCAAAAAATTTAAGTTGAATGAGATTACGTCAATAATTTTATATTACTTTCTAACAAAAATCAATAAAAAATATACAAGAAAATAGCTTGATAGTACATTCCTGCATAATTCACATTTCATTAAATTAATTACTGATTGAAGGTCGGTTAAATTGCATAGACACCTGATCTTTCTAAGCTAGTCAATATAACTTATAAAATGACTTCATTTTTCATTACCGAACTCTGCTCAAGTTAGCAATAAAATGAAAAGAATAGATAGATTATTATTATTATTATTATTATTATGAAAAAGAATGCATAAATAAGTTAACCACACATCTATTAGAGATTATTTTATTGTTTATAACTACACACATCTAGAAAAGCAACTATTTAGAAAAACATCAACCTTATTAATATTGTGAACGAAACTCTGAATACCTTTGCAACTAACTAGATCATTGGTTTTTTTTATTCACAAATAGACTAATCATCCAATCCATGAAAAGGGATGTATAAATAGAATAATAATACTAAAAAATATGTTACAGCGAATTAACCTTTTCAACATTGTTTTGGAATTTACTGATACTATCTAAAATATATAGAAACTGGTTCAGGAAATTACCGTGTATTTATGTGGACAAAACACAATACCTTTAATTTTTACGATCTATATATGTCAGAATTTTAACCAAAGTTATGGAAGTAGTCAAGAAGATACCTGCTTACACACGTTAAAGTTCTAATAAAAAAAAAAATTGTTTCTTTCTCTGTAGGTAATGCACAAACTCAACAGTATTCTTACACTTGGCAAAATCGAGTTCCACCGAATACATGTAAAATTGAAATCGTATAAACAAACAAAAGATGGTCTAAAAATGGACAATGCATAACGAATAAATAATAGTCTGCCTCTACCATTGACAAATTCACATGATAAACAGACAATTCAGATTTTTGAAATTGATTAACATAAACATAGGAATGTACCTAGCAATGTCCATGGAACATGCAAGTGCTACACATGGAACCAGTCTTTTGAGCCGATCAAATGGGGATGCTCTGACCAGTTTTTTTCTTTTTTTTTTATATGATTGTTGATCTGTCGCGTATTCCAATTAAATTTCTTCTAAGTAGTTCATAATATTCAATCAAAAAGAAAAAGGGAAATTATACAGGCATAAAAGAAATAACAACTATACCTGACGTGACAAGCATGCGGCTGTGGCGGGGAGTTTAGACTTTATACTTTAGAGGACGGCGCTATATATAAATTTGTTTTGAAGAGAAGACAGAGTCCAAACTCTAATCCATCAGTAACCAGACAAACAAAATCCCACGTTACTGAATCGCCGCAGACAAACATTTTGATTCTCTTAGCCCGATATTTCGTGTAATTTGTAAATGTTTCGGCCCTCCTTGTCATCTTCTATTAAAAACATATAAAATCACCGATGCGCACGCGCTTTCTTCTCTTCTCTTCTAAATTAGCTAGCTCCCACTTGCGAAGCCAAGACTCCATCAAGCGCTCTCTCTCTCTTTCTCTGTCTATATTTTTTGTTTTCTTTATCTCTTAACTTGGTTTTTGATACATATTTGTACCAAGAATTGTTCTTACAAGTTATTGATTGTCTTCTTAATGATGGATGGATGGCGGAGATTGAACCGGGTGAAGCTTCGCATGGAGATTTTGATTATGACTCTGTTGTTATTTCATCAAGGTTTTAGCTTTTGTCGGTCTCTGAACACAGAAGGTGAGTTATGCTATGTTTTATATTCGTATGGTGACGAGCTTTTGTTTTCCATGCCCTTAGTCCTTACAACTTTGTTAAACTTGATGTTCTTTTTTATATAGAAATGTGCATGTGTTGAAAATGGTTTAGGTTTGGCTTTGTTGAGGTTTAGAGAGCGCGTGGAGAGAGACCCATTTGGAGCTTTATCGAATTGGGTTGATAAAGATGGAGACATTGATCCTTGTTCTTGGTTTGGAGTCGAATGCTCTGATGGCAAAGTCGTGATCTTGTAAGTAATTCATGTTATTGTTTCTGTCTAAAAAATAAAAAATAGAGGTTATCAAATAGTAAGTAATCAAGCATTCTTCTTTTACAGGAGTTCATCTTTATCTTTTGTGCTTGCCAGTTAATTACATTTGTGATTTTGTATAGCCCATTTAGTTGAATCAAAGATCCAGTGTGTTTAGAGATGGTAAATTATTGTCTAGTACAGATTTCTTTCTGTGTCTCTTTTGAACAAGAAGTTTGTATAAGCTTTTTGTAAACTAGAATATTATGCGAACATAACTGGAAATGTGAAATACTCGTGAAGAACATTAACTTTATCCAACTATATCTGCAATCAATTGTTGAATTTTAGATCCAGATCCAGACTTGAGCTGTCATATTCAATTTAAATGTTAGATGAACTTACAGTGAAGGAATAAATAGTGTATATTGTTGCCGGCCATTGTACTTATCAGCGCAGAATCTATTACGGTATGAAGCATCCCTTGGAAGTGATCAGATGTCAAACTAATTAATGTAGCATGTGTGATGTCCCTATAGTAGATAGTTCATAACAATGTGGGCCTACATGGAGCAATCGTAGCATTTTTTTCCATCTTTTGCCGATTTTATAATATCATCTATAATTTTTTTTTCAATTTATACAGTAATTTTTTTGATGTAATTACGTAGTTTATCATCGTTTAGCATGAATCAAATATTCGGTTAATTCTTTTTTTAGGTGCAAAAGATTCAATTTTTTTTTTTTAATAATAATTTTCTTACAGTCAGAAATGTTCGACTTGTAGGCATTTGACAAACCTCTGTCTTGGAGGGACACTGACACCTCAACTTGGGAGACTAACTTACTTGAAATCAATGTAAGCTTAAATTTTGACCTGGATTTTGATTTTTGGAAACCTTTTTATAGATTTTATCTAATTTACATTTTCCATACAGCAATTTACGCAACAATTCTTTCTACGGAAACATTCCTAGAGAAATCGGAGAATTGAAGGAGCTGGAGGTGTTGGACTTGGGATATAATAACTTTAGCGGACCATTTCCTTCTAACTCTGGAAATAATCTATCACTGACTACCCTGTAAATTCATTCTAGCCTATTATATTCTCTAGTTTTTTCCTCTTAAGCTTGAATGGTTTGACTAAATCATCTCTGATTCTCATTGCAGCTTGCTTGACAATAACAAGTTTCTTGACAGCATATCTCCTGAACTAAATGAGCTTAAGGTACTTTCTGAAGTTCAGGCAGATGAGAATCAGTTAAGAGCTTCTTGTTGCTGCAGAGACATTATCTGGTAAGCAAGTGCTATTACTGGTATTCCTAAAAATTGATCTTTGGTGCGGCCACTTTAGAGATGTCAATGCAGAAGAAGTTAGAGAGGAGGTGATGAGAGGGGAGGTGGTTATGGTTCACAACTTAGAAGGAAAAGAAGAAAAAGCTAAAAGCAACCCATAGGAGAATGCAATGACCACATAATTAATGTCGAAGAAACAACTTAGTTAATCACAATATATAACTCAACTTTGCATATATTCTGCCATCCCCAAAATTTGCAAATGCAAACAGAGGACCTCCTGGTGTATGTGATGCAAAACATACTCTTGTGTGCCTTAAAAATATCCCTTTTTTTGTCATTTAATCTACTACTTGATTAAGTTCTACTAACAGGGTGTCAAGTACTTTCAGTTCTCCACTTGAATTTATTTCCCAACAGCTTGCTGACATTCCTTACTTTTATTTGTCAGGAACATTGTTCAATCTGGAAGTATAGCTCACCGGATGCTGCTGCAGGTGGCAGCGGCTCCAAATCCATCCATAGCCAACGATCATCCTAAAGCACGTCAAAGTGGTTCTGAAGCATCGCCTTCTCCATCTTTATTGGCTCCATCTGGATCTCAATTATCACCATCACTGACACCCTCAGACTCACCGTTTATATCACCATCACTGACACCCTCAGACTCACCGTCACCATCATTTTCCCTATCACCGTCTCCTTCAGAGTCTCCGTCATTTTCTCCAGCAGAATCCTCTTCCAGTCTTCCTTTGCCTCCTTCACCCTCACCCATGATGGCACCAACTCCAGGTTCACCTGCTCCCGAAAATCCACCAAGTGTCTTTATTGTACCACCACAACGTGATTGGGTGTCAATGGTCCCTGCTCCAAGTCCAAATCATTTGGAATATTCAAAGTCAAAACATCACACTGTTCTCATTGCTGGTGTTATTGCTGGCACTATGTTTGCTTTGATTTCAGCCATTGGCATTTTCTTCTTCAGAAGCAACAAGGTAGTCACTGTCAGACCTTGGGCCACAGGTTTAAGTGGGCAGCTGCAAAAAGCATTTGTAACAGGTCAATCTTCCTTTTCATATGGATCACACGTGCACATACCAAAACTAATATACATGTATAGATTTTGATTCGATGTTGTCTTTACTCATTTTTGTTAACGTGTCTTTCAGGCGTACCAAAACTCAAGAGATCAGAACTTGAAGCCGCTTGTGAAGATTTCAGTAACATAATTGGCTCCTTCTCAGATGGCACGGTGTACAAGGGGACACTATCAAGTGGGGTTGAAATAGCTGTGACGTCTACTGCAGTAAGATCTCGTGAAGACTGGTTGAAGAATTTAGAAGCACAATTCAGAAAGAAGGTACTTGAATTGAAATTTGCTAAGCTTCGTCCATTTAATATGGGCGCCCCTAAATGCTAATTTTGCTAACTTTTATTCAGATTGACACATTATCAAAAATGAACCACAAGAATTTTGTGAACCTGATTGGATTTTGTGAAGAAGATGAGCCTTTCACAAGAACGATGGTTTTCGAATATGCTCCAAATGGAACTCTGTTTGAACATCTGCACAGTAAGTACCTTATGCTTTTAATGCCCCTTCCGACATGTGTTCCATTCTCATATGAATTGTTCTAGTGATCATAACTACAATAGAGTTACATTCAGCTGAATCAACCAATAAATATGGCATTTTATTGGACTTGCGCTCATCATATATGTGAAGAAAAAATCAATGCCATCTCTTATTCAATCTGTGAACAATAGTACTGAATTTTTCATTGTGTAAAGCTGAATTATGCATCTCAAAAGAAGAAGGAAAAAGAAAAAAACAAGGAATTGGATTGTCCATATCCATCTAATACTCTCTTAGAACTGCAAATCATATCCATATCCTTATATTTTGCTGTTGCTCTAAAAAAGGCAGTTGATCTACTTCTCTATGTAGACTGACTGCATACTTGATGGCTGCAGTACAGTTGCACCATAGCACTTATAGATCATTGAAGTTGCAGTAAATGAACCTATATGACTGTTTTATGGTATGGATGACAGTTGAATTCTTGATTTCTTGTAGTAAAAGAAGCCGAACACTTGGACTGGGGAATGAGATTACGAATAGCAATGGGTATAACATATTGCCTCGAATACATGCATCAACTAACTCCACCTATAGCCCATAAGAATCTGCAGTCATCGTCAATTTATCTGACTGAAGACTATGCAGCCAAAATATCAGATTTCAGTTTATGGAATGATGCAACAGCAGCAAAGATTGGATCAGCATCCATGGAGCTGTTAGAATCCCATACATCGGATCTAGAGAGCAATATTTACAGTTTTGGGGTAATTTTGTTTGAAATGATAACTGGCAGGATCCCATATGCAGTGGACAATGGCTCTCTCGCTGACTGGGCATCAGACTATCTGAGAAGAGAGCAACCATTAAAAGAAATGGTCGATCCAACTCTAAAATCTTTCCAAGAGGATGAACTTGAGAAATTGTCCGAAGTAATAAGAAATTGCATCCATCCTGATCCGAAACAGAGACCAACAATGAAAGAGATTGCAGCTAAGTTGAAAGAGATCACAGCAATGGGACCTGATGGAGCAACACCAAAATTATCACCTCTTTGGTGGGCAGAACTTGAAATTATGTCTACAGAAGGAAGTTGAGAGGTTAACTTAAGTCTGAAATATGGATTTTAGTGTTCTTTTCCATGTCCCTTTAACTATTGTTTTCCCCTGATTCTCTTGCTGAGCTCTCAGTAGCATTGGTTTATAAGGTAGATAATGCTTGTATCTGATGTAACGTAGAGTATGATGTTTGTACATAACTGAGGAAGGGAGGAGACCTCTGGTCTGTCCATTGCTTTGTTCTTTTGCCACTGGCAAAGTTGGCAGTATAAAATCCAAGTATCTGAAGTATGCTTGAAAGATAAATAAACGTTCTGTGTTTCCAATACTCCCAGGATGAAAAAATTTGACTCAAAGTCTGCCAGTCTTCGAACACCTATCACCCTTTCTTTATGACGCTGCTTGCTTGTTCATCAAAAAAGGATTATTAAGGGGTGGTGGGGAGTTTAGAGCAATCTCAGTCCCCTGGATCTGTCAATAAAAAAACAACCAATACCTTTTAGTTACTGCATAGGGGCTCACTCGGCCAAAATGCAAGGTAAGCATGAAAAAATAGAAGGGAAGAGAAAATGAGGTGAAAACAAAAGTAGACGCCAGAAAGTGCTAAGCTTGAGAAATGCAGGACTTCAATAGGAGTTAACTCGAGACTACACTTGTGCCATCTGTAATATAAAGAAAAGCATGATACAACCAAAGAGATTTAAATCCCTTCCTGACTTTTGTTCGGGTATACGATGAACTCAAAGAAGGGGGAAAAAAATCCTGTTTCTAACGAGATACAATTGTGAAACCTATACCGTTCAAGAGAAACAATGGCAAGAAGTTGCAGCACTTGAAACTTTCCAGCCTCAATCCCATACCGCTAACTGATCATGTGGCCATGACTTCACATAACTATCTGCGAGTAACTTTTGCCTATGGGCTGTTCGCAACACTTTTCTAGCTCTATCATCAATACCATAAAGAGATATATACAAAAGAGTTCATTACAGCTCCTTGACGCAGTCCGTCCTTCTCATAGCTGTGATGATTTTGCGCTGGATACCATATAGACCATGATTTCCAAAAAAAGAAAAAAGATCAGCATGTATGTACCCATGGTATTTTGCCCCTTGGTTATTGTTGAAGTCCCCATTCCTCATCAATGATATTGGTGTAACTCAACTGCTTCGTGTAGCTTGGTCCTGGGTTCTATTATACAGATCAAGTGTGTCCGAGTGGTTTGGGTCCAGGCAGAGAGCTGCCTCACAATCTTGAAGAGCAGAGGTTTTGTCTCCCATTGATTCATAAAATGCTGCTCGAAGATGGAGCATCTGCAACTCAGGCTTGAAAGCTATGGCCTTAGTAAGCTCTTCTAAAGCTTCGGTTTCCTTTTGGTCATCCATTAGCACTGGGAATAAGAGATTCTTCATGTTAGTAAAAGTCCTGATTTCAAAGGTAATAATTGTGTTCAAGCAAAGACAAGAAAAATGAAGCCAATGGAATGACATTGGAAATAACTGTGAGAACTTGTGAGGAGTTGCATGGAAAGGATGCAGGATTTCCAAAAAGGAGTGGCGAATGGCGATGATTACCAGCTGCTCTATATCTGTATGGATATGTTCTTAGAGGATCCAGTTGTGTTGCCATATTAAGGTCGTCTTTTGCCTTCTCACGGTCGCAGTATTCTGATCGTTTCTCATATGCTGATGAGCTACTATGTGCCTTCTCTATAAGCTTACTCATCTCTTCAAATGCAGCTTTTCGTTGATTTTTCAAATGATAGACACGCGCTAGACCTTGATGAGCTCTTGTATGCTTGATGTTAAGGGCATTCATGTAGCAGTCTGCAGCCTGATCCAGCTTACCACAATCCACATAAATACTTCCTAAATTATTCAATGCCTGCAAAATGCCAATGCTCATGTCAAACAAGTACATTGAGCACAGATGGCCATATGAGAAACATACTGGAATAGCCATTACTCACTTGTCCTTTCCTAAGGCCATCTGAAGGGCATCTAAGAGCTTCCTCCAGCAGTTGGATGACGGTAGATGAAGATTCAGGATCCAGATTTGTATCAGCTAATGTATATGCCTTTAGGAAGAAAGCTTCAAATGACCTCTGGATCGAAATGGATTTCTCAGCCCTAGAGAGAGCTTCTTCACGATGGCCAGTGTCATATAAAAGCCATCCTTCATATATCAGCCTTTCGTGAACAGAACTGGAATGGTTTCTAGCCAACCGCAAACAGCGCATTGCAGCCTTCGGACAATTTAACCTAGTGCATTGAGGTATCCAGTGTATTTCATGTTATTGAATATAACAAACAGCTACAAGACAAGACCAAATTCATTATACTAAATGTACAGGAAAATTTTATCCTTGCTCCACAAGTGCATAAGTAAGATGTTCGGTCAATGAAACAAAAGAAACAAAAATGAATAGCCAATTCAGAATCACTATATCAAATAAAGAAAAAAGAAAAAAAAAACAAGTTCACATCATTATTGACACCTTATTCATGCAATGAATTGTATGAGTTTATTAGATAACATGTACAAAGAGATTGTGTTTTCAAGTTGGATACGGGTTTATCATCTGTTGGAAAGAAAAATGAAATTGCTGCACAAAAACATGCAAGGGATGGCGGGTTTCCAAAGATTGCGGAGAACAATTTTAAAATGAAGCAATGCAAAAAAGATAGAAGCTTATTAAAAGTCGAACTTGATGATTATCATACTGCATGAATAATACAACTGCATGAGCAAAATAAAAAGTAGTTCCATCAGAAAATTTACCGCAAAAGAAGCAAAGATTGTCGAAACCACAGCAAGCTCTTTGCAGGATCATTTACTAGCATCTGATGTATGACAGCCAGAGAGCCAATGTCATCAACAGAAGACCATCTTTCATAAAGTTGCATCCAGCAGTCAGCCAGACTCCATTGCCGAATGCGATGGCCAAGAAGCTCAACCAAGTGATCTCCACTCATCCTCCCATGAAACATCAAGTACTTAGGTTCCAAGGTCAACAATGCTTGAATATCCCTCAAAGCACTTTCATAATCCTCAAGAGCAATGAAAAACCAAGCCCGCAACTCAAGACAATCAGGTGAGAGCTTGAAGCCGATAATTCTATCAATCTCTGCAATAGCTGCCCTAATCTGCTTCTCTTCCACCTTCATAACAGCTCTGAATTTGTATGGAAAGGAAAGGGTTGGATCCAGTTCAGTTGCAGTCTTCAAATCCATTACCTTCTCCCGTCCAACACCGTACAGGGATCGCTCTTGGTACATCCACCCAACTGGTTTATACTCAAAAATAAGAGAGTTCATCAACCTAAATGCTGAATACTGTTGCCCTTGTTTGTACTTGGTCCGTGCAACACCTGCTAATGAATAAACATGACCTGCCTCAACAGCTGCCTCAAAATAAAATTGGGCACCCTTGTACTCTCTTCTCTGAAGCATTACGCAACCCAGTTGATGCAAAGCAAGTGCTTTCTGCCACTTTTCTGTTGCAAACTCTTCCAACCCCTCCAATAACATCACTGCTGCGCTTGATGCCATATTCTCCTCCATAGCGACCTGGCTCAGGAAATAATAGAGCAAGAATGAAGCATGCCCCAGCATGGCCAATCTCTCCCTTGCCTCCGAGTTACAAAAAACACTCATCACTTTGATGTTATACAAAGAATTTGGGAGCTCTCTTAGAAACACCTGCAAGCAAGAGGCGACAAGAAGATTTGCTCTCTCTTCCAAGCCATAATCAATAAGAATCAATGCATCCTCAATCCCACAGACCATTGAAGCCAAATGAGCATCACAAACACACTTCAACTCCTCACAACAAAACCTGTTTGCAAAAAAAAGTAACTCCAAAACAATCGCAGGGCAAAACAAATCAACTCTCCTAGTTCTACTGTACACTTCCACAGCTCTCATCCCCTCGACAGATATCCCAATCTTTGAAAAATCAATCTTATCTCTTCTTGACTCCACAAAGCTACCATATAGCATCGCCTTGAATGGGCCCGAAAGAGAAGCAATTTTGAATCTAGCACACTGAACCAACTCATTACCAATGCAAAATGAAACATCACTATCCTCCTCCAAACTCGAGCACTCATTTCCCATCAATATTTTATTATCAACAGCCTCAAAACAATCTTGACCGCATTGGCAATGATCATAAATTGAATTAGGATCGTATCCAGAAACCAAAGCAGCCATAGGACATTCAAGGATGTACCCACTACAATCCTTTGATGACACACCAATAAACTCATCTTCTCTCCTCTCAAACCTTAACCAAGCAGAAAGCACTACCTTTGAGTGCACATCAATAGCATATTGCCTCGCTGCGCAAAGGCACCTTCTAAGCAACTTAGGATCACCTAATCCACGCAAAACCGAATACTGCTCGATGCATAACAATGATTTATCCGTTTGTGAGCAGGTATTTAGACGTCTATAAATTTCAGCTAAAGACTCCACACAGTTTATAGGTTTCAAGTAAGAGTCTATAGGGGGTTCAAGGAGCTCCGTAGTTGGGAGTCCATAAGGAAGCAAAGCTTGAGCTACTGAGCTACAGTTCGTAAATTTAGATTTTGAAAGTTTGCCTCTTGAACTGGGGTTATTGTCCTGGGGGCTTAAGGCATGGACTTGGGTGCTCTTGAATCTATCAAAGAACTTAAGACCATGCATTTTTTTTTTACTCAAGATGATTATCTTGTGTATGGTACTCTATATATCTATCTACAACATGAGATTCAAGAAGTTTTGATAAATAAAGATGAACTTTTAATGCGCAAAGAAAAAAACGAATCCAATGAGAGAGTATTTGTAAAGGTTGTATAGTTATTACCTCTAGACTGCAAAATGGAAACGCCTCCAATAAAGAAAAAACAGAGAAGGGAGACAGAGACAGGGTGTGAGACTAAAAATGGCGTTTGGTTCTTGAGAAAAAAAGGAAGGTTTTGGGATTCTAGATTTTGGACATATTGTTATCTTTTCTCTCATGGAATAGATTCTTGGGAAACTTGCGTGTGTCCTTTTTCTCTCTCTCTCTCTCTCACTGGATCTACAGTTGCAGTAGGCCCTTTAATGTGAGACTTTGACAGTTTTGGTGACCTGAAAGTTTTTGGTTGATTTGGTGGCTCACTCCATGTTAATGAGTTTCGGTTCAGCACTCAACAACAACTCCATTTTCGCCATATCAGTGTCAATAACAGATGGTCAACGCTTGAGGGAAAGGGCATTTTAGGTTAATTAAGCTATGTTTTCTTCAACTTCTGATTGCTGATTTTGTTAGCAGCACCAAATTTGCATGCTAAGCAAAGGCGTGGAACTTTGGAGTAAATTTATGAATCAATAATAATAATAAAAGTAGGTTCTTGGGTCTCATCAATACCAAACAAATCCCGCATATTTATCAAGTCTTTTTTTGAAGTAATCAAGGGAAAAATCAATTTTTAGGATTCATTTTGAATATTTTTTTATCCTTCCAAAGCCGATAATCTCTTAGACCGTAGTTTTGAGTCATCATCTATCCCACGCATGTAAGTTATTTTAGAGAATTAATGGAACTGAATCTGTTGATGGTTTGCAGTCGTATGAACAAATCAACTTCGTTCTAAAAAAATTGTTGTTGCAAACAAACTTCACCATCCGTTAAAGAATATATTATTTGATGAGATAAAACAGAATTTACGATGTTAATTGCTAATTATGAACTCCCAACTGCCTCCTTTCTTGACAAGTTTGATTAGCCATTAAAATAGTTATCTAGTGGACAAGATGCATTATTCCATCATCTATTGCTTCCAAACATGAGCTTGTTTACTTGGTGAAATGTCTTAATCTAACCTAGAATTTTAGTTTTCCGTGTAGAACAACAAAGGGTAAACCACTCCACAGTAGACCCCAAATTATGATTTGCTTAAATTACATCATCTAAACAAATTACGCCGCAAGGCCTCCTAACTAGACACATGCAAATGTCAAGTGAGAGGACCGTCTAAAAAAATTGGAAAAAGTGAAGATATAGACCAATTATTGATGGTTAGGTACATTAGATCTAAAGCAGTCCTTCCTTATAAAAAAAAACACAAACTTGTAAGGATGCTCTTGCTTGCATTATGAATTGATTCGATCACTAAATTATTGGAATCCTGGAGACACCTCAAGAGAAGAAGTCTTAAAAAAAAACTTGCAAGACTCACAATAAAAAAACAGACTATTATTATAATAAAGCAGAATATATGCGCAGTCTGAAACAAGTCTAATCAGACAAGAAGCGTGTTCACGTGCTTTAAGAATTCATGTGATTAATCATGAAATATGCTTCAGCCTGCTTCTCATCAGTTATCCTGCAGGAAATCTTATCATTGAGAGAAAAGTGGGAGGCCAAGCAGAGCCGACTCTGGTCCTTCAAGTTTTAGATTTTAATCATTTTAACTCATGTACTACAAGTTTTGTTTTTTCAAATATCATAGGATTTTTTTTTCCCCTCAATTTGTGATCCTATGATGTCCCTTCATCCACTTTATATGTTTTCACGTGATAACATGTGGAGACATCTAATCCTAATCAACACGAGTTGTGTAATGGAGAGACCGCAACAGCATGTGACCACAAATGGAACACGCCTAAAGTTATAGTACAAGGGTTAAAATTACCAAAATCTAAACATGTAGGGACACGTAATGTAATTAACCCCATTTCCTCAGCCTTTTTTTTTTTTTATATGATAAGTTAGGTCCCTCCATAAAGAGTGCTTTCTACAATAACATCACATTACTTTACGGTACATTACTTCTAGTTGTCGTAAAAGAAATATTAAGTTGCAACAAAACAATAATAATAATAAAAAAAAAACCACCACCTTACTTTCTCAAAAAAAGGGAAAAAAACCATCTAACTAAAATTTTGATTCCTATTCTATTTGTAACAATTTGTATTTCCATAATAGCATGTGAAAGTTTCACGTCATTACAAAATTCCATATCAACATTTTCTCATATTTGGTCATGGCTGATATTGTACTATGATCCCAGAAAGAATCCTTAAATTTTACGCCAGTCCCACTCCCCACCCTTCCATTTTAGCCTCTATCTGCTGTAACCTGCTGTGCACTCATATCATGGATCTCAAAATTTGTGAAGAATAATGCTATTTTTACCACAAGATTCTCCACTAAATCACTTTTTTTTGGAAATTTTTAAATGTTGCATCTCTAAGTGGAATCCAACAATTCAGTTGGATGAGGTTTTTCAAAAAATAATTTGAAAAAACTTGCGATGAACTATACAATAGATTAATCATATGTTTCCTTCTTGTATTCTTAATATATTTTTTTATACAACTCTTTTATTTTTTATTCAATCTTTTATTCTATATATATATATATTTTAATGTAACACTTTCAATAGAATTTCCATATGTCAGATTATAGCGATGCGTTAAAAAAAATTCAAAAGGAAAAATAATTTTTATTATTTTTTATTTTTAACAGTGGACAGGTCACTTTTTGTTATTAGAAAATTGACCAAAATCCTATAAAAAAGACCACATTAAAAAAATATCTAGAATTAAAAAAACCAAATAAATAAATAAATTAGAACAAAGAGACTACATCAAGAAAATATAAAATTACAAAAAAAACGAAACAGATGATCAATCCATTATACAATTCATGTTGGTGTTTAGGTTGGAGGTTGGCTACACATTTTCATTGGAGTTGACAATTTGCTTGTACAAAGGAGGATAGAAATAAATAAACAAATAAATAATATGAGCATTAGAAGGGGAAAACAATTGTACAAAGTTCCAAAAATGACTGAACCTAATTATTTCTCGTTCTCATGATAGAAGTAATCCCAACTCCACCACTCACCCGCTGTGTGTTTCCGCCACCAAGTGCACTAATTGACAACCTATGAACATGTAAAAGGGGCAGCAAAAGATGCGGCCGCCATATCTTGTTAAGAATTCACTACCGATGTACATTGGCACGTGCATTTCACAAATCAAATGGCACACAAATGGGTTCTCAACAATGTATTATAGCTTATCCAACATACGTGGGATATGAAGAATTCCTTGCCAAAGTAAAAGTTCATGGTCCCAAAGCTTTAACATTGCCAAAAATTTTGATTCTTGGTTAGTTTTTCAGCAGTTCTGTAAGATAATATCAAGGCCTACCTGGAACTCATGAGGAAGGCCCCGATCCTAGAGAATATCTGACAACAAACACTGAGAATGAAGTTCCTGTTCCTTGTCCACCATATTCAACAATAGTTCGGCAAAACCGAAAGCATAAAAGTTTCTGTAAACAAGTTGGCTTCAAGTGAAAGATTTAGCGCATTGCCGATCCCAACATTAGATAAGAAGTGAACAAAAACTAGTCCAGCTGTTCTGTTAGGTATTCAGCTATGGTGTAAGAAGAGGCCAGCGTCAATGATCATAACTCATCACCGAGTTCACATGTGTGATAATTTATATAGATGCAACCAAGCACAACTTAAAGTAAAAGCATACTTGCTCATTCCAAGCAGTCATCACAGAACCCGAAGGGGGTTTTTTGTCATGATGCAATATTCATGCATAGCTACTATAATTTAAATCAAGGTTGATCAGTATTATATGGTACTTGTCAACAAGGTCCTTATTATGCTAGAGCTCTTGGTATGCAAAATATTGAAGAGTGTGAAGGAGAAGACTCCTATTATAAGAATATACCTGTAAGATATATCAGCAGCTTGGTTACAATGTGTTGAAAGTTCTTTATTATGTTTACAGCATCCACCACATATACAAACAGCTATTGGACCTTGAGAACAAGATTGTTGAGACAAAATCCACATCAGAATCAGAGACTCACTACCCATATTGCTGCACCTCCATGAAGCCATCCCAATCGATCTACACAAACTTTTCATTCAAAGGCATTTTTAGTATTAGTGGTGTGCCAAATTCTTGACCCACTAAACCTTGCTTTCATCACAATCACAAACCTGGGTTCAACAGTCTCTTGGTGCCTCATTTGACTCTAGGGGTCACTCAGAGCATTCTCATGATCCAAAGCTTATATTTTTTCAGATACAGATATACAAGAGAAGGTCCAATCAAATTCACATCAGAGAGGCGCTTGCAGAGCTGAAGATAAGATTCAACATTTCCCCATTGTTGGATCCTTTTTCTCAGACCCTGCATCACAGCTACTCTGTCTAAATAATCTGGAGACAAACCCAAATCAAGCATCTTAATTAGTGTTTCTGCAGCCTCGTCATAGTGTCCACCTTTGATGTAACCTCTCAACAACCATGACAATGATTTTTTCTTACGCAAAGAGCTAGTAACCTCTATTCTAGTGAGCAACCGTGCTACAGCACTGGCCTCCTTTTGGGACGCACAGATAGCTAAAACAATGTCATAAAGGTCTGCATCAGCCTCCCTACCGACAAGCTTCATTTCCCACAATTGTCTTTCAGCATCAAGCCCATGGCCAGCACATATATACATGGCAAGAAGTCGCTCATGAACCACACCATAAAGTGCAGAACTTCCCTCCTGAATGACCCAACTTGACAAGCATACTCCATCAGCTAGAAGATCTAACTGGTATTTCTCAACAAGCTCTACATTCTCTGCATCAAGTTCAGCTACCATACCAGACCTCGAAAAACCTTTCAATTTGCGCAGAGCCCTAGAAAATTCATTTAGCTCTTTCACAACAGCTGTCATTGCAATGAGGTAGGCATAGACCTCAGGCTTTAATCCAGATTCTCTAAGATTAATCACCAATTTAACTGCATCCCTGTAGTTTCCATCAACCTGACATGGATTCCAGGTTGTTGTTCGCGTAAAAAATTCAGTTTTTCAACAACATACTGGGAAAGTAAATGTAAAAAGATCAATAACCGGCTTCAGTATCCACATGTATGGCAGACAGTAAGTCAAAACTAAATGATGAGTAATTGATGGTAGGACATGGAGACTTAAATAAAAGCAGGCAGGTGCTTGTAAGCCTGGCCTTGATTGTCGAGAAACAGAAGAAGCCTTCTTTCACAAGTTCAACACTTCCAACTCCTATATAGCTCAGCCTTCTTGGGAGTAAAGCAATACAATATGCATGGCATCAATAAACAATTTACATTTAACATTCAATGCTTAAGGATTTAACTCTCAGTATTATAGCATAAGTTTTGTTTGTCACAATAAAGCATCTAAAAGTAAATTTGAAGTTCCACAGCAAGGAAAAAATACTCACAAACAGAGTCATGTTATTTAGATAAATCCACATTTCTCTCAAAATTTACCACACAACATTAATAACAAGACAATGGAAAATCCAAACACTCATAAATAGCAAACTGGACAGACAACTAACAACCAAGCTTGAGTATATTCCGCCATTGTAGTCTAGGAATGCAATGCGATAAGGTGGCCAATATATTCCACAGTTATATTCTAGCAATTCAATGTGATAAAGATAAGAACACGTCTTTCAATTAAAACCATAGTATATCTAAATATTTCATGCAGTTCAAAACATGAACACAAAAGTAAAAGGCAAACAACAACAGCAATCCAATTCTATAAAGATATTCGAACACATTGGTAACAATTAATTATGACAGAAGCTTACCATCATCTTCCATGCAAGATACCCAGTTGGGCCTCCTTTCTGTCCTTCCCCATCATCTGCAGAATATGCAATTCCTCTTCTCAAAACCTCCTTGACAAATGAAACCGCTCCCTTCTTCTTCCCAATCTCCCAATACAAAGATATCACCTTCTCAATCATACTAAAACTCGGCTTCAACCCCACACAATCCATATCCACAAGTAGGTCAACCACATCGCCAACATCATGTTCCCCTTCAATTAACTTCTTAACCCAACTACACATTATTGAAACCATTAGCTCCATCGTTTCCTTGTCGACCCTATTCTCCTTTCTCAGCCACTCAAACACCTCAAGCGCACACCACGAATCTCTCCCCTCTTGAGAAAAATAAACAAGCACCAGCTGCAACTCTCTCGCGGACAACTTATCATTCATTTCCTCAAGAATATCAGAAGGTTCTCTTGTCATTCTCTCAAGTTCCTCAATTGCCTCAAAAAACCCTTCACTCATTTCCTCTTCATCCTCACTCGTCACGTACTGGTCCAATTGCACTGACTTAAATAGCCTAAATTCTCTAACTTTACTAGTCTTTGCAGCAACAAAATAGGGCAATTGTGGGTTTTGGTAGTTGCAAATTATGGTGGAAACCGTACAACAAGGTTTGATACATGAATTCCCATACCGTTTTTGAAGAGAAAATAAAGGATAAATTTTAGATAGTGAACTAAATGCATAAGCAGAGGCCATTTCTTCAGCTCTATCCAACAAAAAAATGGACCCTAAGGAAAGCCCAGATGGCCAATTTCTTGTTCGGCTGCAAAGAAACTGCAAAAAATATATATATATATATAAAAAAGAAAGAAAAACAAACAAACTTTCAAGTCATCAGTTACATGTTTGCTTTAATAATACTGAATAATGAACTTATAACCGAAGTCAACACGAAAAACAAAAACAGCAGTTTATCCTAAACGTCTTAGTTGAGCAAAAGAATTAAAAAAAAAAAAAATCTAATATCCTTACTTACCCTTTATGTTTCTCTAAACAGTTTCTCACTTTCTCTCCAGCCAAAACAGTAAAAGTTGGATTAAAAGTTGGGGAAAGCATAAAAAAAGCTTGAAACTTGAATGGTAATCGAAGAGGATAAAATAGGTTGTCGGGTTCATAGGAACTGTAAAATCGAGTAGGATTGTAATGGCGGAGGTTAGCTATCACAGCAAGACAAAGCTGTCAGTCTCTTGAGAGTTTTCTTGGTGATGGTGAAGAGGCAGAGAGTCGGTGACAGACCAACCATTAGCGGAGACGTGCTCAGATGATGACTCTTAACACAATCTTGCAGTTTAGTACCGAACACTTCAGAGATTTACGTTGTTGTCCTCGACGCATGTCGTTTAAGACTTGGCTTACCGTATAAATTAATAGAATTAAGGAAACACAGTAAAAAATTTTTATAATATTTAAAAAACAACTAATAACATATACAATAATTACTTCATAAATTAATTTTTAGAAAAAGATATAAGATAAATATAAAAATATAAAAAAATAATATTCAGATTCACAAAAAAATTGAATAAGAAGATTTTTACATTCACTTAATTTTTTTAATAATTTTCTCTTTTTTATTTTTTTAAAATTTTTTATATGTATCTTTTTTTATAAAATAAATTCATAAAATAAATATTATTCATGTTAATAACATAATTACCCTTTCAATTTAAATATTTCGACGTACATGACTAACAAGCTTAATTCTTCATTTGGACTTGGACTTCAGAGTCTTTGAAAAGTGCGAACTGCTAGGCTCGTTTGCTATCTGAGCTGGGTCACAAGAAGATACTTAAGCCCAAAGCTTGAAGTCCATTAACTACAATCACCGTGTAGTATAATAAAGTTGGACTTTCAAGTCCAATATGCAAATCCATGCAACTCAAGATCTCTAAGAACGAGAAATGATTACATCCACCTTATCTTATCCACATGGAGCGAACCAATTAATCTATTATATATATAAAAACAAAAAACTAAATTAAATCTATTTTTTATTATTTATTGAAATATTTGAAACACTGTTTATATAGATTCATTTGCACTATTCACGTAAACTCAAATGCACTATTCATTTCACCATGTAGTAATATTTTTGTAGTTTTCAAATATCTTTAAAACATTTATTATGAAAGTTTTCATGACATTATATTTTGGTCCCTTTTTTTTTTAATTTTTTAATTCATAAATATTTTTTATTTGATTTTGGTTCTATTTTTTTTGTTTCATTTTCATCACTTTGGTCTTTGTTTTTTTTTTTCTAATTTTTTAATTAAAAATTTTAAAGCAAAAAGATGCTTAAAAAAATTTACAAAATAAGGTTTTAGCTAAAAATATGGATAGAGATAAATAAATAAAATTTTTAATCATAAATTTATGAAAATATAAAGAATAATTAGTCAAATATAAAATTTTGATTAAAAAATAAAATTGATTGAATTTTTATTCAGTCTTGATTTTATATATTTTGATAGATGCAAAATATAACACGAGACATCAAAATGAAATAATTTTATGCATTTCGTTCGATTTACGGCATAATAAGGATTAAAAAAACTAGTTCTAGTCTATAAAAACACAGCTTGCATGCTAATTCTGCGTAAACTAAGAAAATGCACTTTAGAGAATTTAAACTTTCTATTAATAACAAAAGCGATACAAGTACAACGTACACTATCTTTTATATAAATAACCATAACAATATATATAAAAGATAGACAATGGGAGAAGTTAAATTTTTACATTTGGAAGATATCTTGACTACAATTAATAGTGGAAAATAATATTCCGAACAATAATTGATTATTTTATCATTTTAGACTGCAAATAAAACTATTCGAAACTCATAAACTTGGGTTAATTTCACATAAACTTATAATTAATATCGCACTATATTTGCGAAATCACACCTTCAATCCATCTAGAAATAAATATCAAACCCTTATTCAAAAGAAAAAAATCATAACATGGAGGAAAACAAACCCTAGCTACTAGAAAACCAAACAGAAAATCTTATCTAAATAAATAAAAAATCAGAATCTATAATAATAAGAAAGAGCTTTTCTAGATCCATGAAGATCTATATTCTATTTATTTATTTTTAAAGAAGCAAAATAAAAATTTAGAAAAGAAAATCCACATATAAGAAAAAGGAAAAAAAAAAAACAAAAGAAACGGAGAAGAAGAGAGAAAGAGAAGGGAAGAGGAAAAAGAAAGAGGGGGGGGGGAATGGAGGGAAGAAGAAGAAAGATATTTTGGAGCTATCCACAAGCCAAAGATGACAGACGTCACCTCCTATGCTTATTTCTTAAGAAAATATACTTTTATTTGTTTGTCATACATGCATTTTTTTTTTCATGAAGATAATATTTAAAAGTGTAATTTTTCATAATTAGAGGAAAAGATCTCATTATTTGATGTGTGCCTGCTCCCATTGAACAATGTAAGATAGCAAGGGCCTATTGATGATGCATGGAACTATGAGCTTCTCCGTACTCTGAAGCCTCAGTGGCAAGTGCCCGGCCCAAAGCAACTTCTAGACATCCAAGTTAAGATAATGTTAAGATAGATCCATTAACCTTAAATTTTAAATTATAATCCTACGTACGTACCATCATCTTTACTGTAGAATGAACTGGGGTTTGATGAGATTGAAAGCTCGTAATTATCTCAAGCTGCGCATGGCATGATGTGGAAATGCGCAATGCCATGCTTGATTACAAATAGCAATAATGAAGATTCTGTACTACCATGATATATGGACATAAAATTAAATAGAGAGGTGGATGTCTAATGATGATAGAAAGAAGACAAACATGCTCATTCTGGAATAATGGTTTGATCCGCATTAATAGGGTTACGTATTCTCATGCAATAAAATACTTGTGTTTTTGGAGGCCTGCAACGAATAAAATATTGGGATAAGTTGTTGGGAGTTGACCTTTGCACTGCACTGATCTAATCTTCTCAAGTCTCAATGAACAGAAAAAACAAGCAACACAAGTTTTATATTATTCACATGAAAGACTTAAGTCTATAGACAGCCTTTTGATAGATACAGAAGGCCCAATTCTTTGAAGTATGTCGGCTAAGCACAATGTTTATATTATTAGCACGGTTGTAATTTTGTGATGACATGATAGGTTTTATGAAAGATGCAGCTCGGCATAATAATTCAAAACCTTGATAAAATAATTTTGAAAATCAAGTTCTAATCGCAATCTATCTATGTTTGGTTAGTTAATTAGGTGCACTAATTCTATTAAGGAATTTTATGAGAATAATAATAATCATTAGCGTATAATGCTTAGAGCCAAATTAATGAATGACTATAAAAATTGGCCAACAAGCTAGGCACGTACATATATTGTTTCAATGATTAAAAATTGAAAATTAATGAGACTTCAAAGTTAAAGTGCTCGAGATCAGGTTCAAATCTCTCAGTTCAAATTATCAAAAAGTTACTATATTCACGTGTAAATAGAATTAATCAACTAGGTAATTAAAATGATGAGCATTTATTCAGTCCAATGGTTATCATGAATTTTGCGGTTTAAGTACGATGACAAATCAAATCTACGGATTCTTGACGAATCAATTGATGATGTTTTAAGGTCTATTAGAACATATATTCCATATTGAATAATTAAATGAAAAATTATTAATATATAAGTTTGAGAAGAGATCATACATTGTAAGATTTAAGTTTTTTTGGAAGGTCACAAAACAATAGACACGATCTAAAATGCAATTAGTAATGACCAACTAAAAAGTTCTTGATTATCCTATCCAATCCCTAACTAACTTATAGTCCGAACATCGGTGAGCTGCAGTAGATGTCTCTAATTACTTAAATTTTAGTTCCTGGGTTTCATCTTAAATTGGGTACTTGAACCATTTTACCAAAGATTTTTTTTCTGCTCATTGCATTTAGATAAACCCCCAACCCTTATAGAATGCTATGAATGTTTGTGACAGAGATCGAGAATCATGAAACTTACCCTGGTTGGTTTAGAAAACAGCATTGAATCCGATGAAACGTCAGGAGCAGAATATTTAAACTTCAGACACATCTATAGAGGTTGAGGAATCCTTGGAGAAGCCAAAAATACAGTTCTTGTTGTTATTTGGTACGGTCATATGATAAATACAGGCAAAGACAAATCCGTGAACACCGACAGCAAGAATCATGGGCTCATCAGCCTTCCCCATGCCTTACTCTTTCCAATTGCAGTTTAATTACCCTTTTAGGGCTCATGTCTTTTTTTTCTCTTCCAACCACTTCGTCAGTGCAGGGACCAAAAACAAAAAATGACAAAGAGGACTTAATTAAGTAACATTAGAAGCAAATGGTAAACATTTCCTCGGTAACTACATTCTATTAAGTTTTACCATGTATATGATCAGTGCTGTGAGGATTCGGAAAAGGTGGACGTGCTTCCCACGCGCGTGCCCACAATGGTGCTAGCGCAAAGCATTCTGTTAGGATCTTGCAAATTTTTCCCCCCTCGTGAAGTTTTTTTACTTCTCAGTTCTAACCTTTAGCAAACCTCTATGGTTAACATTACATGAATGATGGCCCATTCCATACATAAATAGCATCACATGTGTGAGTACTCATTGTGTATATATCAATATATGTGTGAGTGTGCGCAAATAAAATTAGGGGGCCAGGGGAGTAGAAAAAGGATATGTGTGCTGCGACTTTCGAGAGTTAGGGTTTGGTATATGTCATCATTTCAGATGGATTTATCTTAGCCATGCCAGCTGAAATTTTCCTTTCTGTTGGAATATGTATACTCTCTTTGAAATATTAATGATTGTTGAAGAGAAAAGTTCAAGTAGAGGAATTATCGGAACCCAGAAGTTCCTGATGGGTAACTGTTTGTGATAATTTTTGGAGTTGCTCATAATTTCTCTAATATATATCTATAGAAGCTTCTCATTGTCATCCTTACAGCTCCAAGCTACTTTGAATTATGAATCTGGGAAATGATCAGGATAGTGATGGTTTGAAGATGGATCCTTCAGGCAAGAGCAAAGATGAGGAAGGAGATGATGAAAGTAAGACTAAAAATAGTGCAAGCTCGAGCAATAGCATTGTGGAGGAGAGCGAGAAAGCTAACTCTAGCAGGGTAAGGCCATATGCAAGATCTAAGGTGCCTAGGCTAAGATGGACTGCGGATCTTCATCTTTGCTTTGTTCAAGCTGTCAGGAGACTTGGTGGCCATGAGAGTAAGATCTTCAAATCTTTCTACTTCTGTCATGATGGTTTTTTGAACCCTTGTCTTCCGGTTTCAAGAAAATTAGTTATTTGTTAACTTTAATTAGTGATCTATTTGTTTGGTATAGGGGCAACTCCAAAACTAGTGTTGCAACTAATGAACATCAAGGGGCTAAGTATTGCTCATGTCAAGAGCCATCTACAGGTAATATAGCACTAATCACATAATTATATGTTATAAGCTTAGAAAATTTTGATTGGATTCAGCTGGGAGGTTTAGATGATTGATTGTATCACTTAATTTCAATTTTTCCTGTTTTTGGTAACCGGAAGCAGATGTACCGGAGCAAGAAGATTGATGATCAAGGTCAAGGTAACGAATTTGTCCTTTGCATGTCATTAATTAATTAGATATTAGGGTTTTTTTCTTAGATGTCTATATTCGTCTTCCTAATTCACAGAATTATTGCCTGTTCATAAAAATTGGCAGTTGTAAACAGTAGGGGGGATCTAATTGGCAGTTCGGAATACTTCTCTCACGACTTTTGGCAACAATCTCTGATTCCAAATATTGATCACAATCATAATTCTAACTTCAGGTACTAATAATATATATATATATATATTCCCTTGAAAATTAAACTTGTGGAGTTCATTTTGGGCTTAAACTTACGATTTTCCAATTCCTTTTCACACTAGATGTGGAAACGTTTCCTGTAGTACTGGACATGGAAGCTGTTTCACCAGACCTTCTGTACCGGTACCAGATAGCGTAAATATTAGAAGTGGATCTGGATTTTATAACTCAAAGGCTGAGAAGATTAAAGGAGAATTTGTTTCAAGCACAAGACATGGAGCTTTTGATTCATGCAACGATTCAACCTTCAGCGACCAACGTAGAAAGCTAATGCAAGAATTCCAGGATACTGAATCTCATCAATCGATGTACAATGGCGAGTCGATCCAAAGCCAAATAAGTTCAACCATGAAACAACCCTATTTTGCAGCCCAAATTTCTAAAAGAGGAGGAAACACTAACGATTCAATCAGCTTAGAGAAGAAGTGGAGCTTTGACGTGGACAAGTTTAACAAGTCTAAAAGGAAGGCTGATGATCTTGATTTAAGTCTTTCACTTTGCACAAAATTGAAAGAGAAGGAGGGCAGGAGAAGTTTATCATGGGATGAAGAAGATGTGGGCAGCAATTTATCTCTTTTTTTATCTTCTACTTCAACAAAAGAAAGCAATTCTATCAATCTAAACATGCCATCGAAGTATCCGAAATTGACAAGTACCCTGGATCTGACTATGTGAATTTGAGAATTCAAAGTGAGATCTTGTTGGTACTTGTACAAGGGATTCGCACAAATAGATTAATGTTGTGTACTGAAATACATGAGGTAATGTCAGAATTTCCCATTTACGTAATCCATTTCCAGATACTGATGCAATTTTTTACATAAAAGTTTCAGGACTTCTTTGGATAGTTCCTTCAGTCTAAATTAATTAGTGGCTAACCTTGAAATTGCAATCTAGGACCTGGTTTTTTCTTGAAAATAGAAGGGGACAAATTCAAGATGAACATTAGCTTTACTTATCTAGGCATTCCCGCCCCAGTAGAAATATTAACCATGCATTGAAGTGAGAAATTTAAAATTACGATTAATTTTTATTCTTTTGATCTTGCAAGTGACCAGGGGCAAAATTATCATTGTAGTATATACTATGTATGACAGTAGCATCTCTGTTCAATATACAGTAGACTTGTATATAGCCATATACAGAAGGAATTTTTCAAGAGAATTCCGAAAACCTCTCTCTTTAGTGCTCCCAGCAAAATTTTTAATAAACAGATGGTTCTTTTTTTTCCCTCTTAAAATCTTTATATGTTTGTGAAATTGTGGATGAAATAAAGGATAAATTAATATTAAAAAGGAAAATCGCAAAATCCAAAAAGCCTTAGAAGCAGCGGTATACTAGCTAAAACGAAAAAGGTTTGATCAACATGCGAGAAATTAGAAATTTTATTGAGAAGTCTGAATAGTTTTTTTTTTTTTTTGGTTGGGGGGGGGGGGGTGGGTGGGTGGGGTGGCTGAGCAAAATATATAGAAACCCTAATCTCATGGAAATTAATTAGAGCGAATTCAAAAATTCCCTTAAGATTCCTGATAAACTTAAATTTGTATTGATAAAGAAATTATAACTACTGGAAATGAAAAATGTATAAGATCTTTGCGATTATCTATGGGTTGTCATGAAAATGGCCTAGAAAATTTGATGAGAAAAGGTAGATTTTGACCTTAAAAATGATATGTGCTTCAACCGGGGTTATAAAGCACTGATGTTTTTCATTGCTAACTTACGGGCTCCAAAACTCCTATTGAACCAGAATTATGGCGTTTTAAAACTAACTTTAATCTCCAAAAATCCAAGTTTTATGTTATGCTTTAGGTTTAAAAGCTATTTTGGCATTTGATATCACATGAAATTTTAATTTTTTAAAAAATATTTAAACACAAATTCGACCATTCTATAGAAAATAATAATAATACCACCTTAAAATTCAAGTGATGCTTATCGAGATAGAATAATCTGTAAAGGTCTTTCAATGTTTAAATTGAAATACGATCAACCTATTATTATTGTTGGCACTTCAAAATTCAAGGTCATACGTCGATTAAATATGATGTCTTCTTATGACAAAACGAGTAAAGCATCGGTGGAACGGTGTGTTTTGATCTCATAAACCAATCGGTTTTCGATAAAGCCTTAAGTCTTTAATAAAATGATACGTTTGGTGTTATAACCAGCCAAGTTTCAAGGAAGCCTTAAGTCCCGAGTGAAATGATGCATTTGGTAATATAACCAGCCATGTTTCAACAAAATCATAAGATTTAAATAAAACGATGCTTTTGATCTTGCAATCGGCCATATTCGACGAAGACAATATGCACGAAGAAAACAAAGGGACGGTTATCAAATAATTGTTCGCACTTAAATTTGAATAAAAGAAAGTTGTCAATTAAGAGCTATTTAAGGGAAGAGGACTAACAAAATCACATACAATTAACAACACAAGATTTCTTATACAACTTTATTCAATTCCCTTAGTTTAACCTATAATAGTTAATTCCTATTTTTTTGCACGTAGTACATTAGTCTTCTACTCGCTCTTAGTTATCTTATCTTTTTAACTTAGGAAGCGTTGATTTGTCATAATGACATCGAACATCTCGATAGCTAATGATGTAAGTGGCATATTTGTTGATTTATGATATTTACATTCTATTAATGAATTTTATTCTTTTGATTGATAAAATTCTTTTTACTTTATTACTCGCTCTTTAAATTGAGTACCTAGGAAAAGTCTTAGTGGCTTGCTAGACAAAATCGAATCACATAATATTTCATCACAAAGAATTTCATCACTAATTAAAGTGTCGATATACTCGCGTTAAGATTAAATTCGACGAGTAGCAACAAGTTTTGGCGACCACATTGTAATGAAGCAAGTGATCACACTAATATTTGGGTGATAACCACAAAGGTATTGCACCTTGGCGTAAGCCATCGACTCATTCTCAACAACTTGTTCTAGGAAGTCTCGAATGTCTTTCCTCCTGTTCCATGGCTGATTAATGGTTGAGATTAATGGTCCGGCTACCGTTTGGATGAGCCCAAATTGACGAGCGAAGAGATTGGGATTGTAGGCTTTAACAAACACACGATCTCCATGAGAGTAAGTAAAATCTCGACTTACTAAAATTGTACTTCATGTAGATTGTTTACTAATAGAAAATTGTATTAACCACAATGGCCCATACTTGTGCCATAGGAAGGCATCCGAGTCTTTTAATTTGTTTCACTTATGCTTGAGGGTTAAGAATGTACCTCAAAGTATTCGAAAGTGAAGGACGGTAAAAAGGTGCATCTTGCATGAGGGAGTGACCACGACTATTCAAGTTCTCTTTGATAAGATGAGGTCGACTTAAGATTGAAAAATAAAATTCCTCCCACATCCGAACGAACTAGAGAGGATAAGATAAGGTCTTAAGCTCGTTAATCAAAGCGTTATAGAGTCCCGTAGATGCACGAGGCATGGAGAAGTGTACCCATGACGACTCTATTCATCCTATCAAGCGAAGCCAAATTGATAGCCCATGACGAAAAGGCTTTAATTGGTTTCTTCGACTTCGAACCAACGACTTATTTATAGATCCATAAGAGATAGAAATCAATCTCTTCATCACAAGATACTTCGTCCCTTCTCCACGACGATCGACTAGGTGTACGTAAGTTTTAAGAAGCCTATTTTCTTGAAATTTGAGGTCTTCATCATTCGTGTTGAAAGATAAAGTTTGGATAGTAGGATATAAATAGGTAATGGCCATAACGTCGAGTAAGGTCATCGATATGTGCCATTTTGGAAACTAAAACTAGTTGACACAAGAATGCCAAGAAGCAATCATAGCTGTTACTAAATCGGGGTTTACGATACGAAAGCAAGTCGATAAGAGGACGACCTCGCGAATTTGCATTGCATCCCATTTCTTGCCTAATTGTGGGATGAGCCTCGTCTTGACCCGGTCTTCATATTTGACATCTAGTTTCAGCCAAATAACGAGAAAAATCTTTGGTAGATTAGGTCTAGTTTCGCGAGCTAGGTAAGATTCGGGAGAAAAAGAATGTCGGTGTCACAAGTCCTTAGAAAGATTGTGTCAATCGTGTTTGTAAGATGAATAACTTCAATATTGATAATAGGACCTAAAATCCGGTAAGCACTCTTCTTTAGGTTTTTCTTATATCCAATCACGACATCGATAGTGTCGTTACTAGTAATAGATTGAAGCAAGCACGTGTTAATCGTACCTATTTGATTGAAGAATTCATTTAATCAATAGCAATCCCTTTAGAAGGTAATCTTCTCTTGGATGGGTTTCTTTGAAGATTTGATGTTACCTTTTAGAGCCATTGTTATGGAGGAATGAAGGAAGAAATTAAAAAAGGATAGAAGAGATATTTGATGAAATGATAGAAAGAAAGCAAGGGTTTTTGTCTTGTAAGATTTTAACGAAGGAGCAAGTTGCGGTAAAAGTGAAAATACTAAAAGTCATTTTCTCTTTTATATGATTCTTTTTAAGGGTCTCAATGTTTGAGTATTAAGATTTAACGATTCAGATGAGGTAAAACAAAAATCATTAATTGTTGAGTAACCGATGTAGTAAAATGATTACGGATAGCCGTTTAAGAAGTGAAACGAGTGCGATGTCTTATCATGTCCATCAACATTTAATATTCTATCCATTAGAGAAAGAAATTTTTCATTTCATCTCTAAAGGGTTGATCAAGTACACAACTATACCTAAATTCATGACATCTTATCCACAAAATAACACAAATTCTCATTCAATTGATTAGCATAAGGGAAGGCAAATGGAGAAAACTTGAAATTGTCACCAAAAACCCTCCAAAACCCTACTAAAACTGCTGCTTTTGCTACTCAGTGCTCAGCACGGTTTTTTTTTTTTTTTTTCCTCGCTGCTACTTCAACTACTCATCTTTAATCTATCCTCCAATATCTCCAAAACCAACTCAACTATCTTTATTCCAAACATCGATATTCATCCAAGCCAGCATGAGTTAGCTAAACAAGAAAAGTGCAGTCTAATAAGCAATAATCCTCGCCAAAGAGCACCTCCATCAATAAAAGGTGAGAACATAAACCTAGCCAACACTATCACTTAATCAAAAGAAACCATGCACCTAGCTAACATCACCACCTAGAATTTTATAGGCACCCACTGCCTAGTATGCTTCCACACCAAAAGCGCCAAAAAAAAAAAAAAAAAAAAAAAAGAACCACCCACTCCTTCGAACAAAAAACAAAAAATAAGCATGAGCAATCCAATCTTAATAACCAAATCACCCAAACTTACACTTTATAAATCCTTTCCAACGTCCCCAAAAGATATTTAGCACCGAATATATAAGATTAATCGTTCCTTGGATCATGGGCCTTTGAATGTAGAACTATAGGGCCCAAGTATGAGCTCCACAGTCACAGCTCACAGTTACACGGGTAGTACCGTGTGAGATTTTTATATCAGACAAGAAAGTAACTTGTTATTGTTTCTTCTTCTCGGGTGAAACTAGGATTTTCAGTTTCAGTTTTTGACATATCCGAATGAAGACAGTTATCAACTTCATATGCTATAGTAATTGAGTAAATTATAAATTATTTACTTTGATTTTAAAAAATAAATTAATTAATTTTTCTGATTTCAAAAATTAATTATTTAATTTTTTTTATCATCGTGACTAATTTAATATTTTTTTAATTTTATAAATTCGTTTTTTTTCTCATCAATCTTTTCATATTTTTACTTATATTTTATTTTTTATTTATTAAAATAATATAAATAATTAAATAATTAATTTTTAAAATTAAAAAAAAATAATTCATTTATCAAAGCAAGAGGGCTAATTTATTTGGTCATCTAAAAAAAAAGGGCTTTAGTTTAGTCTTTGGCGTGGTTTATAGGTTAAACCATAATTGAGTCTAATCTAGGAAGCATGGATCCTCTAGCAAAGCTTTTGCGCGTGTCGCATCCGTATTGATATAGATATGGTCTGATCTGTATATCAAATATGTGGCGATACGACAACACAATAAAAATAAATAAATTCAATTTTGGATACGTGGGAGATAGAGCAAGGATACGGAGATCCATAAAGGATAGTGTTTTTTTATGTTAAATTTGTAATTTTTTTGAAAAAAAAGGGTCCAAATATTTTTTAAGTTTTATGAGTTAAAGAAAACAAATATTTAACTAACCATAGCCTTACTTCAACATTTCTTAATTAATTATTTCTAATTTGTAAATTTTTAAAACTATGAAAATTGTTGATATGATCATATTTTTATCTGAGATTTATTTGAAGTAAAAATTTAAGCATCATAATTTATTTATGTAAATTTTATAATAAAATATGACATCTTTTTTTCTAGATTAAAAAATATTTATTTTTTTTATAAATGACAAATTAAAGAAAGATGAGTAGCACTAATTAAATTTGAAAGTGAAAATAATGAAATGGTCAATGATCATGCCATAATTATTACTATAATTTTTTCATGATAAATTAATTTTTATACATCCAAAATTTATTTATAATTATAAAAATATAAATAACATAAATTCTATTTATACTTTCAGGTATTTTTATATAAAATTCATCATATTGATACTGATTTTTATTTACTTTTACAATAAAATTGTTGTATAATATATAAAATAATTAATGTAGTGAACTTAAAATTTTTTAGAATTGTTGTATTGCCAGATTTGTATCGTATCGAACCATACTTGTATACTTCATAGAGTCTAACCATTAAATATATTAGGAGAAACATATCAATGTAACATATTATAATATAAAATTTCTTCCTTGTATCCAAAAAAAAAAAAAATCAATTGTACGTAGTTTGTAATTTATAGATTAACTAATATGCCCATTTGTTAAATTTCTTTTTTGGTCAAAATTACTGGTCGCATGCATTGTACATGACAGTTTAGTTATGAATTAAATTAAATACTTTTTCAAGAGTCTGAAAAAAAAAAAAAACAAATGTTGTAAATGAGAAAAGGTTAACAAAAAATGTTCACATATAAACATATTAGATAATATGTATAAATTAAAGGTTTACTGTTGATTTTATATATAGAGAGAGAGAGAGACAAAAAAAAATACAACTGAGAAAACATGTAATATATAAAGATATATTGATAGGTTTGCCCCAACATGTTATGTTTATTTTAGCACTTCTTGTGGTTTTAAAAAAAGCTACCATTTTCAGTAGCATAATTTGGCCTATGGATGTTTTCTTTTAAGGTTCAATAAGTATATTAAAGGATGTTTTGTCCATAAGTTTTTTGACATGCAAGCTATAAATCATTAAGACAACGGACAAATTGATAGACTAAAAGGGTGCACAAACTACAGAACATCGAAGGGTTTGACATGCACGAATTAATTGAAGGGGCAATTAATTATCAGGATATTGGTTGATGGGCTTCGAGTTGAACGTCATCATTTGCTCAATGCCACCCAACTCTGGATTCATATTCAGTGTCTCCTGCAGCACTGTGGGTGAGCCAGATTGATGCAAACTTTGATTCGCTATTTCTTGCTCACTAGGGTCCCAACCAAGTATGCACCTTCCTCCATCTGTATGTTGTTTCTTATTAAGCTGATTCAGTTTATTTGCTCCTTCAGCACTTTCTCCATTTTTGGCTACACATACGGTTCAAAAAATCTTATTCAACAGTATTCTTCATTAACGCCACACAAGCAATAAGGAGATGGTAACAATGATAACACTAGATTGGCATGAATGACTCTAAATATCTTTTAGGGTAAATCACGCTACCCTAAATATAATGTGTGTTTGAACTTTTGATCAACAGAATTTAGTCCCCGACCTTTTGATCAAAATCATGCTATTCTTTTTTTTTCGAAGATCCTTCATCCTTCTTCTATATATTTTCTATCTTAATATCATCCAGATATATTATATTTCCGTTGTTATTACATCCTTATGTCAGTTGGTGTTAATAGAACGTGTCATGTTTCGAAAACATGAGATTTTCATTGATGAATATTGGTTCCTAAATGTTTTGAATAATTTACTTTGGTCTCTGTATTTTAGTCTTATAAAAAGTGTTTTACTGAGTTTTTTAATAATTGTACTTTACAATAAATACAATTTAATCCTTGACCTAATTATTTTTTTCAATTAAGTTCCTACATGTCAAATCTCAAACTGTCAAAATTTTCAAAATAGATATATGATATTACAGAAAATAAAAATCCAACAAAAACACAATAATATAAACTAAAATCATAAAAAAAATCACATCTGTTATAAATTAATCCAAATCAAATAAAAATTTTCAAGTTGAGGGACTAAGTTTTTGCTTTGAGATAGAATTCATTTATACAATATCATTTATCAAATATGATTTTTTTTCCTCTTCTTTTCTTTTGAATTTTTTATCTCAAATTTTTTAAGATTAAATAATTCAAATTTATAATAAAAATTTTAAATTGTTTTAACGCCAATAGTATGGGAATTTTTGCCATTAAGCCATTCAGGATGTACGATCTATTGCATGTACCTTGGTTTGAGGTGACACAAACCATCCGTTCCAACGAAAGCTGAAACATGTTTGGATTCACGGCCATCTGCTGATCGAACCCATTTTCCCAACCAGCCAACATAACATGTTGTTGCGTCAAATGGAGTTGCCTCAGTCTATTCACTTCTGCTTTGTTTTCCTCTATTTCAACTGAAAAAATAATTTGCTTGATAATTTATAGAAAAACAAAGATAGTCATATAATATTACATGTGTAGGCGGGAGGGGTTTCTTGTTACCATCTTTGAGAAATTTATTGCTTGTTTGAGCAGACATCTCCATGTTTAACCTTTGCTGCTCCACCGTTAGTGCTTGATGATGGCTTCTATACAGTGCAACTTGGGGAGAGAGCGCTGCTATTTCATCCTATATATCAAATTGAAATGATATGATTGAGAACTTTGTAGATAACCACGCAATGAATTTCTTAATTATGTTCATTGACAACATAGGTAAGATATATAGAGAGAGATTACCTCTAAAGCCTTAACTTTTCTTTCTACTTCAGTGAGATATTGAAGCTTCTTCAGTCTAGATTTCTGTGCAGAAACTCGATTTGAAATGACCCTACAAAGAAAAAATTATGTAAATGCTCGAATAATAATAATGACAGAGAAAGATAAAAGTAGAAATATATATGTAACCAGCCAAAAGGAAAAGAATATCAAAGTTGATAAGCGCAAAACAATATCTATCTTGAGAAAGAAAACAATGCCAACAACAATATATAGTTCACCGTTTAAGCTTTTTGGGGTCCATGTTGGGATCTATGGCGCGAGCTGATCGGATCTGGACACCCCTGGGAGCCTGAGTTTTGACGGGTTGATCACCAAAAGAAGGATTTGCAGGAGCGACAAGATCCATGGTGGTTGAATTATTCTTGTTACCGAATGGGAAAGATATGTTTTGGGACATTTTGTTATTATCATCTGCTGATGGCGATGGAATGTTAATAGCATCAGAAAGATTGAAGGGGGATTTAGTAACAGTACTGTTCATGGAGTAGGGATTTTTCCACCCTTGAAATGAGCTAGGGGATAAAGGCAGGATTGATGGAGGCATCGCACTGGAAGAAGTCAGTTCAAGAGCCCTTTTAGGCCAGGGTGGTAATCCCGGGTTGGAACCTTTTTTCACGGCCGCCATGATATTTCAATTCTTCCAATCCTACAAAAGAGCAAATTAATCTACAGAATATTAAGAACAACGAAATGCATTGCTAGGAAAAAAAAATTAACAATACAAAATAAAATGATTGAACAAGACATTGAAGAAAAAGCTTATAAAGGAAATTAAGTCTCTACTCACACTCTGCTCACACTAACCTTAAAAGGATGCAACAAATAAATTGCCTGTGATAATGAGGCTGCCCTAGCCCTGCATTTATACAAGAAAATACAGTACAAAATACCATATATAACCTTGCTTTCCATCACCAGTATTTAGTTAATTTGAAAGAGGGAGATGTGTTCCCTTTGCCATTGATGGCATGACCTCGTCCAAAGTACAAAATTATCCCCATACAATGAGAGTAAAACGACTCAAATTTTCACTTTTGAGAATGGTTTTTTGGTCCATCTGATCTTTTAAATCGTTGGAGAATAATTATTTAATATATCGAAACTCTATTTTTGTGAGAGAAAAGAATACAACTTTGTACATATCTAATATTTCTCTTATAAGATAACTGCTGTCTGAAATTTACTCTAATCATTTTTTTAAAAAAAATTTGTGCTTATCCGTCATCAGAACCTTTCTTGGCAATTTAATTACACTATAATATAGGGGGAAAGTGATAGCTGTCTCTTATTTGCCAATGCGAATGCATGAGAAAAGAACAAGTCCACTGCAACTGAATTTAGTCAAGGTTGGGAACTTAATCATTATAGTACAGGTAAGCATTTTGCTAAGCCATGCCACGTGGACTACAAGACACGCGCTTCAAATTTTTTTCCTATTCTGGAGAACCTATGCTAATTAAGTCTTTGTGCTATATTTAGCGGCATGCAATTCCAAACGTTTTGTCCCAAAAACTTTTATTGCAAATTTTCTATTCGAATTGAAGTTGTTAAGTTCATGATTTTTAAGATCAAAACAGATAAGTTTATGGATATATAGTTATATATATGTAAAAGTATTGACTTTCTAAAAATTACTGACTAACTATTATATTTTTAATGAAATGTTAACATTATCTTAGTATTAATGTGCGAATTTGAGCACCCACCCTGCCTCTAATAAAAAAGAGTCATTTTTTAAAAATTATGAAATTTCTAAAAAATAAGTCAATTATATTTTTTTATTTTTCTTTTGTTTATACTTGTTAGTTGTTGTATGATACATAGGATTGTTGTGCAAGAAAAAACATTAGGTTACATCTCAAACTAAACTTTTTTTGTTTAGCTAATAAGAATATTTGTTACTCCGTATAATCTAATATCAGTGTGTGAGTGTATAAACATATATAGAATTATTAATGAATCGAATCATTAGAGAAATTCTTTGCAATTTATATTTTAATTTAGTATCAAAGCTTTTAAATGATGTCTCCTTCCGACTCTAAAAACTCAAATATTCTTTATTGTCAATCATTTTTTAACCTTAACTTTTTCTAGGCTTTTCATTCAAATTAAAACCCTCAAATTTCTTGACCTAGGAAGCTCAATTCACTCCTGTCCTTAATTGCTATGGCCTAGCTAGTCGGCCATATTGAAGGAACTACTCCTTCCCTTCCACAACAAAATTTCAACACTAAAACTTGTCTTTTAGAACCTAATCTAGATTTTATAAGCGGTTTCAATGTAATTAGCTTTTGCTAAGTTAAATTCTCTCCTCTTTAAGAAACGAAGAGGTTTTTCCATATGTTATTGGTCTTACCAACTCTTATGATGTCTGGCAAGCACTATTTGCTTCTTTTAGCTTTAGCTCTAGTTCCTGACAAGTTTAGCTACTTCTAACTCTTCAGAAACTCACTTTTGCAGATAAGGGCATGACTCAATTTCTTAAAGAAGTTAAACTCATTGTTGATGAATTAGTAGAGTAGGTATGCCATTTGGTAAGGCTGAGCTAATTAATGCAAATGTTCTTCAACCATTGCCTAATTAATTAGTATCACCCTATTACTACTCTCATGAGATTGTTTTTAAGACATCATGAGATTTTTATTAAGACATCCAGACTTTCAATTTCTCATGTTGCCAATATGGCACGACAGGAAGGATTCAACTACGTATAACAGCAATAAAAACAACAGCAACTACAGCAACAATTTTGATTCTTCTTCAAACTAAAACAGCAACAAGGGAAGCAATAATTTTGGGCAACAACCTTCTGGGTCTCCTAATTGCCAGCCATCATATTTGTAGCTTGCACAATCACACTACTAAATAAAGTCAAAATTGCTTTGACAAATCCACTGATTCTCCCTCAAGAAACCTGGCTTTCACAAATCAACATTCCAATTATTCTTATTGGTAACAGGATACTGTTGCTAGTCATCACACGACTCATGATATTGCTAGCCTGAATATTTTCAATGATTGAAAAAGTACGACTAAGGTTTTAGTAGATAATGGTTGTGGTGTTTCCATTAAACATATTAGGAATAAGCACGCAATGTAGTGGGAATGCTACTTCATATGATTGATTTGATTCTTTAACGTTGAAGACAACGTACTTGTAAATGTTTATTATTATTATTATTATTATTTTCGAAGAAAATTAAGATAATTGAACACAATATGTTTTCTTTAACTAAGATTGTATGCCTATTGTCTGCTCAATGAATTTTCTCTTGGTATTCATATGCGAATTCTACATTATGTTTTATTTGGTGCTTAATGTTTTCAAAAAATATTTGTGATCCTTAGATGGACCATGCTTGCCTCTCTTTTTTTTTTTTTGGCTTTTGTTTTTTCCAAGAAATTTTTTTATTAAAATTAGTGCAAAAATTATAAAAAATCAATTGTTATTTTTTACGGTTTTTGCACTATATATATATATATATATATATATATATATATATTTATATTTTATTGTTTAGAATTGATCTCTTCAATTTGTTATTTTTTATGAAAATTCTCTTCAATTTTTTTATTCTTCTTTTTTTATGTAATTTTATTTATTAGTAAATATAACTTATTTTCCTCTCTGTATGAATTTTTAAATTTTTTAAATAATTAATTAATTAAAAAATAGAATCCATGTATTTTAGTGTTTATTCTTTATATAATCAAAATTTATATCGAAATCAATTTTATGATTATTTTTGTTACAATCTATAATCTATACAATTTAAGCTTTTTTAAATATTTCTTGATTTATACTGCATGCTCGATCTACTAAGTATGGTCATGATGCATATAAAAAAAAATTAGATCATTGGTTTTATTAAAAATTAACTATATATCTACACACATAACACCAATCATTTATTATTAATTTTTTTATAAAATTAAAATTAATTTATTTCAAATAAAATAAGTAAAATAATATTTTAGAAGAACCACATGATAATTTAAATACAATTTTTTATACTAATATTATTGATTATTTGCGTAAAATCAAATATATATATTCAAAAAGTTAATCTTCTCATCAACATTAAAGTACAATAAAAAAAAATTCATTTGTTAAATTTTATACAAGTTTTTATATTAATTATTTTTTTATTTCTTCAATGCAATTTTATGAAAAGTTATTTAAGACGTTTTTTAAATTTTCTATTTAGATTATTACAGAGTTTTTATTTCAGAATAAATGCATAATTAGGAAGAATAGATCTTGTTTATTTAACCATACAATTTACGAAAAACAAAAAGAAGAATAAATTCAATATAATTTTTTTATTAATAAAAAAATTAAATGAAATTTTTTCTTTTAGCTTTAATTTTATATATTTTGGTTCACCGATAGCATGGTATTAACCATCAAATTAAGATAAATTTATTTTGTTCAGCTTCCAATATAGTAAACTATTGAATAATTTTGTCAAACTGATTTCTTTCTTTCTTTTCTCTTTTTTTTTGGGGGGAGGGGGGGGGGTTAATTAACCAAAAAAAAAAAAAGCATTCTTTATTTCTTCCTTTCATAAATTGCTTTGAAACAATTCAAAAGGAAATTAACATAACAAGAAACTGAAATTCCAAACAAGATTAAGGGAAGAAGTCCAGCACGCACAACATAAGCAACAAATTAAAACACACATAAAGTAATTGTAGGGAGATATTAAGGACAGGCACATATTAAAACAGCTTCATCACATGAACTTTTTTGTTTTCTAGTTGAGAGGGCTCATGTTTCTGTCCTCTCCAGCACTGTCAAACTGATTCGAGATTTCATCCATCATTGGTTGTGGTGTCCCAGCAGCAGTAGCAGATTCCATATAGCGATCGTAAGTAGGTTGGTTCAAGTTCACATTCATTAATGGATAATTCGCAGGTGACATTGTACCGAAAAAATCTGGATATTGGTATGGATGCACCGGATAGGATTGCTTAATCTGGTCTCTTTCCTTCTTCAAATCCTCATATTGATCTGCATGAACAACCAAACACCATTAGTACTTTTATTTTAAAATTAGTTAAGAAAGAGAGAGAGGAGGGAAGGGAGGGACCTTCTTTATACATGAGGTGACCAGCACAAGAAGAAAGCTTATGCTTAATTGAACTATTTTCCATTCGCAGTAAAGAGTTCTGGCGTTTAGAGTACTTGATCCTAGGAGCGCTGATTGCCACCTCCGCCTGGATTTATACGTATACGATAAGAGAAAAAAAGTTAACAACTTGCCGTACGAATTTATTACATGTTAAAATCAAGAGGGATCAGATTTGATTTTTGTAACTTGGAGAGCTTTCACTTCTGTTTCGAGTTGCATAATATATTGCATCTGCTTCAGTCGGTATTTCTGAGAATACTGTCTGCTTGCCATAACCCTATGAAAAACCAAAAATAACGAGAGTACTTAACGAATCATTAATAACTTAAGGTGGTAAAATTCTTTCAGATTAATTAGATTTAATTGCATTACTTTTCTCATATTTATTTATGTAGTAAGTTAATTTTATGTATACCGTAGTTGTTATCGAACACGAGATAGATAATAAAACATTCTGCCAATAAGGAAAAAAAATCTAGAGGTGGGAATGTACTGTGGGAAAAAATAAACGAAATCTAATAGAGTGGCAGCATGGTTAAATGTATTTGAAAAGATAAATCCACCTTCGGAGCCTCCTAGGGTCCATGTTAGAGTCAACTGGACGTCGACCCTGAGGAGCCTGCTGGTTGTTTTCAGAGTTTGGCTGATCGATAGTCTCGGCTGGGACAGCTTGTTTGTCAAGAGTGTCCTGGTTTCCATTGGAAGCCAATGGGGGCTGAGAGAGTGCAAGATCTGTTGCAGAACTCTCAATGGTGTTCTCCATCTTCTCAGCAATTTTTCTTAATAACCTACAAAAGAGAAGAAAGACGAGTTGAGTTAGTGAACAAGAAGCGAGAATTGGTTCCCGTTTTATAGCACCTCCTTTCTACAAAACCTCCATAGCCTTGACACCGGCTATTGCAGGTTATCCTGCCTTGATATCCTACACATTTACACCTGTTGCTAAATCTGTTGATTCCATATATGCTTATACCTGTTAAAACAACCAATATTGGATGGCGTGAATAGCGTTTTTGGGGCAGTTTAGTCATTATACTTAAACCTAATTAAAAATAACTGCGAGAACTAAATACATTGGCAGATTTGGGTTAAAAATGCTACATAAGGAAATTTGCTTGGTATGGAAATATGTTAGCATTGTTAAATATGAAAACTTCATGATTACGAATCTAGCGTACATCAGCATAAATGGAAATACATCAAATTCATAGAAGCCTTGGCCATAAAAAAGGAAAATGGGACAGATAAGAATCTAGGCACGCATGATATTCATGGGTTATAATTTGAGCCACACCCTTTGTTCATATCCTAAACAAAAATTAATGGTATTTTATATATTTTGTTAAAAATAATTATCACATAAATATTTCTACTCAAAAGTTTAAACTGTTACATATATAATATTTTAAAAAATCCATGGTACCTATAAAAATTAATTAATTAAAAAGAATTATTTTGATATTATGCTAAAAATAATTATGTTAAGATAAAAATTTAAGTTTTAAATGAGGATCTATAAATGATTTTATATTATTTTTTTAACAATTATCAAAAATAAATATTGTTCAAAAAAGTCCTTGACAATTGTTTGTTAAGGTTTTTGATCGTTTGTAAATGGATTGAATTAATTTTTGTTTGCTTCATGATTACTAATTAGTTGAAACAATATTCATTTTTAACTAATAATCGATACACTTGAAGGTAACCGGTATACTTGAGGTTAATCGATCAAATGTTTGTTTGCTTGATGATTACTAATTAATTAGTTAAAATAATATTCGTTCTTAACTAGTAACCGATACACTTGAAGGTAACCGAGTATACTTAAGGTTAATCGATCGAATGTTTGTTTGCTTAATGATTACTAATTAGTTGAAACAATATCCGTTCTTAACTAGTAACCGATACACTTGAAGGTAACCTGGTATATTTAAGGTTAATCAATTGAATGTTTATTTGCTTAATGATTACTAATTAGTTGAAACAACATTCGTTCTTAACTAGTAACCGATACACTTGAAGATAACTGGTATATTTAAGGTTAATCGATCAAATGTTTAATTGCTTGATAATTACTAATTAGTTGAAACAATATCCGCTCTTAACTAGTAACCGATACACTTGAAGGTAATCGGTATATTTAAGGTTAATCGATTGAATGTTTAATTGCTTGATCACTTGAAGGTAACTCGTATATTTAAGGTTAATCAATTGAATGTTTATTTGCTTAATGATTACTAATTAGTTGAAACAACATTCGTTCTTAACTAGTAACCGACACACTTGAAGTTAACTGGTATATTTAAGGTTAATCGATCGAATGTTTAATTGCTTGATAATTACGAATTAGTTGAAACAATATTCATTCTTAATCGATAACCGATTAACTTAAAGGTAAAAAATATACTTAAGGTTAATCGATCGAATGTTTGTTTGCTTAATGATTACTAATTAGTTGAAACAATATTAATTCATTCATTCTTAACCGATACACTTGAAGGTAACCGATATATTTAAGATAAGATTAATTGATCAAATGTTTGTTTATTTAATGATTACTAATTATTTGAAACAATATTTGTTCTTAACTAGTAATCGATACATTTGAAGATAATCGTAAGTACACTTAATTAAGGTTAATCGATCGAATAAAAGCAAATTGATGAAAATAAAAATAATTGCTTAATTGAGTCCTTGTTTATTTCTTGGAATATCGATGTATTAATTGAGTCATATTGTTTATTCTTTTCTCATAAAAGATAACTAAATCAATCCCATGTATAAATTTTACGTATTTTCAGATCATAGAAATCAATGAAGAATACACGCATAGACATTGATTGACTAAAGAAAAAACTGTCACTATCGTACCTATGTGGAAAATGCATGGAACATACAAATGGAAAGGGAAATTGGATAAATTCTACTGAATAAATTAAAAACTAAGTTAACAGATATTCTTAACATGTTTAGAAGAATTATACTAATTACTCCAAAAACAAACTTTTGAGATAAATAATTAAGCTTTAATTCGCTAGAATAATCATTTAAGACAAAACACAGAATTCCATTTCAAGTGCTTCCAGAGCTATACTACAGGTAGTACCGGTTAATCCTCTAATGTGACCGACATAATTATTTTTTCTTCATAAATTACGAAAAGGTTTTTAAGTTTTAGTTTTCATCTTTATCTATGAAAAAATAGAGAGTGCATTCAATTATTAAAACGAAGAGGAATTCTAATTAAAAAAAATTCAACTAAAAAAAATTCTATCTATATATTGTCCAAATGTTTTTCTTTTTTTACTGTCCAAATGATTGATTGTTTTTTCAAGCTTTATTAATAGTATCATAAGCAAAAGCTTCCCCGAAATTGCAGGTTCCTTTGCAAGACCAAATTTCTTTTCTTTTTTTGTAAATCAAATCATATGATAACAATTTGCTCTCCATAAACTAATTAATGGAGGTCCAACATAAAGTACAATAAGTAAACTTGAAAACATAAAAAATAAATTATTTTTGAAACATTACTATCTATTCCTATTAAATATTAATCTTTAAAACAAGGGCCCAATTAAAAGCTTCCCATTTTTGGGCTTACAATGAGGCGGCAAAGGCCCAAACCAAATAAACAATACTATGTACAAATACGTTTTTGTTGTGTCTGAAAGAGAGAGGAAATGGGTTACATTATTGTCTTGTGAAAAGTTACAAAATATTTAACTTTCAGAAAGTGTCTTTCCAATTCAACTTTTTTGGTGTATGTCCTTTTTTTTATAATTCTATAAATAATTTTTTATCCAACCAAACATTTTTTTCTAATTGTATTTATACAAAAAAAAAAAAAAGGTGCTTTTTTTCAGACCTCTTTTTTTTTTTCCCCCATACCACAATGACAAAAGCCATTATATTTCTAAACGCACACTAGATTATTGTATAATAACAAAAAATTACTCCTAAAAAAGGGGGATAACATAAAATTATTGCAATGTTAATTGTTAGTACAAAAAGATTTTCTGATCTCAAATGCATGAATTGCCAATAAATCGAGAGCTATGGCGTCAGGGTACGTAAATAATTTATGGAATTAACAGTACTGTTTGGAGTCCATCGAAACGGCATGGCGATATGGTTTAAGCATGGCTATCCGTTGAATTTAATTCCGCGAACCACCAAAACAAAATGTGCACAACTAAATTGTACTGCTTCTTCTGCTCGCCCCCTCCCTCTTTGCGACTTGACCCTCGCAACACCCTTCTCTCTAACCTCAAGCCCACTTTCATTTTCACTCCTTATCACAGAATCAACAACAATTGTACTAGCTTTGAGGTTGGATTTCAGGGACAGCAGAAGACACGGAGGAGATCTAAAGGGGATCCAACGACAAGGACAGCAGTAGCTATGCTTCATCAGAATCCCGTTGTCTCCGATTTAATAGCCACCGGTTTATCCGCTTCTATCGCGCTCTCTGTCCTTCGTTTCTTTGAAGAAACTGCTAAACGACATGTCTTCGACCAGGTCTCTCCCTCCCTCAATTTCCTCCCCCTCGCGCTTAATTTTCTGGACATTTTTATGAAGCTTAAAACTGCGTGCACTGCTTTTTTTTTTTATTAGTATTATTTAAATCAAGAGAAAGTGATCGTGCCTAAAAAAATGTGGTTGTTAAGTCTTCATTTTCGAAAAATAGACAAAAACAAATCCAAACTTTTGTTGATAACTAGGCCTTAAACGTAGACAAAGACAAGTAAAAATCTTTTGGACTGCTGCAATGTGGGGTAGTAGTAACCCAGTTGTCTCCGATCTTTGCTCGGCCGTTGTGTAAGCCGGGGTTATTTTCGCGTTTCTTCATCTAGGGAAAGAAACCGTAAAACATGGGCTTGACCAGGTTATTTTTGCTTTAGTTTTAGCTTGATGCAAGTTAGGATAAACACCTGATTTTTGGCATTATATTTTGATAAACAAGCTTGTATTATGACTATTGGGAATTTACATAAAATATCTATAGTAATTCGTTTTTGATGGATTCCTAAAGGTTATATTATTCATGTATGTGCTTCATAGAAGATTTTGCCCATGAATCAAACCTGATTCTTAAAAGGGCACATGAAATCTCAATCTTCTCGTCTGAATTTTCCATCTGAAATCTCCTGTCTTGTTCAGCTAATTGGAGGTTGATTGTCCCTTGTTTAGAAACTGAATAGGAAGCTTGTGCATGTAAGCATTGGGTTAGTTTTCATGCTTTGCTGGCCAATGTTCAGGTAATTTCATGACTAGAGAAGCTTGGCATAATATTACTATAAATCTGCCCAATGTAACAGCTACTACAAATTATTGCAGTTCGGGGCACCGGGGAGCACTTTTGGCAGCTTTTACTCCTGGTGTTAACATAATACGAATGCTTCTTATTGGATCTGGAATGTGGAAAGATGAAGCCACAGTGAAATCAATGAGCAGATTTGGAGACCGCAGGTTACTACTTACAACTCTTGATATTTAAGGTTCCTGTGTTAACATGTCCAAATCCTCGTGCTTAACAGTGGCTCATTTCTCATTATTGATCCCATGCAGAGAGATCCCTTTTGTTTGGAACTGATCCAAGTGCACAATTTACTCCTGATTTGTTTCTTTGTTTGAAGATTTTATTAGATTTAATAGATTAGACCGGGTACTCATTGTACTTATTTTTAATGTGAATTGTTTATTATGAAGATAACTTCTAAGTCGGAGATTATTTCTGCATCTTAGATGAAGGTTTTTGAACTCTTTCTCTCAGTGATGCTTTTCTGTTTTGGAGGTTGACACAGCATGATCTCCTTGATTGTTTCTTTATGAGACTTCTCAATTTGACCACCTCAGCTTCCTCTATTCATCAGGGAACTTCTTAAGGGACCACTGTACTATGCCTTAACAATTACTGTGGCTTGTGCTATCTATTGGAGGACTTCCCCTGTTGCAATTGCAGCAATATGCAACCTGTGTGCTGGAGATGGTAATTTTAATTGAGTAATCTACATTCTGTACTTTATTGTTTAACTTGTCTTCTTGCTGATTTAAGTTTCAGTACATGGAAGAATAAATATGCCTGAGACTTTCTTTGTGTACTGTGACTAAAAACTATGTTTTTGTTTGTCAGGGATTGCAGACATTGTGGGAAGGCGCTTTGGAATTCAAAAATCCCTTACAACAGAAACAAGTCTATAGCTGGTAGTGTTGCAATGGCCCTGGCTGGTTTTTTGGCATCTGTTGGGTAAGTCTTACATAATCTCATCTCATTACTTTGACGATGCTGTTTGAGCTAATGCATAATGTAGTAAGTTGTTTGGTGATCAGTTAATATTTTGACAGGTTTATGTATTATTTTGCCTCATTCGGATATGTTCAGGAAAGCTGGGAAATGATATTAGGTTTCTTGGTTGTCTCTCTTGCCTCGACTTTTGTGGAATCACTCCCCATAAGTACAGAGCTTGATGATAACCTAACAGTTACCCTAACTTCTATATTGTTGGGGAACCTTGTTTTCTGATGTCAAGAATTGTTGTTTACTTTTGAGCAAGCATTCTTGTCTTTGTTTCATTCATACTATGTGTCTTATGCGTGTGAAGTGCCAATGGTCAAACAATCAAATGTAGTTCTTTTGAGCCTTCACGGCCTAGCCTAGTGAAAAGGGACTGCTTCCTGGATTTGAGTCCTCACTTAGTCAGCCTGAACTCGGTGCCACTTATCTTATGGACTAAAGATTCCTGGTAGAAAACTGATTTCACCCCTTTTTTCCCCCTTAAATTGGAACTCTGCCAATTTGGACGTGAAACCTTTAATTTGAAACTCAGTTTCAATTGATTATTCTATCTATAAACTCTCTGTGATCTCAATTTAAAGGTTCATAAATGCTAATTTGGTGCTCATAGGGGTTGAGTACTGGTACTAGGCTTCAATTGTTTAACATGGCTTGGTTGATTTGGTTTTTTTCGCAAGAGATTCGAACTAAGGTGAAAGCATTCAGGAGTGTAAAGCTTTAAGAGGAGCTTATTGCATTTCTTGAATCTAGTTTTTTTTTTTTTTCCCCGAATCAATTATCTAGTCCCTGTAAGTGTTAAAAGATTCTAATTGTTTGTTGGTTGTAAGAAGTAAAATACAAAATTTAAACGGTAATAGAAAGATGGGCAATAAGAAATGTGTTCAACGATAAAAATATAATTGATTGTCGTTTTGATGTTGCCAATTGCCATGACTCTCTTGGCGGGTGACACTATCTTCTAGGCCCACTGGTTTAGTCAGTTTTCGGCACTTTCAAATACTGAGGCCCATATTATTATTATTATTTTCTTGGGTGCTAGTTCTAAGCGTTGTATAGCATATTCGTAAATTGTGATTGTAATGCCATTTCTGAACCCATTACATTTTCTGTGAGAAGTTTACTACTAGTTTAAAAAAAGAATGCACATAATTAAATATATGCTTTTTGAACGGTTTTTATATCTCCAAACATATATTTTTGTTATACTAAGATTTGTTCAACCATTAAATCTATTACAAAATTAATACAATTCAAAAACTTCCCAAGTAATTGGCTAGTTTATTGTACAATTATAAGACCCATCGAGCTAAGTTTTCTCTTTGTTCCATAAACCTGAAACAGTATTGGATGAGCTAAATTAGAATTTCAAATGCAAATTATCGAGGCGATCTCTTACCCTTCTAGATTTCTAGGGAGATCTTTTGGAAGTCGTTTGTTAAATTATCGAACCTAAGTGGGGTGGCAACACCCATACGACACCCACGCTGAGTAACCACTTTGACCTACTTGGTCAGATTGTTTTTGCTTGGGTAATTTGATGGTATGAGAAAAAGCATTCCGGACTTACTTTGCTTAAACCCAACCAAATAATCATATATACATTTTTTTTATATCGTATTATTATAGTATTATTGAATATCAAACTGTGTTGTTATTCAAAAAACTGTAAGAATCAATTAAAACTACTAAAAATATAATCTCAACTTCATAAAGTTCTCAAGTGTGTTCTGTAATTTCTTTTGAATAAATAACTGTATGGTAATAAATTTTTGTAATATTTAATGGGTTTACCCTATTAATTGGTCATTGTATAGTTTTAATTTTTTTGTTTGAGACTCTTTATTATTTTTCAGCTTAATTGAAACCTTACGCTCTTATAAATTTATTAATTGAGATCCTTCGTTATAACGCTATTAACTATTCATCTCACGTGCTAATTAGCAACTGATATGTGAAAATGTGAATTAAAAAATTTACCATGTGTCGTTGTCCGATTGGTTACTATTAGTTTTAACTTGTCACGTATGCTTGAATTGTTAATAGTACTATAACGAAGGGTCTTAATCAATAAATTTATAAAAATAAAAAGTTTTAATAAAAAAATTAAAACTATACAGTAATTAACTATGGAGTAAACTCAATATTTAATTAAAAGAAAAAAATCCGTGGAAACACACGACCTGCCCCAGTGTCTAATAAAAAAATCTGATACCGACCCGATATCTAACAAACAGGCACAGGGACCTATACCAAACTGACCGATCACAACCCTGTCCCGTCTCCTTTTCCTTCCTCCCTTTGGATTAATATTGCATCAAATTTATAAGCTGGATCATAAAAAGCACAATCTATGTAGATATATGGTTTTGATGAAGAATGGTTCAAAGATGGAGAAATTGGAGGCAGTAACATACCTAAATTTATTACAGTCGCTAAATGTTTAGTACAAAATCAAAAAAGCAAAATAAGACATATATATGCAAACTATGTGCATAAAAATAACAAGAACTTCAACCAATATATATACAAATATTGGTTCAATTAAGACATGTATATGCAAACTATGTACATAAAAATAACAAGAACTCACAGCCAAAAGTTAGCATATTCCTCAAAAACATTCTCAAGAAATATTTCTCAATCCTTTCACGATCTCATGATCACTTGCACTGCAGTGACACTTCTTGTGCAACACCATCATGTATCCATCGGCCTCCTCCTTTTTCTTAGCGACAAAAGGTTGAAACTTCTCTGCATGGTGGAGTCTTCGTCATCTCCTGATCCGTGAGTCCTTCTTCGCTTGAGGCAAGGAATTAGTAGAAGGGATATAAGGAAAATAGAGAAGATGCCAACAAGAACGAGCATCAAGATTACACCATGCAAGGCAAAATGCTTGTCACGTGAGAAAAGAGGCTCTCGTTGTGGTTGCTCTTGCTGTTGTGGTGTATAGGCTGGAACCATGGCTGCAGGTGAAGATGATATTTGTGGTTTTCGGGATATCCATGTAGTTATCATATCTACTAGCATTAATTTCTTCATTATGCAGAGTATATATGAAATGTATGACTCTGGTGCAAATCCAACTATCTAAGGAAAGTCGATTTGTTTTCTACTATTTGACTGCTTTTATTCTATAATGCCATAAAAAGATTTCTCCTGAAGGAACAAAACTTATTTTTTTCTTTACTCCCATGGGAATTCCTTGTAGAGGGCGGTAATTGACGTGGTGTCTTTTTCGTCGCATCCTCTCCCAGTTTGGGGTTTTTATTCTTTTGGACAGGGAAATTCGACCTGTCCTTGTATTAGCCATATTTTATGGTCCCAGATAAATTCACGAGGCCCAATGCTTTCAAACAAGTTATGGACAGTATCGCTGTAGATTGGTCCAAACTCTTACTCGAGGCCCATAGAGTTGCTGGGTCCATAAAAATTTCAACATTTGAAATTTTGCATCGCATCACAGATCTTGCATTTTCCCACATACTTCTAGTGCAAATGAGCCCAGCTGACCCCCCAAAACACCCCCATTTTGTTCTTCTCTCCCACGGGAATTCCTTGCAGAGGATGGTAATTGACATGTGACCTTTTTGTCGCATACTCTCGCTGTCTTGGGATGTTTTTTTCTTTTAGATAGGGAAATTCGACTTGTCCTTGTATGAGCCATATTTTATGGTCCCAGATAAATTAACGAGGCCCGATGCTTTCAAACAAGGTATGGACAGTAGTAGCTGTACATTGGTCCAAACTCTAGCTCGATGCCCATAGAGTTGATGGGTCCATGAAAATTTCAACATTTGCAATTTTGCATCACAGATCTTACATTTTCCCACGTACTTTTAGTGCAAATGAGCCCAGAAACACCTCGCACCCCAACGCCTCTTTTTTCTCCTTAACCCGAGAAAGAGGTTCAAAAATGTCCATCGAGATCAACTATACTGAGTTTGATCGATTTCGCTTTTATATTTTCAGTCGAAACAGCTTATAATTTCTTTATCAAAATAAGAAACAGCTTATAATTTCAGGGTGTATGCCATCATGGACATGTTACATGCAATCGAAATCTCTGAAGCTAAATTATCAGAAGGTCCGCTTGTTCGAACATAATCTAATAAAAATTTACTGTTTATATCTTCTGCATATGCATCAATTATTACTGTATAACTAAAAGAGGTGGGGTGTTTAAAGAGTGAGTTTCACTATTCACTTCCTCATAAAATACTATTCATTCAATTTTTTTTTTAATTTTTAAATTATTTCATTTTGATCCTTAGAATTTTAAAATAATTTTCTTTTCTTTTAATTTTTTCATCAATTTGTGTTCTTTTTTTATTTAACTAGGTGTTAAAATTTTAAAAAATCAATTGTTATTTTTTTTCACATAAGTTGACGATTATATAATATATATGATATGTTTTTAGATTTTAGAATAAATATATACTTTCTTATTGTTTAAAATTGATTTTTTCAATTTATTATAAAAATTCACATCAAGTTAATTTTTTTTCTTATTTTTATATTAAAAATTAAGTATACATCTTCCAACAGTAATACAAATTATTTACTATGAGTACTTTTTTAACATTATAGAACCAATTTATTTAAAATAAAATAATTAAAATAATTTTTTAAAGAAACTAACCAATTATTCAAATACAGTTTTTTATGCTAATTTTATTGATTATTTTATAAATAAATATATATAGATGAAATGCACATACTTCAAAAAAAAATCTTCTCAACAACTTTAAATAAGAATAAAATTTTATTTTTTCATTAGTTAGTTTTTATGTAAATCTATACATTAATTGTAACTTTATTTTTTGGATACATTCTTATAAAAAATAATTTTAAATTATTTATTTTTGAATTCTTAATTAATATTTTAGGTTTAAATTATTATAAGTTTTTATTTAAGAATCCTTGAATAAAGAAGAATAAATCATGTTTTTTAAGTATAAATTTTATGAAAAACACATAAAAAAATAGTTATAATGAAATAAAAAATTAATGAAAAAATTATGAAATTTTGAAATGATTTTATTCTATCTACCTGTAGCGTTGTGTAGATAATTTAAAAAATTAATCTTCTCAATTCCATTTAATAAGAATTTTTTTTTCATTTGTTAATTTTGGTAAAAAAAATTTTCATTAATTATCACTTCGTTTTTTTGGAATACAATATTATGAAAATTATATTTTAAATTTTTTTAAAAAATTCTTGATTAATA